ACAGAGCCAATTTAGGCCTCTGAGTTCATGTGAAATATCTGAATTTTGTAGAATTTCTTACACCTAAAATTTTTTGGTTTTTTTTATAGCAAAGAGAAATCAGTCAGCATTTCCAGTCTAATTATAAAGCTGTTTTTAGTTATTTTATATCCCATAATGCTTAATCTTGGTTTAAAAAATGTAATTACTTGAATACAAAAGTGGAATATTTTATCAAAAGCGTCACTTTACCCCTGAGATAAACAGAAGTTAGATCAGCTTTTAAAGCCGAAGAGCCGCTGATGTTCTTTGTGGGTTTTTTTTTACTGAAACTCATCCTATTTATATCTGCTGATTATTTGTAATTATAAAGATAAAATCCAATTAATTTTTTAATGGTTCAGTTTTACTCTTAATACGTGTTTGTTTGCAGCAATTCAAACCAATTATAAATTTATCATAATCAAATTATATAATATCGTATCGTAACTCAAAATATCTTATTTCATTGTATGATATTGTAATGTAACTTGAAATATAACACAGTTTTTTATTGTTTCGTACTGTAGCATATAATGCATTTTATTATCTCAAATAATGTTGTATCGTCTTGTAACATATGTCATATTTTAAGTGTATTGTATTGTGTCATAATGTGTAATATTGTATTTCATCGTATCATGTTGTAACCGTACCTTGACTTGTAATATAGTTTTTTATGGTATTGTTTTTTAACATGTAATATTATATCATATTGTTATTATTATATTTAATTGTATCATATTGTATCTTATCACTGAATAATATCACATCGATACATATAGTATCATATTTTATATTATTGTTTCATTTAATATTTCATTTTATAGTATCATATTTTATCATATGGTATGGTACAATATCTTATGTTATATCAAATCTTCCCATCAAAAAGTATTGTATTGTATCAGTGAGACTGAAGTCATATCAAGTCTCCATGTTGCATATTTTGTAGCACGTGTCATATGTATTTTATCATATTATATAGTAGGAATGTTTTTGTATGTCCTTTTAAGTATCAGGTCATATCCATTTTCATATATCACAGTAAAGTCTTGAATTGTATTATTTTGTACTGTATGATTTTTAGTTTTGTATCATATGGTGTCATATTGTCCTATTGTCCTATTGTCACATATCAAATCATATCAGGTCATATCATTTAATATCATGTAGTTTTGGACTGTATTTTATTATATCATTAAGTATTTTATGGTATTACATCAGATTATTTTGAATCATATCATAGAGTATTAAGTCATATGTAGTCTTACATTATATCATATATTATCATATTGTATTATATAGAACAGTGTCTTTTTCTATTGTGTATCAGATTATCAAGTCTTCTCATGTCATATCATATCATTTTATCATATTGATTCATTTTGTGTCACATTATATCAGATTGTATCATAACTGATGTAGTATAATATATTTGACAGTATCATTTCATGTTGTTACTTAATGTACTTCACTGTACTGTGTATATCAAATCATGAAGTTCTTTATATGGTATCAAAAATATATCCTTTTATTATTACACTTGTATTTCATTTTACCTCAGAGTACTTTGAATTAGAAAGTCACACAGCAGACATACCTGCTTCCTGTCTCTGTTACAGACTCACAATAGACCTGACATACTCTACACACACACACACACACACTGAGACATGTGTATTAATGAAGTGTCAGATGGAGGCCTGCCAGCTTCATTACACCGCTCTGAGGATCATTACACGTCCGACAGGCTCATTAGCTGATTCAGCGGACTCTGTTTCAGCCTCAAGTTCAGCTCAGAGGAAACCAGATCCTTCAGTACACACAAGTTCACATGTACACACATATAATACAACCAGGAGTCCTGATGCAGGTAAACACACACACACACACACACACACACAGGAGTAGAGGTGACGGAGGAGAACCTGCTGATCCACTTCCTGTCAGCACTGAGGAGGATTTCAGAGTGAACCGTTTCTTCTCATCATAACCGTTTAAAAGACTTTTTCTCACCGTCTTAAACTTTCATTTCAGCCGCTGTCTGTCACTCAGCACTCATGAAGCCTCCTCCACTGTTGCCTTGCTGCAGAGTCGTGGTTCTTCACTGAAATGACAAAGTATGAAATGTTTTTTTGGGGCCTGAATCTGATCCAGAAAGTTTGAAAACAACAAAAGAAAAAACTGAACTAGACCCAGGATAGGATGGTCTTTGGTGTCTACAGATTCAGATCAATTTTTATTCAATATTGATCTGAATCTGACAGAGTTAAATGTTAGAGAAAGGCACAGACTGAGAGGTTAAAGTTAAACTGTATTTGATTTTTCCATATTTTCTCATTGGAAACTTTAAAAACAGTCAAAGAAAGAGATGTCTGATCTGTTTTCTGTTTGATTTGTTTCCATGTTATTTCTTTAAAATGAGAAAGATGTGAATTAAACCTGAGCTAAAGCTGTCTGCGGTCAAATATCCTGTAAAGATGTTAGTGCACAAACCTCAGTCCTGTTTTATCTTTAATATTTCATCATATTTAATTTAAGTAAAAAGTTTGTTTTCATCCATTTTCTCTCCATCTGACTGTTGTTTCATCGCTCCTTTATGTTTTTCTTCTGTCTGTCGTGTTGAACTCCTGCTTTGTTCCTGAAACGTTCCTCTCTAAATCTAAAATTGACACTGAATCAGAATCACCTGATCACATCCTTCTTCTCCGGAGACTTGAACTCGGGTTTGAGATGACCTGAGGTCTTGTAAATGTCGTGTCTGTGGAAGTGAAAGTGAAAGTTAATGGCAGGAAACTTCCCTGAGAAGCAGCAATAAACATCCTCCAGCCCCCCGCCCTGCTGTCATCCGGGGGCGTAAGAATGACAAACTGACCCGAGCAGCGATGGTGCAGGGGGGCCTGAGTCTTCCCAGCTGTGCGCTCATGCCCCCCCGGGACCCTCTGTGATCTATTGCCGGTGTCCGTCCGGCCTGAAGCGGGTCCGTCCTGGCCGAGCGCGGCGCTCCGGAGGCCCGTGTTTAAACGGATCCAGGAAACAGGTCCTTCCTCCGGCCCGCGGGTGGACAGCAGCACGCCGCGGCCGGAGAGAGACTCTCAGGTGGGAGGGGGTGACTGGCAGGTCAACGAGGACGCGCATCATTAAGTTGTTGGCGCGCGCACGTATAAATTATACCACCTTAGAGGAACGTAAACCTGTGCGTAAAAACGACGAGAGCGCGCAGCACCGAGAGACAAAAACAGCTGTTCTTGGTTTGATTTAGAGATTTCTTCATGAGATTCTGATCCAACAGAGTGAGAAAAATAATGATCATTCTGAGTGAGACATTTAGAAGATTTTAAACCTCTTCATTCATGAGAACTGGGGGAGTCAAATCTTGGATGTGAAGCAGCAGAGACTGAACCTGCTGCAGTTCAGTCTGTCTGACTTCATCCATCAGGAGTGACAGAGGTCGTGTGAGTGGGAACTTTCTCTGCAGCAGATCCCAATAAATGAGTTCCTGTAGGACAGCAGAGCATGGAGTCTCTGTAGGCCTGCTGTCCGGACTAGAGGGGGTTAATCCAGAGTCCGGGTTTAAGGTTTGGGAAAATTTGGTTTAAGGGAATAAATTATGGATGGGAAAAAAATGCAAAAAGAAAAAAAAAGAGTTCTGCTCATTTAAAAATTCCGTTAAAGTTTTTTTTTCGGTAGTAGGAGGAGTCAAAGAGTTGATCCTGCGTGGAAAATAAAAATTGTCATCGTCAGAGAAAACGCAGAGTGACTCTTACAGACATGAGATGTTTGGGTTTTATAAAATATCGCTTTTCTTCTTTGGATGAACTTTTTGATTTCCTCTCTTGAACGACAAAACTGTGGCTTCAAAATATGTACAAAAATAAATGAATTATATAGTAAATATGTGGCTCTTAATTAGACTTTTGGAAGAAAAACAAACAGTCATTCTGAGGTTTTTTACTCCACATTAAAGTTTTTCTTGTTTCGTAGATTTTTAGCTAAATGAACTGCAGTTTGATAAATAAACGTTATTTTTTCTGCTTATTTCACATCATTAGTTTTCTTGTTCATTTCTAATTTTCTCTCTGGAAAAGAAAAACAAAATAATCCCGTTTAATTTAAGTCTGCGGGTGGAGATGCGTCCTGACACCGGGACAGAGACGCACAGACTCGGTCCTCCGGCCTGCAGAGCTCACTGATGGATGTGTCGGGCCGCTCTGCAGGTTGTTTAGGAGATAGAAAGCTGATAAAGAGCTGCTCGGTGAGAAGGAGAGGGGGGGACCCGGACTGTCTGCGCCGCGTGATGAAGTGGTCTGTCTCCATCCCGGAGGCACTAATGCCCTCCAGTTTATACACAGACACACATAGTGCTCCGTGGAGTGGAAAGGAGGAATCATCACGTGGCTCTGAGCTTATCTGAGGGAAATTATTCATCATAAAAACGCTCACAGCTCCTCGAGAGCGCTGAGGAATTAATCCCTGCTCTGCGATAAGATTAGAGAGCCTTAAAAGCTCGTTTTATCTCCCCTCCCTCTGCTGTGAACTCGTTAAATTAGAGCAACATGCCTCTGTGGAAATTCATACTTGAGCTGAGAAACAACAGGGTCATAAATCACAGCGCCGTGTTTCCTCTGCAGTAATAACAATGGAAGTGGGGGGCTTTAGGAGTCCATATATTCAGGGCGGAGGGTCTCACTCCCTTCTCCAGCTCCAGTTTAACCTCCTCCCTACAAACATGAGGCCAAAACAACAACAGAGAGAGAGAGAGAGAGAGAGAGAGAGAGAGAGAGAGAGGCTGGAGCTCCTTTCATTTCCCACATTCATCAGGAATTCCTCTGCCGGTAAAAGTCGCTCGTTTGTCAGCGGAGTCTGGCGAGCCGCGTGACAGAAAACGAGAAACAGAAGTCCCGTTAGGTAAACCATCCAACAACACAATTCATGCAGCAGGCGGAGAGGCCGCCTTCATAAACACAGCCGGCTGCGTCATGCGTGGACTCAGGGCTGTGGGTGAGAGACACAGAGGCTTGTCCCGAACTGTGGACGAGTCAGAGCGATCACACCGACCCACGGTGAGGAGATCAGCGGGTTTGTCTCTCATTTTAGAGGGAAAAAATCAGGTTTTTGTGAGTGTTTTTGCGCGTGTCCGTCAGAGGAACTTCTGTGACCTCTGAGGTAAATCCACGGAGTCTGTGTTTCTGTCACGGATCACTGAGAAACGCTCTTCCCTCTCCTCCTAATGGACCTCTTACTGCTGCAGGCCTCCCTATCCAAACACAAGCACGCACGCGCAATTGCACACGTGTGCGCACGGCCACAGTGCTCCAACTTTTACGCACGAGTGTCGGTTTAATTTTCGGAAGATTTGCCACATCATGTTCTGAATTTAGTTTATTTTTATTTTATCGAAAGGTTTAAATTCAAATTTTCTTTATTTAGGTTATTGATGAATCGATCAGGTTTTTTTCCCCATAACTTTTCGGACCTTCAAAAGATCTAAATTTGAGGCGCCACAGGTTAAAAACTCGCTCACGGTTATAGATATGTATATATTTTTTTACAGATTGATCAAACGCACCGTAACTATGTGATAAAAAGCTAAAACTAAATTTATTAAATTCGTTAGGAATCCATGAATTATTGATCAGAATCATGATGACAAATTTAAAACATTATTTTCAGGTGAGAAAATTAAACTCGAAAAAACAGTTTTTCTAAAATTTCAATACAAATGTTTTTTTTTTATTTCCTTATTTGTCTTTTGTAAAATTAAATTCAGTTTGAGAAATAAAACTTTAAAGGATTTAATGAACTTTTTTTGTCATCTTAATTTTTACTCAGGTCCGTTTCAAAGCCAAAAATAATACAATAAAAACATTATTTTTCTGCTTTTTTCAGATCTCCAGTTTGCGTGTGTATTTCTAATTTTCTCACTGGCAGAAAAGTTGACTAATTAAACCAAAAAATCATAAAGACACAAATGATTTCAGAGCGTACAAGACGACTTAAAGGACGATGGGATAAATAGATATTTTTAATTCCTTCGTTTAATTTGTCGTTTCTTGTTTTTTCTCAAATGTTTTTATAAAAAGTTCAGATCATTTTAATGTAAAACTAAAGTTTTAACAGATTGTTTTTAATGCTCATTAAAACTGTAATTAAGTCCGTGTTTGATAAATTTGAGTTTTTCAACTTCGAACTGATTTTGTTTTTGTTTTTTTTTTTCTCTTAGTGACATTTTTAATCTGAGTAAATCACCTCCTGCAGAGTTTATTTTTATCACAGTCTCGATTTATTTAAGTTTATTATTTTTAAATCTTCAGTCTGAAATAAAAAAAAACTTTTTTTCAGACTCCGCGCAGTTTAAAAAAATCACGTCCTAAAACAAAACATAAACATAAATAGACTCAGAAGATCTTTTGTACCAACAGCCATCAGGCTTTATAACTCTTATATAAATAATAAAGAACTTTTAGAGACATATTACGCGAGACAACAGACAATCGAATTTTCCTTCGGGATCAATAAAGTTCTTATTATTATTATTATTATTCTCAAATAAACATCGAAAGAAGAAGAAGATTTGATATAAGACTCAGAGTAAAGTTGATCTTAAACGTGGAATTTTTCCCCACACACACACAGGAGCGTTTGGCTGAGTCTCTCTCTCTCTCTCTCTCTCTCTCTCTCTCTCTCTCTCTCTCTCTCTCCATCCATCCATCCATCCATCCACCCAGAGCCGCCTGGCGCCTCCGCTGGGCCGCAAATGACAGCAGACAGGAGGTGTAGCATTTCCCATTGTTAGGCTACCTGTAACACACACACACACACACACACACACACACACACACACACACACATAGTGAGGTAAAGAGAGAGAAATACCATCAGTATCCCAGCATGCCTTAAGTTCTGAAGATTCTGTATTAACAAGAAAAGTGAGTTTAGTTTGTTTTTACAACATAAACATAAAAATAATTCACTTCACTAAATCTGTTAAAAAGGGGGCGTGGTTAAATGTTAGTGAGACAAGATATGAAGCAACGAAACAAAAGTTATCAGCCAATAATCAAGGTTATCAATATTTACAGACTTTGGGATCATTTAAGTGGTCTATATCAGAACAGAGGAGGTCCAGGATTAGAGCCCTGGGGTCCCCCACTCATCATCTCAGCTCTAATGAAGTTTTACCCGTTTACAGACACATACTGTTCTCTGTAATTGATTAAAAAATACACTTTTAGTTATTTTGTTATAAAGATTTAATGATCTACAAAGTCTAAAAATAAACTGAGAGAATTTTTATCATTTAGGTCTGAAGAAATTTTATCAACAAAGACTTTCACAGTTTCTCTGACGGTAAAGTTACTTTCTCATCACATCAAGTTTTTCAGACTCAAACTAAGATTCACATTTCTGTCAACGACATCATCTTTTTATGGGTTAAACTACCAGGGGCGTGTCCAGACTGTTTCCACCGGGGAGGCCGACTCAGGGACTGAGTTTTTCAGGGGTGACCAGGTTTGATCCAGATTACAGGTTTAATTCAAACTTAAGAAAACTGATTCGATATCAGAATAAGTTCAGAGGTGAAGATGTTATTCTGATTAAAAATGTCATTTTGTACTCAGCTGTATATCGTGATGAACACCTGAGAGGGTAGATTGACGCCCGCTAACCTGTCGCGGTGGTCATGGTTCTTTGATGGCGGTGCTGTCCATGGTGCCTCATCTGAAACAATCGAAAACACTCAGAAAACTTGAGCTCAGTTTAATAATCTGCAAAGTCTCATTTTGAGTTAAATCATTAAATTTGTTCCTTTAAAAGACTTTCTAAAGCTTTTTCTGAACCAGTTGTTAGCGAGAGTAAATCTTTATTTCCTGTGTGAAATGATGGTGTTGAGATTATATCAGAACTTAAATCCAGCAGACAGACCCGACCTGAAGTCCTGCGATCACTTTCTGAGTCTGATCTGCTTAAAAAGGAGCTCTTCCGTCCTCAGACCAGGTCTGATTTAAAGGGACTTCTCCGTGTTTGTGTGTCTGATAAAGAGCCAAACAGAAGCTCTGCAGAGGTCACAGGTTTCCGCCCAGCTCTGTCAGCGCCAACAGATAACACGAGCTAAGAAACCACAACCGCAGTCCGCTCTGCTGTGGTTTTCCTGCAGGGAAACCTCAGAGGACTCGGTAATGAACCCTGTGGTACACAGAAAATAAAGCTCGCTCTTCAGCTCAAGGTAACAGAGCTGATAGGAGAAAAAAGTCTCTTTAAAAGCTGCAGGATTTCAGGGTTAATTCCTGATAATATAAACCCTACATGAAGCCGAGAAAACCAAGGAACCCAACCAGACCTGAGGCCAGGAGAGGAACGAGTAAAAGAAATTCAGAGGAGACACTACAGAGTCAAAATTTAGGAGAGAATCACATAAAAGCAAGTCTGTAAAAATGAGTTTTAAAAACAGAGGTAAAAGAAGTGAGTCACTCTGTGAGCTTCATCTCCTCGGGTTGGTTGTCTCAAAGTCGACGGGTCCTGATGGGAAAAACTTCGTCACCTGAAGTTTAAATCTGGAGGTCCACACCCCAGGTTCCGATCATAATTCAGTAAGGACGCCAGAACCCGACCCAAAAGTGATTCGTTAAATCCCACTAACTGCAAACTTACAGGGAGGCTAACCCGGGATTTACACCAGTTTTGGAACAGCGATTTCACTGAACGCCAATTCCTACCATAGTGGATTACCACTGACAGCAGGAATCGCAAAAACTCACAAGAACCCGAGGATTCACGTTCAATCTCACGATAACGAGTTGTCTCTCTAAAGACAGACACATAGACATATAAGCAGTAGATTGTGTCCTTCCAGAGGAGGAAATCTACTTCTAGACTTCTAGAATCAGCATCTCCTCATCCATGGTGTCATCGGGGTGAAATGACGTCTAAAAACCTTTCACTTGTTCGTCTCCGCCCGTTTGCATGGTGTGAAATACGATCCTCCTGAAACACGGAGTGTTTTATTTTGAAAAGAAGCCGGATGTTTTATTTTGTGTCTGTGCCCGACTTCCTTTCCAGCACGGGTTAATCTGTGCTGAATTTATCCGCCATGCTCCGGCGTCCAGAAAAAATAGAACTCTTGTGATCAGCTGAGGAGTCCGGCGATCCTCAGAGGAACGGAAAGAAGTCGGTGTAAATTGACACGTTAACTTGAATGGTTACGATCAGCTACGATCGGAGGATACGACCTTTTAGGAGACGATCAGGATGTAATCTTATCTGTCATCACTCGTCACTGAACCGTCTCTCCTTCATTGGTTCTTGCTGTAGTTCAAACATTACCCAGTGGAGCTTTAACAGCAGCTGGACTTCACATGTAAACACATGAAGAATAAAGAATATCTAACCCTGATCGTCTTTCCAAACAGCTTCATTGTGTCATCTGAGGATCTTTGTGGGAACCTTCTGAGGAACTTATCCAGATCCTGAGGTAAAAGTCTGGACTCCTCAGTCTGGATCACTCATGTCCAGGTGGGACCATCAGACCCTGGAGATCCCTGAACCTCGGTTTGTTGTTCCCTAAGTTGTTTGATTTCTGCTCCTGCTGCAGACTCTTGGTCATGTGACACAGAAAGTCAGCGCTCAGCGTGGCGTCTTTGGATTTAATGTTATTTAAAGAAGATGGAGGCCGCCTGGTGCCAGTCTAAACACTATCTGGTCTTGTTTGGCGTTTTTTTACGAGGACACACTGATGATGATATAAAGTGAAATGAAGAGAGTCGCCGGGGAGTCTACAGGGCCGAGCCTTAGAGCCATAGAAAGAGCGTCACATCAGGATATTTACTGCTGAGTGGGCTGCAGACTAAACCAGGGACCAGGGTCTGCAGGATTCACTGTGCACAAAAACATGCACACTTTATCAGAATCTTCTTTCTATTATATCAAATATAACAGCCTCTTTATGGGAGCTGCTCTGCACAGCGTCAGTAATAACACATTAAATATGATTTCTTATTGAAATATGATCGTCTTATGATGTTTTATTTATTCAGTAAAGATTTAAGGTCGGACACTGAGCTTTGGGATTTTTGTGTCTTACATTAACAACATTGTTGAAGAACAGCAGATTCATTTATCTGTGTGTTTTTGTAGGACTGAAGTGAGGTCGATGATTGGATCTTTAGATAAGAGAGAGTTTATGTCATTAATGCATAAATACTAACAGTGTCATAAAGTATTTATTTTTAATTTTCACTTGTGTGCCTCTCTACAATGTTTCTCACATATTAACTTATCATGGACATGTACCAGGCCGTATTAAATCACATCATCATAAATCATATTTTGTATACCATTATATCCTGTTCAGGTGTATTTTAGCACATCATATCATATCATATCATTTCTTATCATATATTATCATATCATATCATATTGTATCGTACTGTATTATATCATTTTGTATTATTCCATATCTTATTGTATCAGATGATAATGTATCATATTATATGGTATTGCATTATATCATACAGTATTGTATAGTATTGCAATTCTGTATTTTTGTATTATCTATCATATCATATACTTCAGTCTTGTATTATATTGTATCATATTGAATCATATGATTATCATATTGATTCAAATCATATCATGAAGTCTTGAGTTTTTATTGTGCTGTATCTTGTCAGAACATATCCTATCAAATTGTATGATATTGTATCGTATAGAAGTATACCGTATAGAATCATAACACATTGTATAGCTGTATTTTTGAGTACTATAACAGGCCATATTGTATCATATTGTACTTCATCGTCTGGGATTGTGTATCTTATATTATTTTTATGTTGTTTCATATGTATTATGTCATAATGTGTGTTGCATTGTATTGTATCACATCATTTCTACTGTATCATCTTGTTTCGTATATTACTGTAGTGTGTTGTATTGTATGGCTTTATTTTGTATTGGATCAGATTATATTGTATCATATTGTATTATGCAGTATCATATTTAATCCAACTGTATTGTATATATGTAGCGTTCTGCACCCTGTTGCACTAAATTGTATCAAACTATATTAACTCAGACCTCATCATATTAAACCATATATTACCTCATATCACATCTAACTATTCCATATATTATTATAGTTATAAAGAATCAGATCATTTAGTATTGTGTCATTTCATATCATATTAAACCACACAGTATATTGTGATGCATTAGATAGTGTTGTATTAAACCATATCAAACAACATCGCACATATCAAAGTCAAACAGGTGTTTTATTTTATTTCATATCAGTTTCTCAGAGCTGAGGCGACGTGTTTGTTTGCTTTAAATGATATGATATTTGGCTGGAGTTTGGTTTGAATCTCCACACTATAAAAATGTTGTTTTCCAGCACAGTGAACATATATATATGTTATATATATATTATAATGTTGGGCTCATTCATGTTTCACTGCCACAAACTGACAGTCAGAAACTCAGAGGGAAACTGGAATCAACTTTACAGCTTTTTACATCAGATCAAATGTTGGACATGTTTACTAATCTGTTCCTGAGTTAAGAATAAGCAGTAATGTCACCTAAAATAAGAATTAGATACTGTGAGCTGGTATTCACAGACAGTACTCTTCAGGTATTAAGACCCTCAACATAACATGACTGCTGTTAAGTATTTAGGACAACTGTGGAGACATAGTTCAGGGGTTACAGTCACAAATATCAGTTTTTATTCTCCTTATGATAATAAAAATATAATACATGTGAAAAAGTGAGAGTTCAAAACAACTTTTAAAAGTAAGGTGAGGAGATAAAGTCAGGATCAGTGAGTTTGGCTAATTCTGAAAACTTCAGTTTATGTCTCTGAGCTTCACTGAGAAGAACTTTCTGCTGCATCTTAAAGTGTTTGAAACTCCACATCAACTTTATTAAAGTATAAATATGAACCAGTGAGCTGCAGTTTTCAGTGTGTGTCTCTGTGCTTCTCAACTCTTACCTTCTCTGGAGACTCTGCGGGCTGTTTGCTGTCAGACTGACCCGCAGGAGGAGCGGAGGCAGCAGGGTGACACAGGCGAAGGGTCCCGCTGGAAAACGGAAAGGGGAGCTGATAGGAGCAGATTAGAGCGAGCTAAAAACGTCAGGCCGTTTTCCTGGAGGAATCTTAATTGCCCCGGGGGGCCTGCTTATCGGCGCAGAGCGGTTATTAATACAACAGCAGCGATAAAGAGGACAGAGGGACACCGAGGCCGGCCGGCTACTGGAGACTCTGGGAGAGGAGAGGAGAGGAGAGGAGAGGAAAGGAGAGGAGACGATAGGAGAGGACAGGAGAGGAGAGGAGAGGAGATCTTTGAGTCAGTGTGACAGAGATCCACGAGCTTCTAAAATCACAATCCTAAACCTTCTTTCTCACTTGGATCTAATTTTGGAGTTTTAGTCTCCAGTCTGACTCTTCTTAACTTTTGAACAAATCCCAGTTTCTAAACTCGTCTGAATAAACTCTGACCAATCTACGTGTTTATTTTCTTTCTTACAAATATGAGCACTCCTGATTTCAGTCATCACGGGGTCTTCAAAGCTGCACATGTGTGACTTTTCTAGAGTTTCCATTAACTTCAGAATCTCTGAGTTTAAAACGAGCCGTCATTTTAAATCCAGAGGGAAACAGGTTTCTGTTTCTCGTGCAGCTCGTGTTTCACGTACAGAAAACCGTATAGAGAGATCATGTTGTGTATGAATCTGATTTTTGATGTTTCTCTTCCTCTCCTGAAGTCAAGAGTTCGCCCTGCTGCTCTGCTGACCCCTGACCTGACGCACAGGTTTACGCACGAGGATTCAACACGAGGATTCAACAGCTTCTGTATTAAAACTGAATATAAGACGTTCAAAGACATGAAACATTAACAGTTTTATGTATTTGGAGCTGTAAAGATCTGTGTTTTAATCAGGGGTTTGTGTGTAAATATAGTGTGTAACAGGATTCTGTCAGAAGATGGTTAAAGGAACAGTAATGTAGATACCATTGTCAGTGATTTGGTTGATTTTTAACAAGAAAAATTTATTAATTGAATCATTAAATAAATATGATTTTAGACACATAACCTGACAGTTCAGAGTGGATCTAATGTTCGTGAGCTACAGGGAGGAACAGATTATTGATTATTGAGGGACACTCACGTTTTTGCACAAGACTAGGAGAGTTATAGTGTTCTTATATGAAGTTGTTTTTGTGTTATAGTCTTAGAAAACCTGTAAAGCTGAAAGTTTTCTGTTTATTCCCCAAGAGTTACTGCGAGTAATTTAACATGTAAGTCCAAGATAAACATGAATTAAATATACGCCATTAAGTCTTGTCCCTATCAGATTAAAGTCACATTAATAAGTTAATAAAGTGTGATTTTATGAGAAAAGAAGAGGTGTTTGGATCAGTTTCATTCAGGCTAAAATAACTGATCTCTGAGAGCAGCTGCTGTCTCTGAAGGAGGATCAGGATCATCAGCTGAAGTTTGTTCAGGATTCATGTTAGTCTGTCTTTTTTCTTTCACCTTCATTCATGCTCAAAGTTCCTCATATGAGTTCTCAGACTAAAATTATCTCTTTTTTTTCACTATAGGACCAAAATACTCCACCATAGCTCAGCAGTATTTACAGCAGACTAACACTTACCTGCTCAGACTTCATTGACGATAAAATAAAATAATTTTGTTCCTTTTTGTTCCTCCTTCAATAAAGTTTTTGTGTTAATTTATATCATTAAGTTATTTTCCAATTAGCCTGAGTTCATGAGGCTGAAGTTCTCTCATATAAACCGACTCTAAAAGTTATTTTATGTTTTGAGAAGATTCATTTAACCTTCTATGTACCCTAATAATTTTACTCCCTGTCTGAAAAAATATCAGACAGGTATTTTTTAAAACTTTTTTTCTCAGATCTCTTCATCAATCTTAGTCCTGATAAAAAAATACTGATTTTTTTAAAATATGTATTGGATTTAACCCTTTAGATGCCAGTTTTAGAGCTGATGTCACTGATTTGAGGGGGAAAAAAACACAAAATGACTGATTTTCTTTCATTTTTTTAAGTTCAGAGGCTGTAGATTTTTTGCATGCTATCACACTCTTGGATATGTCAAATATTAGTAACACATTTAGTTTGATGCATTATTATTTTTTCAGATTTTAGTTTTACTCCCCTTCATCCTCTTCTGGCTGTTTTTGTCCTCTAACTTTAGCTGCTGTAAAAACATTTCAGAGAGATTTTAAACTTTTTTTCCTCAGATCTCTTCATCAAGTTCAGTCCTGATAATAAATACTGAATTTTTTTAAAAACAGATGTTGATTTTAACCCTTTAAAAGTCTGTTCTCCATGAGAAGAGTGTCACCTAAACTTCATGATTCCTGTTTGTTCCTAAATGTCAGAAACTTTAGAAACTCCTCATGACAGGAGAGTCTCTGTGATCCTCCCTGTCCTCCATATTCACACCAGTCCACGAACTAAACCAGAACGGGAACAAGCGTCACGTACGCCCCACCTTCCCTCCCTCCCTCTCTCCCTCTCTCTCTCTCTCTCTCCCTCCCTCTCTCTCCCCCCTCAGGCCCACTCGGCCTTCCCCTCACCCCTCCCCCTGACATCAGAGGCGCTCTGTCGCCCCGGTCCAAACTCCTCTCACAAAGCCCCACATCACATCTGTCAGAGAGGAGACCTGTACGGACAAAACCGGGACTACAGCTCAGGTTTTCGGGCGGTTCATGGCGATGAGGGATCCCAGAGGCTTAGCGCACCTCCACTTTCCAAAGAAGGGGCTATTAAGCTCAATCATTTGTTAGGGAAGGAGGGGAACGGAAAGGGGGAGTGCATGTTACTCGGTGGGATTCATTTCCTCGGTGCTGCAGAGCAGGAGCTGGATGACATGATGCTGCAGAGCCCGCTCACCTCCACGCCGTTTTCTGTGAAGGATATCCTCAAACTGGAGCAGCAGCAGCAGCAGCAGCAGCAGAGGTCCGGGTCTTTGGAGCTCCAGCACCGAGCTCACAGCGCTCAGCAGCAGTTGGCTGGCTCTCCTCCTCCTCCTCCTCCACCTCCTCCTCCTCCCCAGCAGCAGCACTACCAGAGTCCGCCGTCCTGCATGCTCGCCGGGGCCCGGGACAGTCCCTCCTTCTCGGACGGAGAGGACAATCTGGCGTACCTGAGCGCGCTGGCGGTGCGAGGGGAGGAGGACCGCGGGGACACCAGTCTGTCCCCGGACATGTACGTCCATCCCGGGCTGCAGGGAGCCAAGCTGGAGGCCGCCGAGCTGGACGAGCAGGAGAGCAGTGAGTAAACGATCAAACAAAAGACAACAAAGAAGAGAAGCAACAATCAGACAGAGAGAATAAAACCACATGAAAGTTTAACAACAACAACAACCGTAAAGATCAGACTCTTGGTTTTAAAGTTTAATCTGTGTTTTTAGAGGCTGAACTCACAGATTTACTCCAACAGAAACAGATTTTTCTGAAACCTCCAAACCTCTCCTCTTTACGCACAGAGACGTTAAAAACTAAAGACCAGAAATATCTGATTAAACCGGCTGTAGGCAGGTCCTGTCCGGACTAATGGGGCGTCAAGAACGGTGTGGACCGAGTGGACAGGAGGGTTCAGTCCTGCGTGAATGTCCGAGTGTCTCTGTGATAAACGGAATCATTGTTCAGCAGATTATTCAGTTACAGGGTTAAAGAGGAGTCAGCTGTAAAAGAAACCAACTGTAGAGAGGAAGAAAATAAACTCTTTATAAAGTTTAGAAATGAAGATCAGGTGTCCTCGGAGGTGTCCCCCACTCCTGACACGGTCCCAATAAAGAGCTATCAAATGGTCGGAGGCCTGAGACGGATCCAGTAAAGTCTGCAGATGTCAAACAGTCTGGAGTGTCTGTAGCTCGGAGTCTGTTATGATGTGTGGACCATAAACCGACGAGGAGTTTAAAGAGGCTGTAAAAGAAATGAGACAATAAACACACGGGCCGTGGCAGACACGGGCGGCTCTGTACCCACGCTGCGAGTTTCAGTAAAACCGGTTAGAAACAGTTTTAAAGGTTTTATTTCACTTCACGAGTTCAAAAGTTACAAAAGTTTAACAGTTTACCTCAAACTGAGAGAGTGACATTCGACTTTTCTGTGATAACGGAGATTTCACGTTCTCTGCAAATATAAATCAATAATTGAATCAATAGAAATCTTTATTGATATTTGACTGTTTGGAATTTTAAACTGTGTTTTAAAATACATTTGTACTAAAACAAGAGAGGGGGTCTTAGAGCTAACGTTTAATGTCTGTATATGACAGAAGAAGAAGAAGAAGAGGAAGAGGGACACAAAACAAGAACGAGATTATCGTAAAATTAGGAGAAAAATGTGAAAGAAAACTTGGAGAATCAAAACTGATTACAGAACTCTTAAAATAGAAAAAATAAAAGTATTAAATTTACAAGGTTAAGAAAATAAAAGTCTTAAATTAAAGATAATGTTTTTTAACGAGATGAGGTTTTATTTTTATTTTTTATGTAAATAAATTCTTAGTTTAATTGGATTAAAGTCAAAGAAAAACGGGTGAATTTTTTTCTATAACAAAATTATAAAATCAAAGTCTAAAATCTTTAAGTTTATTTTAAAGTGACAGAAAAACGGTGGTAAATGTACAAAAATATAGTTTTTGGTTTCGAAGATAAAAGTCATAAATTTATGAAGGTCAGAGGAGAAAAAGTCACAAAATGAAGGAAAAATAAACTTTAAATTAATAGGAATGAAGCTGGAAAAAAACAACGAGAAGATTAGTGTCTCTAAATTTACGGGCAGAACTCTGTAAATTATAGTTTTTAATTTAGGAAAATTAATTCTTAGCAGGTAAAAGTTGAAGTTGCTGATTCACCAGAAATTGAAGAATTTTAAAACAATTTCAACATTTAAATCAAAGATTAACAGGAATTTAATTTACACCATTAAGTCTTTAATCTATGAGATTAAATTATAGCAGTGTTGAGTTAATAAAGTTTAATTTTATAAGAAAAGAAGAGGTGTTTGGATCAGTCTGAGGCTCATTCAGGCTAAAATAACTGAGAGGTAAACAGCTGCTGCTGTCTCTGAAGGAGGATCTGGATCATCAGCTGAAGTTTGTTGTTAGTTTGTTTCTTTAACCTTCATTTATGCTCAAAGTTCCTCAAGAGTTTTCAGACTAAAATTATCACTTTTCTCTCACAGAGTCACGAGTTAAATCTCATTAAAGGGTCTAAAATCCTCCATCATATCTGAGCAGTTTTTACTCCAGATTAACAGTTACCGGCTCAGACTTCATACTCGATAAAATCACAGAATTTTGTTCCTTTATTAAACCTGATTCTCGATGATATTTCATGATCTGAAACTCCTCCTGTGTGACTCTCACCTGCGCAGAGAGCTGTGGTTTGGTGTCCCGGGAGGAGGCCTCAGAGGGCGGGCAGGGAGACTCGGATCGGCCGGTGCAGAAGCAGAGGAGCCGGCGGAGACCCCGGGTGCTCTTCTCCCAGGCGCAGGTCTTCGAGCTGGAGCGTCGCTTTAAGCAGCAGCGGTACCTCTCCGCCCCGGAACGGGAGCACCTGGCGACCACCCTCAAACTCACCTCCAACCAGGTGAAGATCTGGTTCCAGAACCGCCGCTACAAGTGCAAGAGGCAGCGGCAGGACAAGTCTCTGGAGGCGGCGGGTCAGCACCACCCTCCTCCGCCGCGGCGGGTCGCTGTGCCGGTGCTGGTCCGGGATGGGAAGCCTTGTCTCGGGGGAGCGCAGAGCTACCCCGCCGCTGCTGCTCCGTACGGATCCAACCCGTACTCCTATAACGGATACCCCGCTTACACCTACAACAGCCCCGCTTACAACAGCAACTACAGCTGCACCTACACCAGCATCCCGGCCCTGCCCCCCTCCAGCTCCTCCAACGCCTTCATGAACATGAACTTGGGGAACGTGAGCGGCCTCGGCGGCTCCGCGCAGCCCCAGACACACCAAGGGACTGCGGTCACGTCGTGCCAGGGCTCCCTGCAGGGGATCCGGGCCTGGTAGCCTCCCCACTATAGCCGGGCTGCAGGGCTGCAGAGCTGAGGCCTCTGTCATGGAGCTGTTTTAAGTGTTTTTTAGAGGTGTGTGACGGCGGCCTGAGAGGACAGTGTTTCTACCAGGTTAGAGTTTGAGTCAGCTGACAGATCAGACTGAATCCACTGATTAAAGTGTGTCACAGCCGCAGTGAGTGTGCGTAAAGGCCGCGTGTCACCCACTCAGACTCTGGTCCAAAAACTGTTGAAAAGGCTTTTTTTTGTTGGCACATGTTGGACCGGATATAAGGCATGAGTTTGGACTGAACTCAGACAGATCCACTTTTTTAATCTTGTTTAAACTTGATATTTTCAGCTTTATGTTGTTTTTGCGCGCAGAGAAATGTTTGAGTTTATTCCACATGGTATCAAATAAACGGAACTGAGAAAAGGTGCGTTTGTTTCTGTTTCCGGGCAGGAAATATCGCGTCCTCATGGTGTTTCATAGATGATATTTGTATCTTTAAAAGTAAATCAAACTTGATTCTCCAGCTTTATTCTCCCGTGTCCCTGCATCCGTGTGGGGTCAGGCCCTCAGGTGGATCAGACGCCAAAATTTGCCCTTAAACATATGAAGGAGAGCTGCAGCAGGAGGCCGGACCACAAGAACTCTTTGTCCCAGTTTCAGGCGACGTGAAAGGAGGAAGTTATTCTCTATTTGAGGTCCTTAAAGGACGCGATTAAGCACCTTAAATAGTCCCGAAGAGCGCGCTGCAGCAGTGCTGGGGAGCGGGAAATAACGGCTCTCATTGGATTTGGGGACAAAAGGTGCGTGGTAGGCAGAGCCGGGCACTCAGCAAAGACAAAGGCGCACAGGGGCCGTTAGATTGACGTCCTAATATTCCCATTTGAGGGACAGGCAGCGGGTTATTCTGCGCCGAGAAGGGGACACACAGGAAAAATGTGCTCACTTTTGTTCCCCTTCAGGAGGCTTTTTTTGTTCGCGGAGAAAGGCGCACAGAGATCCCCAACGGAGAGGGGCTTCAGGGGCGGCAGAGCTGGAGGTGAGGGCAGCGGGGAGGCGTTTGTGTGAAAGAAGGGAGTATTATTGCTACAAGTTTCACCTTTTGTACCCCTGAGTGGGAATGGACGGGAGTGTTTTTAGGGAGCTGCAGCGGTTCTCCTTCATTCAGAGAGAGGGTGTTAGTTCAGCTCCGAGCGGAGGAGACATTCTCACAGGTGACTGAAGAGAAAAGACGAGGAGAGAGGGAGAGTTTCAGCAAATCACAGGATTTACGAGTTTGTACTGTTTTTTACGAAAGAAAGAAAAAGACAAAAAGTGTATTTAAGGGGATAGTTTTGGTCAAGTGGCACAAAATAAGAGATTAAAACGATGATTTTCATCAAATTTATTAACTTGTTTTTTTTTTGGGTCCAAAAGAATGACAGAAAAAAACGATCATGTTGTTTTTTTTAAAGTTAATGGCTTATTTTAGATGATTGGAGCTTCTTAAAAGCGTTTTAAAAATGACTAATCAGGAGTTTAATTTAATGATATTAATATTTTTTAACCAAATCCTCAATCTGAAGTCAGATTTACAAAAAAAGATTGTTAGAGAACTTTTTACAAAATGACAAAAAAACGATCATGTCGTTTTTTTAACGATAATGTCATATTTTACATGATCAGGGCTTCTTAAAAGCTTTTTTTAAGGACTAATCAGGAGTTTTTTAATGATTTGTTTGTTTAGCACTTTTCACAGACAAGAGTCACAAAGTGCTTCACATAGACAAAAATAAAAAGATGTACATGACAGAAATGACAGAAAAATGATCATGTCGTTTTTTAGTGTTAATGTCGTATTTTAGATAACTAGACCTTCTTCAAAGATGTTCTCCTTGAACATATGAATATTTTTATCATGTTTAAACCAAATCCTCAATCTGAAGTCAGATTTACAAAAAAATGGTAAAGAACTTTTTACAAAATAACAGAAAAACGATCATGTCGTTTTTTAACGTTGATGTCGTATTTCTCAAAAGTTTTTTTTTAAAGGACTAATCAGGAATTTTATTTAATGATATTAATATTTTTTATGTTTAAACCAAATCCTGAATCTGAAGTCAGTTTTAGAAGTTGTGATAAACAGCCTCTTTCTCTCTCTCTTTTTCATCTTTTTAAAACTAAATCCTTATTTATAAACGCTGGGCCGTCAAAAAAACATGAGTTTAACCTGTTATAGTTTAATAATGTTTGAAAAATCAGAATCTCTTTATTTATGATCGTGAAGCTAAATTTACGCTCCTAATTGACTAACCATTACTCACAAAAATAAACAAACCGAGGGCTGATCTCAGATCTGTTTTTTTTTTATTGTAAAGACTTTCTGTGAATTTATTCTCCCAGATAATCTTCAGAAAACAGAGAGTGACTGTAAAGAGAGAACACCAGTCTCTCTCTCTCTCTCTCTCTCTCTCTCTCTCTCTCTCTCTCTCTCTCTCTCTCTCTCTCTCTCTCTCTCTCTCTCTCTCTCTCTCTCTCTCTCTCTCTCTCTCTCTCTCTCTCTCTCTCTCTCTCTCTCTCTCTCTCTCTCTCTCTCTCTCTCTCTCTCTCTGGGAAACAGTCGTTTCAGCCATTCTTGGATAATTGCAGCCGCCGCACACACGGCGCTAATGAGAGGCAGTACCCGGGACTGAGAGCGAACAGCTGGGGCCACTTTTACTGAATCATCTCCCATTGAAGCCCCCCACCCTCAGACCCTGCTGGTACAGAATCAGAGAGGATTATAGAAAAGAGGTGGAGGAGTCCTGAGGAGCGAGAGGAGAGAAAGAAAGATGAATCATTTCAGGGAGGAGATCATCTCATTAATGTTCATCAGGATCTTATATTTTAGCGGTTTAAGTAAGCTGCTCTCTCTCTCTCTAAAATCAGACTAAACTTTGATATCTGAGTCCAGTTGGAGGAATAAAGAAATGTGTTTATCTGCTGAGATCAGCTCCTCTCCACAGGCAGACAGTCAGTCTGAGCTGTTAACCAGCTGATCTGGGACAAAAACAACCTTCGAGTCCTCCACGAGCAGCTCCTCCGCACTAATGGGCATTAATTGAGAGGTAAACACTGATAAGAGCAGAGCCCTGAGGTCCGGGACAGAGACTGATGGACGCAAATAAAGACGAGACACAGAGGCGTCCTGCAGGTCAACAGGCTGCTGGATTAACCTGCTGCAATAATGACGGTGAGGATGAGGAGGGACAACATCACAGCAAATCTAGATTATCTACACTCTCACTCATTAGGGATTAAAAGAAAAAGGACATTTATTTGGATTTAAATGACTTTAATCCTGTAACTCTGGAGTCAAAACCCTGAAAATTAAAGCCATATAGGGGAGAGTGGGGTAAGTTGAGCCAGCCCCTGTTTCTTGGAAATGGTCAAAATAATTGATCATGTGACCAAATATTGAGGAGATGGGCATCAATTCATGGAGTCTGTAAAGGTTAGAAGCTCATGGATGAAGAGGTTAGAGATTTAAAGTGAATTTAGTCTTTAGTCATCAGTTTGATTAGAATCGTGGTCAGAACAAAAAAGATCATTTTTAAGTAGTTTTATCATCAACTGTTGTATCTATGAGCTACAGCATGAGGTCAAAAACCTAACAGTCCACCATTTTATCTTAAAGGACTAATAAAGTCATCATCGTAGTTCAGGGGTCACTGAGAAAGTAAAGGAGTCTGATGAGAGGATCAGAGTTTACCTTCAGATTGTTGAAATGTTTGACTGTTTCTTTTCTAAAATACAGATCTGTGAATGTTCTCAATCACTTTAAGACATTCTCATGTTAAAACAGCTTTTTATCAGTTATACGTAATAATAATAAAAATAAATATTGTAACAGTTGAATCGTGTATAATAGATAAAGATACACCTGAATGTGAAGAAGTGACTGTTATTTAAGGAGAGAGAAGATAGAAGGGATACGGCTCAACTTACCCCGCTCCTATGGTCAACTTACCCCATACAAAGGGTAAGTTGACATCCTGAAATATCTGCAGATACACTAACCACTGAGCATTTTTTGGTCTAATAGACGTCTAAAGGAAGTCGAGACGACGGTCTAAAATCAGGCTACCACGGGTCTAAAAATTAAAGTTTTCAGACGTCTAAATTTAGACCGAGTTTAGACTAACTGGCTAACAGAGGTCTACTGGTATTTTGCTCAACGGCTATCATAATTATTTTGGTTTAGTACTTGGAGATCAGTTATAAACTCACAGTTGCTTTTTGAAATAAATACTTATCGAACAGCAGGTTAAAGTGCGACGTCTAAATTCTGTTTACAGATACACAGAATCTAGACGGTTGAATTAGGTCTAAAAATAACGAGACGTTAAATAGCCGTTTGTTGCTCAGTGGGTATTTAGAGACTAAACTAGGATTGGCTTGAAGTAATGATCGAAATATAAAAAACGTCTCATCTTACCCCGCTCTCCCCTACGACCAGAGTTCCTAAGGAGTTGGGACACCGTGTAGAAATGTAGATAAAAACTGAATTTGATGGTTTCTTTAACTCAGTTTGATGATTCAGCAGCAAGTTTCAAAAAGTTGAAACGTTGAAACTTTTTCTTTTCACTCCGTAAACTCTAAAGATCTCTCTCAGCTGCTCAACGGTTCAGGATCTCCTTGGTCCTGTTTTTGGTGTCATGAAGCTCCAAATGTTTTCAATCAGGACCGCATCAGTCCAGGACTCTTCTCCTACAGAGCCATACTGTCGTCAGAACCTGGTTTGGGATCATCTGAAGGTCTTGGTTTGGATGGCAGCAGATGTTTCTCCTAAACCTGTAGATATTGTTCAGCATTCATGGAGCCTTCACAGAAGAGGTGGACTCTGATGGGTTTGGACTGGGAGGTTTCCCTCACATGAAGGTCCACTTCTTCTGGATCCTGTTTCTGTCTGTTTTCCTCTCTTTATGGTTCAGTTTTAACTTCATTCATGGATGCAGAGCTGCGTTCACAGTCGATAGTTTCTGATGTGATTCTGAGTCCATGCGGTGACTTCCAGTCCAGAGTCCTGTCTGTTTTTAAAGCCCTGAAGATCAGGACCATCCAGTCCTGGTTCTGGTTCTTGTCCCTGTAGTCCAGAGATTTCTCCAGATCCTCTGAATCTTTGAATGATGTTATGAACTGTAGACGATGAAATCCACTCAGGAACTTTACTCTGAAACTGTTGAACCGTTCGCTCACACAGTCTCTCACAGAGCCGTGAACCTCTTCTGTCTTTTCCCCTGAGAGACTCCGCCTCAGGAAATGCACAAAGACAGAAGAAGAGTTCAGAGCATGTGTGTAAAGGTTGTTTTGGCGCCATAAAAGAGTTCCTCTGTGTGTCACATGATCGTTTCCAGAGATGCAGATAGACATCCACACGGAGATGAAATGGTCGTCGTTTACAGATTTATTCACTCTCTGACCCGTTTTTTAAAAAGTACCGTTTACAGTCACCTGAAACGCCGATACGACAAAAAACTTTAGCGTTTCCTCCTGAATTAGTTTCCATGGTGACGGGTTGATACCGCCTTCAGACAGACTTTACAGCGGGGAGTGGTTTACTCTTCATCTGAAACTGTGAAGTCGTACCAATTCAACACGACTGACTCGCTCTTGTTCTATTTAACCACAAAATTATCGCCTTCTTTAGCAAACTCCATGTTTGTTTACACTGGTGTGTGTGGGAACTGAGGAGCCTACGGTGGCCTGGAGGGGCGAGACATGATAGAGAGGAAAATCGTTTTGAGGATTTCAACTTTTTTAACATCATCATAATGAAATAATCTGATTACGATATAAAATCGATTGATCGTGCGGCCCTACCTTACACATTTATTGTTTCCGTGTTGTCCTCGTCCAAACTGATTTGAAACACATTCTGACTTCAGGTTTAAAAAAGAAAGTATATTTTTCATAAAAAAATAAAAAAACACTCCGTTTTGACATTTGAAGTGTTGATTTTGCTCCATTTTAATTAAATAAAAACCTTAAATAATAAAAAAAAAACATTAAAATATGTTTTTATGAAGATTCTTAATTTGTTGGCATCTGTTTAGTATATTTGGTGAAACAGTGAAAATATTTAAAGTTATTATTCTGGACTGTCTACAGTGACTAACACATCATCTGACAAACACATCAACATTTCATCACAGTCTTTGTTATTTGTTCCATCTGTTAGCTTACTAATCTGTTTACACAAACTACACCATGAGCTAACCACAGCTGCTGTGTTGATTAAACACACACACACACACACACACACACACACACACACTTGTATAGAGAGTGATGGGTGGTGTGTTTGTGTTTAAATCTGTGTGATTTTGAAACTCTGATTTGTTTAATCCCTCTGTTCGACTCTCAGCGTGTTTTCGGTGTGAATCTGTTTGTGGGTGAAACTCAAACATTTCAGCAAAGTCTCTTAATCTGTTCGTCTAAATATTGTCAAACACCGTTTTTTCAATAAGAAATCAGTTTTTACTTTATTTTCCCGACAGTGTTCCCAAATGTTAGCGAACTATCTCCAATGATTCACCACGGCGTGTATAAAACTCTCACCTCACATCATCAGCTGAATTCGCATCGACATGACGCACACGCCACGTCCTGCGAGTGGATCCAGTCATGTGAAACTCTGCAGGAACAGACATGAACACACATGAGCGACAGTGAGCTGAATCAGTGAAAAACAAACACCACGTTTTCAGAGTAAAATGGACTAAAAGAATTTGCCAGAACCTGCAGGAAAAGTAAACGACGAGGACTCTGAACCTCGACAAAAGACGAGGAGGTTCACTTCAAAACTGCTTCACATGTGTATTCAGAGTTTTGTATTAAAGTGTTTACACAAAACTATTAAATCTTTGTCCTTTATTTGCACAAAAAGAGTCTAGGGCGGCACGATTAATCGTTTTTAAATCGTAATCAGATTATCTAATTATGACGATGTTAAAAAAATCCAAAATCAATTTTCCTCTCTATCATGTCTCACCCCTCCAGGCCACCGTAGGCTCCTCAGTTCCCACACACACCAGTGTAAACAAACATGGCGTTTGCAAAAGAAGGCGATAATTTGGTGGTTAAATAGGACAAGAGCGAGTCAGTCGTGTTGAATTGGTACGACTTCCACACAGAAACGTCAAAAAGAGTTTATTTTAAAAAATCAGGATTTTATTTTTGGCCAAAATCGTGCAGCCCTAAAAAAATCCCATAAATGCAAAACTAACCAGAGACTCTGAAGAAGTGAATTTACGGATATTTTCTTACTGTTGAGGGTTTAAAAAAATCTTTTATTGTGATTATTTTATGTTGAAAATTGAAATCAGGGCCGTTGACCTCCTCACATCATAGTCAGGGATTCAAAAGTGACTAAATAAAAATGACAATATAGTCGCTGATGGTCTTGTTTGTTTTTTTAATATCATTAAATGAATTTCAGTGACTTTTAATCGAGTGTAAAAACTTTAAATTGTATCATCGCAGGTGTTTTAAAGGTGCAGTACGTAGTATTTAGCAGCATTTACCAGAACTGACTTTAAAGAAACTGAATATATTTGTGTGCCTGTAAAATGTGCCACCATCTTGCGCCCCTATATTTCTACGGTTACCCAGAAAGGACAAAAATGTGTTTTTGTTTTCATGAGCAGCTCTGCCAAACGCAGTGGAGGAAGACGAGGGTGAGTGTTTTACTGATATTAAAGGGGGTTACACTTATCTGCATCAAAGGAGCTCGGAGGGCCGCCTTCATTTCATCAGAAAAAGGGGCGAGTAAAGGAGCATTTCAGTCCAGAAGTGACTGGAAGATATCGCTGAATTTGTCAATTCCTACACTCACTCTGTCCCTGTAAAGGTGAAAATAAAAGAAGTAGAACAAAGAAACAGAAAATTATTGAAAATGTTCAGAGTTCATTCACTTCCTGCACGTCTCTTTACACTCCCTACAGATTTAGGATAATTCCTCTTAAATGTGCAGGAAGAAGCAGAGAGGAGGATTTACTCTGAAATCATGAGGCCTCCATGTTTCTTCTTCTTCTGAATCATCACAGAGTTGGAAAGTTTCTTGTCTCTCTCTCTCTCTCTCTCTCTATCACAACAACCTCGTGTTGCTGCAGAAGCTGCTCCTCCCTCACACGTCTCCTGTGATTGGTCCATCGGGTAGAGTGGCTCCTCCTATCAGAGGTCGATCTTCTGGGCCTGCAGAGGACTGACAGGTCCAGACAGGCTGCCTGCACCCAGAGAGAGAGAGAGAGAGAGGGAGAGAGGGAGAGAGAGAGAGAGAGAGAGAGAGACTTATATCACTGCTGCTGAAACAACAACCACCAATGCAACCGCTAATACTCCTACTTCAGTGACTAATGCTGCAAATGCACATGTCCGGACATCCTGCAACAGAGTCAGAGAAGAAGAGTTTAACCCTCTGACTGTCTCCTGCTGCTTAATGTGCAAACACTCAATCTGTGCAAACCCAGAAATCCAAACCCTGTCAAATATGAACCTCAGAGAGTCGTTAAACGGTGAAAAAGCTGCTGATGTTCATTCATTTATTCAAGGAATCTGCTGCTGCCCTGACCACAGAGGGACGGATCTCCTTAGTATGCTTAAAACAAACTGAACCTTGACATGAACACGCTGCAGTACCCTGAGTGTCCACTAGAGGCAGTGTAAAGAAGCAGCAGAAACCACAGGTCCACACTGAGCCAACATAAACACATTTACAGCCGGGTTCAGAACCAGCTCAGGTCTGAAAACGGTTCCTCAGAGTTGACTCTGATTTACTTTGACTCGTTGGATTCCCCTGTAAGGATCTGACGGCGCCTCCTGTTGGACCTGATCCACTCCGGTTGAGTTAGAGGGCTGAGTTTTGGCTCTGAAGGCTGTGAAGATCCACACTGATATCAGTTATTTCCACTGGGATCACCTCAGGGTTTTGGATTCACTGAAGAGGATGAAGTCATCCTGATTTGAAGCCGAGTTCATCTTGGGTGAATTTTGTCATGTGAGTTAGTACAGTGGACCAAAAAAAGAGGTTTTTTCCAACAACACCGACCTTTAGGAGAAGTGGAGGAGCGACTGAACGGAGAGAATCTATCAGAGCAGACCTCCCCTCATTATTCCTCCTGACTCAAACGGCGCCATAAAAGAAAATCTTTCACAGACATTCAGACAGGAATGCTACAAAAGATTTATATTTTTATTTGGAGATGTGCAAATATTAAAATCTGAATCTGAATTTATTTACCAAGAAGTTTGACACTAAAATGACATTTATCTGTTTTTTCCCTCCTAACACAACAGTCCATATAAATCCTTTCCTGTACTACGGAGCCCCTAAAGGGACATAAAGGAAGAAAAATAAAAAAGGGTTTTCTTGACATCTTATATGTAATCATGCAAAACTATTATGAGATCTCACAAAGTTGTCATAGGGTGAAAAGTAAAAAGATTACAGATTAGTGTCGAGTTAACCCAAACGATAGGAGAGGTTCATTTCATCTTATTTAAAAAGATATTAAATCAGTTTTAATGTCTGCAGGAACTGTTTTCTTATAAAACACAGAATTTCCCCTCGGGGATTAATAAAGTTCTCTATCTATCTATCTAAAACACGTCCTGAACGAGGACCTTCTGTGTGTGCAGAGGGAAAAGGTGGGCAGCAAACGAGTTTAAAATTAAATTCGTGAACATTGTCGCTACAGGATCCATCCCTGAAACCCGATTTGTACCGCGCATGTATGAAACATTCGTCACTTCCTCTACCAGCCATCTTCGTGACTGCTCGGCAGTTCTTTGCCCTTCGCGGTTTTTGACAGCTTCGACATTTGTTCGACAGTTTCAACATCAGCGAGCGCGCTTCAGAAATAAAACACTGACCAAATATTCCTGATAAAACATTTGGGAGATCTCACAACAAAAATCTTGAGATTTTTTGTTTTTTCCATTCATGTCCCTTCAGGGGCTCCGTACTTTCCTGACACTATCAAGGTGTATTCATGCAAATAGAACCGTTTTACTCCTGAATTTAGTTTGAATTTTTCCATCTGCAAACCGATCTGTGAGCAGAGGGAAATATTCAGGGGAATTCATGGTATAACTGAGTTTTCTGGGTTCCTAATTTACTGAATAATAATATAATAATATAATAATATAATTAACGGCACGTAGGCGAGGAGTTTCTTCCTCCTCCGCTGTATTATTGAATGCAAATGTGAACTAAAAACACAAGTTTACGACAAACACAACACCTTCTCCTGCAGCTACTTGACTCTAAAGGTGAATAAAATACAGAGAACATGTAACCAACATGACACTCTGTTCCAACAGTAGAAACAGACTCTGCAGTCTTCATAGACGTGATGAATCTGATACGCTCTTCTTTAAAATATTAAAGACACAGTTTGTGATGTTTTAGGGGGAAGAGAGAGGTTGTTGATTTACATGAAATAACTTTTATTTATGGACTTTTTAAAGGTAGAAACTTCATATTCTATAAACGGGTAAATCTAATGAAAGTGCTGAGATGTGATGCAGTTTTTTAGTGAAACTGTGCGTCTTCAATTCTTGGCGTGATGAACATAATATAACAGTTTCAAATGTTTCTTTGTATGTATTAATTCAGCTGAGGGTCGAGTGTTCTACATGAAATTAAAGAGTAAAAATGGTGCATGTCCGAGGTCACATATCTGAACTTAAAGGTGTATAATATAAGTACTCGACTTTAAATCCATCCAGGCTGAAAAAGCGGAGCTCAGAGTGAAAAAAAAAACACATGCTGAATGTTCCTCCATCCTTCTGGCCGTTTCCTCCCCCTGCAGAAGAACCCCGGCCCGCTCTGATGAATGTTCGATTTCAGCTTCCCCACATGTCAAACCTCTGCTGAACATCACGCCGAGCTCTCCTGCGCTCATCTCTCCGATCTCACTCTGTGGGAGTTTACATGAGATATCCTCCAATTGAGAATCTGACACCTCCAAGCCTCGGTGTAAAGTGCTCCTCGGAGGCTGCACAGTGTCAGCTCACATGTAATGCTCGCTGACGTCAGGGTAATACATCGCGCTCTGGACGTGGATGTTTGGGAAATGTCTTTTTAACTGGTTTCCCGTGTCCTGGGATGGGAGACAGCGAGGAAGGCCAGCCAAGAGAACGGCTTCGGCTCGTCCATCAGTCCCAGAAATCTAAATATTTACCCTGTGATCCACATTTATCCGTCCACTGCTGCTGCTTTCTGGGTCAAAAACAAAATGTTTCTGGGAAGATACACGATGATGCAGAGTTTATCCGATGCTACCCACAGAGATTTATCCTGAACTGTCAGGGCGGACAATAACACATATAAATCCTGCTGCGCGTCTCCCATAAAAATCATTAGAATCATTAATTTGACTTCTTCACCAGCTGGGAAAATCTGGGCGGGAGGAGACGGTGAGTTATGTTCGGTTTTTTTAGCTCGGCCCTTCAAACTACGCCGATGAAGCCGATTAACAAACAGAACGAGTTCGTGGTTTTCAAGTTGATATAAAGACTGAAAGGTCAGCAGATTTTCATGAGAAACAAAAGTTTACAAGTCCACACCTTCCTCTGTCGAATGCTGCTGGACCGTCTTTCTAAACAGGAAATAATCCGGCTTTAACCCTCCGCAGGGTGTGGCGCCGGATTCAACCTCACGGCTCTCAAGTGGAGATTAAGAATTAAAAGCTTTCGTAAATATCCGCTCATGCTCTCCAGAGACGACGCAGCTTCTCTTTGAGCTTCACACCACGTTGTAAAACCTGAGACCACACAGTGAAGTACCTGGATTTCTTCTGCCCGTCCCACATGACACGAACTTTGAATCCTCATGAAGACTCGTGATACTCAGTCTTTTCTGGGAGTCTCTGAGCTCCGTCATGCTGTAGGCTCCTCTGGATCGCTGCTGCAGACGTCCTGCTGGAGTCAGAAAAAGAAAATCAGAGGTGGAGAGAAGATGGCTACATCTACTGAAGTTATTTTAGCGCTTGCCTTGTCCGAATAACTAAAATAATTTTCGTAGATGTAGCCATCTTCTTTCCGCCTCTGATTTTGCTTTTGTCCGACTTGGTGACTGAAACGCTGGGGACTCGGGTGTGACGTCGTTTTCAGCTCTGATATCTGACTTCCATGGTAACTCGAAATCAGCATACATCCTTACGGCTAAATTCCACAGGATACAGAACAGCTGCCTGATCAAAAACACAAGCATAATAATCAATGTGCGTGATTCCAAACAATACTTCCGCTGTGGATCGGCTCCGGCGGCCCGATTAGATACGCAAGGTTTCAGTTTTATCAGGTTGCAGCACAAATCATCATGTCAGTGCAGCATGAGTGGAAGTTTAATGCGGCTACAGAGTAAAATATCCATTTAATTTTCAAAATAAAATAAAGTTAATATACTGAACTGTAATTCACGTGATAATGGGAGGAGCCAGGGTGTTAAAATACAGCGCTGATCTCATTTATGTCTCACGGTGAAACACGTAAGAGCTCGTCCAGTTTCATGAGAAAAATCGGTAATACCGGTTGGATCCGGTGGGCGCTGTATGCTTGAGTATTTGATCTAACGGAGCGGATCTGCATGCGGTGGAATCCCTCATCTTGATGTAGTCAGAATCTCCTACAGTATCATTTCAGAAGTGTAAAGTCAATAAATCGGGTTTGATCGTTTGTTGATTCCGCTCCTGAAAAAGAGAGCGCTGGTTTGTGCGGAGCGGGTTCTGGGTTCTCATTAATCTCTCTTCAGAGGGTTTCAGGGTTTGTTCCTCTCGAGTGGTGCCACTCTAAAACATGCTGGGGGCACCGACGCTGCCACGCACCATCCTGCTCGTCTGATCCATGATTAATGTTGTTTATATGATAACTAAGAGTTTGGCGGAGGGCTGTATCGTCAGTATTTGTGTGACCTGCAGGCGGAGCATCACCGATGGAGAGATTAGAAAGGTGTCCCACATTTAAACACCAAAGAGAGACCATTTATCAAACCTGGAGGACGGCGGGGGGCGTGCTGGACTCTTCTTCTTCTTCTTCTTCTGTCTCTTTTATTGTTCGAGTGATGTCTGTTGGGTTTCGTGTCCACACACACACACACGCACACGCTCGGTGTTGACCTTGGCTCTGACCAGACCTGCTGCAGTGTGCCCTGCAGACGAGGGCCTGACCTCCCGTCAAGACCTTCCTGTCCGGCTTAATGGATGGTCTCACGTTTCAGAGCGCCGACGCTGGAGAAGAAACAGCAGAGGGAGGAGAAGCTTTGAGGGGGGGGAGGGGTAAAGTTAGACAGGAGAGACGTGAAAGACAACGTTTTAGCTTGTAGGCCGCGGGGAGTGACAACAAACACGGGACCTGGACTGAAAGAGGATCTGCTGCAGAGCGAGGATGGATGGAGCTGCTGTCTGTCAGTCAGTCTGGTTCTCTCTGTGGAGGTTTACCTGGACTGAACATCACAGCTGGTTTACCTGCAGAGAGCCGGAGGACACAAACCCACCAGAATCAAACTTTTCTTCTCAGTCTAAAGTGTGTTTATCATACCTGAAGACAAACTCAGTTCCTAAGGCATGTCTCCAAACCTTTAGTCTGCGGTTTCACAGGAAAACTCAGTAATCTTTTATTTAAACATCCTTCCTTATTCCTGACTCAAACCTAAACACCCTCCAAAGACCTCTGTAAACACAAAGACGCATTTTAACACACTTTAGATTTAGAAAAGAGCGAATCACGCTCTCTGCTCCCGCTCAGTTATTAGAAAAGAGTCGAACTTTTGGTCCTTTTTTAAGAGAGTTTGAACTTTTACTGAAACTTTGGATTTTTTATCTGATCAGCGGTGGAAGTCATTCAAGGCTTTAGGTGTTTATCATAACTAGGGCTGCTCGATGATGGCCAAACTCAGAATCACAATGATTTCAGGATTAAGTCAAGTTTATTTCTAAAGCACCTTTAAGAAGACAGCAGTTAATCAAAGTGTTGTACACACGATCAATAAAGTGAATAACTAGATAGCTTGATCTATAAGTGTAACAATCATCAGGGTGAATATTTTTTTCACTGTTTATGGAAATATGAGATTTGAAAAGATTTTAGAGCTCAGTGTTAAAGTTTATCTCTCAAACCACAACTGTCCCTCTGTGCCCTCAGTTCTGTGTTTGAGATATTTACCCAGAGGACTTTATCTTCCAAAGACAGAAAATGGTGGATCTTTGTTCACTGCAGGACAAACGATGTTTTGGATTATGTTGGTTGCCTCTCTTTTAACCAAAGGACTATTTTGAGCAGACGGTTTCACTTCATGCTTAATTTGAACAAATCAGTGTTTAATTATTGTTTAAAGAACTGTAAATATCTATTTTTCTGTTTTGTTTTTACCTACAACTTTGACCTCCTGCTGGACCCTCGTTGGGTGTGAAAACATTTCTTAATCCAACATGTTTGTTTTTTCTGGTCTGGTCAGGTAAAACAATCATCTTCACACCTCGTCAATCTGAAAAATGTATAAAAACTTGGCGGAAAACTAACATCTACAACTATTCAGAATAAATAAATCATTTTAAAAAACCTGTTTAGAAGTTTACAATAACGCTGAAGAAAACTTATCTGAAGCAAAACAAATTCCTCTTAAATGAATGTTAGTGACATCTGTTTTAGTAAATATCTGAACGTGAATCCATTCTTAGTCCCTTAACTTTTGACCATCATCTTTGTGCTTGCGCCCCCTGCTGGCCGAACAGGGTCCTGCTCCAAAACATTAAACCTTAGAGTAACAGCTCATTTTCAGGGCCTCTTCTTCAGCTTCAGAACCAAAGTGTGATAATAAAAAAGAATCTAAATTATCCAGAGCTAAAACCACCTGCCTGTTACTGTCGGCCCTCCTCTCTTCTTCTAGTCTGTCTTCTTGTATTTCGTATTTTGCTGACTGACAAAGTAGAAACCTCTATCACTGAAAAGAGCACGCAAGTGGATTAAATCTGCAGTTCCTGAAGTGTCCACTTGGGGCTGATTCCAAAGACTAAGAACCTCAATTCACACCCTGAGTAAAACTTTATTTTTTATAAGCAGAATAAAACTGGAACAAAAATGGAAATACTGCAGCTCATCAGGGGAACGTACCTCAGTTTTGAAGTCTCAGTTTGGTTCACTCCGGTCATACAGCAGGAAATCCATCCATCCATCATCAGTTGTTCTCAACAGCAGCTTTAGGTTGATGGTAAAGAGCTGCTTTAACTTCACTGCTCAAATATCGGCCAGTTATGTGACATTTCATCCTTTGGGAGTTCCCTCACCAGTTTTGACATATTTTAAATCGCGCCTCAGATAAAAAGTACTTTTCTTCATCTTACCTGCAATGTTTTTTTTTTAATGTCATTAATGACCTTCCTGATAATGTCAAAAACTTTTAGAGCTTATTATAGAGTTTAGAGTTATTTCATACAAAAGCGAATTAGATTTACCAGGAAAAAAAGAAATGTAGGACTCTGTTTTTCAGAGTAATCTTTTTCTGCTCTGTTCTTTGAACATTTTTTTTTGAAGACTGATTATTAATTTTGTTTTATTTTTCCTTTTCTCTGGGATCAAAATCATTTAAAAACGGACACTTTTTTTAATCTCATTTAGTCAGGAAAGAAAAAGTCTGAAAAACAGAAAGACAGGAAAAAAATTGAATGAAAAACTGAAAAAAAAATTCCAAAAGATAGAAAGGAGAAAAAAATATTAGTACAAAAGACAAAAAATGAGGCTAAACAACAGAGAGAAGAAATAAAAGTAGTCCGAAAAACAGAATAAAAACTTTTTCAAAAAATAAAAAGACAAACAAAAAAAAAAGTATGAAAAACTGAAAAAAATTGTCCAAAAAATAGAAAGGGGAAAAAAAATATTAGGTCAATAGATAAAAGAAAAGAAAATAGTTGAAACAACAGAAAGAAAAAATTAGTCTGAAAAACAGCAAAGAAAAAAAAAAGAAAAAGGGAAAAAAATATTTGTACAAAAAAACAGGAGAAAAAATAGTCAGAAAACAAACAAAACAAAATTAAAATATGTCCAAAAGATGTAAAAAAAAAAAAATATATAGAAAGAAGAAGACAAGTCAGACAAACAGAAAGATGAAAAAACAATGTATGAATAACTGAATAAAAAATTGCCTGAAAAACAGTTTGAAAAAAAAAAAAAGTACAAAAACAAAAGAAGAAAAATAGTCAGGAAACCAGAAAAAAATGTGTCCGAAAAACAGAAATAGGAAAAAAAAAAAATACTCAAACAGTTTTTCCTTTTTTTGTTAGTTTGTGCATTAAGCTTCTGTAATTTCTAGAACAATCCGGTAACAGTGAAGTGACTGGAACAGGGTGTGTGTCGTCCGTAGCGCCTGATTGGCTCCTTGTTTTTCATGCTGATGAGAGAAAAGAAGACGAGCAGACACTTTTGACTTTCTCTCAGCGCTTTGAGAGCCAGCACCAAGAGAAGACCCTGCTTCTGCGAGGTAGCTGCCTTAGCGAAATTTATTTACAATTCACAAAATACAGGAGTCGCTCTCAGTGTTCAAGCATTTCACAAAGTGTCGTCATCTGACGAACCAACACCCCAACGCCTCCCTCCTCTTTCAATCTCTATTGCTCTGTCTTTGGTTTCCCCGTCATCATACTCGGCTTCACATACATGAGAAACTCCTACAATCAGTTTTAAATACCCGTCGGATATTTCCTCACACACACACACACACACACACACACACACACACACACACACACACACACACACACACACATTTATCCGGTCTGATTTTATTATCATTTAGGTCTCTCACCTAAAGCCTGAATTTACAGCTCAGTAAACTAGAAAGTTTCTTGAATATCCCGGTCAGCTGGTAAAGAGTTTGGACTGATCGTTATTTTTCTTATTTATCTATAAACAGTTTTCTCCTCTTTTATGGCTTTAAAACTCAAAGTTACACCTCTGTTGAATAGTCGCTCTGTCGTATTTGTGCGTTGGATGTATGGCGGCTCGCTAAAGGCATGTGCAGAAGTCGTGTTTCTGAGTTTTTGGTTCTTTTTTTAATGCTTTTTTTCCTCTCAGACAGTAACAGAGAATTTCTTTCAAGTGCTTTTTTAAAACACAAAGATGTCCGAGGGGATGAAAACCAAGAGCTGATAAAAACGCTCTTTTATGAACACTACTTTTATTTTAATGTGCTACACTTTTTAATGAGGCGTCTTCTAGGGCTGGGCGATAAACCAAAATTTACAGATTCTGAAATTTACCACGATAACGATGTCATTTTGCTCTTATCTGTTAAAAAATAAATCAAAGTGGTTTCTGGATGTGTGTTTGTAGGCTATGGTCTCATGTCCCTTTAAGTCGCTGTCCTACGAGTAGTAATCATCTATTTATCGTGATATTGATTTGAGGCCGTATCGCCCAGCCCTAGAGTTTTCAAAAGTCCGTCAGGATCGGTCTGAGAGCCAATCAAACGGCTCAAAATAGAAACAGTCTGCGGCGTTTAGTCCTGCATGGACAGAAGTGTTGTCTTAAAGGCTAAAGTTTGATGATTCTGAACCACCAGAATTAACGTGTTTAACTACATCTCCAAAAAAACACCACCCACCTCCACCTGTGCGCCACACCTGCCCCACAACGAGGACAGCTGTTCTGTTTGTCTTTGAACATGGACTCTGTCTGTTTCTCACGCAGGAGCTAAAGAAGGAAAGAATCACAATCCATGAAATAAATATCCTGACTTCATCATGAGGGTCTTTATCGCAGAAATCCATGTCACAAAGAAAAACTCTCTGAGTCACCTCGACACGTGAAGATACGCAGCGACATCCGTGCGACAGCAGCTCATACCTGCTCAAACCGGATCCATGACGCACACGCTGGTGGGCGGGGTTTTCTGGACTTTTGGCTGTGCTGAGATCAGTTTGGTCAGTCATCCAGTCACTGTAACACACACACACATACACACACATGCACACAGATACACACAGACACACTCGTGCACCTGCTCCACTCACTGCCTTGAGCGTTGTTGATCCTAAACTGCTTAAATCTATTGAAAATAAATGACTGTAATAGTTTTTCTCTAGTTTCTCTCGGCGTTTCTCTTCCTCCGTGTTTATGAGCTTTTAAGCTAATGCGATACGACAGTTTCTGTAACTTTCAGCTGAGATGTGCACCCCCTTGTGGTCAGGAGGTGGTACTTCCTAGAAGTGCATCATAGACAGCTACGATCAGAGTATTTGGACAGGGAAGTGTTTTCGTTTTGGTAAAAGAAGCTGGGCTGAAACTGTGAGGTTAAAGTGCCGACTCAAGCCTTCAGGTTTCCTGTCAAAGACGTTTAAACACCTTTAAAGAAAAGCTCCAAGTCTGAGCGTTGAGCCTCCAGAGTCCAAATCAGTGTCCAAAAACCTCCAATCCAAGAAACTGCCCTGCGGCTGCCGGAGGGGAGGAGAATTCATCTCAACTGAGTTCATCATTAATAAATAATTTGCTTTTTGAAAGCTTTAGGAGTTTTAAATGAATTAAAGAATAAACATGAAGATGTTAGGAGGAGAGTTTAGGAATCAAGACTTCCTGTTGGTGATGTCCCAGTCTGGTTAGTCTTATAATAAGATATTCATCTCATGCTGTCTTCTGCATCTTCCCCTGCTATGAACTAGACCACACCTGGTTGAACTGATTGAAGTAAACATTAAACTTGGACTTTTCCTTCCAGAATCTAAAACGGCTGTTTTTTCAAACCCTTAAATACTGTTGTCAAAGATCAGTGCGGCGCAGTGACCCTTTAATTCACCAAACTTCGCTCTCATGGACTTTCACTTGTCTCCGTCACGGTCTCCCCGCAGCCGTCTCTCATGCTGCCGCTTCGTGATGATGTACTTGAAGAACTCGTAGACAGACCAGCTGATGGCGGTGGAGGGCATCTGGTAGATGATGCGAGCCTGGACGCCTTTGAAGAACGCCTGCGGGCCTCCCATCCTGTACACAGTCCTAAACGCCTCGCCCAGACCGGATATGTGGCGGCTGCCGGGGCCCGAGGCTGCGGCCGCTCCCACCGCTCCTGTCGCTGTCTCCGCTTGGATCACGTGTATGGCCTGAGCCTCCTGCGTGTTGAGGAGGGTCTTGCAGACGTCGAGAGGTGTGGTGGCGGCGGCAGCCACGGCTCCAGCTAAGGCGCCTGACACCACGTGAGATGTGGGGTTGTACTGTCTGTGGGGGTTGAGCAGCTCCTGGAGGTACTCGTAGGTCATGAAGTGGAGCGCCTGGAAGGGCACGTTCATGGTCAGCTGGGTGGTGTAGCTGCGGTAGAAAGCAGCGGGACCTTCCTGCTTCAGCAACGATCCCATACAGTCCAGAACGCCTCGGTACGGAGAGTTGAACATCTGCATCCGCTGTTTCACAACTGTGGAGAGAAAACCATCAGGACGGAGTTTAAGAAAGGACGCCGAGGAGGAGAGTCGAGTCAAACACGACAAACAGAAACCAGAGCTGAACGTGATCCTGCTGCTCTGGTTTGTACTAAGGCTGCACGATATTGGAAAAAAATAATATTGCGATTTTTTCAACCCTGCGATATATATTGCGATATTAAAAATACAGTATTTTCACCAGATGACCTGAATATCACTTAATGTTATGCTGCACTGCTGAAATCTTGAGGACAGTTAATCTGCACTGATCTTACCTCTTTTTGTGAATGTTAGTAGAACGGCTTCTGTCTGTCTCAGAGATATTTTTAGCTTTTATTGTGCTGGGACGTTATTGTGGCAACAGGTGAACACAGAAGACGTGTTTTGGTCGACATTATCCTTCTTTTAACCGAAATAATTCCAGATAACTGACTTTCCTTTTCTTTTTGGCAACAAATCTTCATTTTCGGTGGTTTTCGCTTGTTCGTTGTTCATTTTGCGATCGTTGTTGTTGTTGTTAGCGGTGTTGTGCCGAGAAACGCATGTCCTCCGAGAATTGCATGCACCTCGCAAAACGCGCACTGCTTATAGTAGAGTGGTCCACGGAAATATACAATTTAAAACCCATACAGTTCTTATTTGTTGGGCTTAATAGTCAGTAAAGTTCTGAAAGTAATTCTCAGCGGACACACGTCTCCCTCCATGTGCAGAACATGTGCAGGGGTGGGTTTTCTCCTCCCTGATTTTGATTGACAGCTGGCAGGGTAGTCTGATTGGCAACTGAGAAGTGAGTCTGATTGGCAACTGAGTTAAGGACGAAGGCGATTGGTGGATCGCTGCACAGCACATGCAGAGTCACATGGAGTGTATCTCAGTCGGTTACCCTTGAAATTAAATGAGTTCATTCACCTCCAATATCGCAGGCTCTGCGATGTGACTATCGCACACACGTACATCGCGATGACGATAGTCAAACGATATATCGTTCAGGCCTAGTTTGTTAGGAAGTGAAAGGACATAAACATGTCTGGGGACATCAGTTCTTCATGTGAGTCAGACCCTTCAGACGTTCAAGACCCTCTGATCTAAATCATCTTTATCTTGTTGTTCATTTTTCTGATGCTACAGGACATATCAGGAGAAAACTAAACACAAAACTGCTTTTCCGAGTATTTCTGCAGGTTCAGACACGGTGAGATTTCTTACATCACAAGTCCAAGCTCCGCCCACCTGTTCCTCGCTACGCAGGCCAGACTCGGAGAAGTCAAGAGTTTGTGAGCAGATTGAAATGCTCGTAAGAAAGCTGATTATGATTTTTACTTTGATGCTCCCAAAGACATTAGTGTCTGAGAGCTGGGAGCTCCTATGTTACCTGCCACTTTCATTACATCGGCAATGGTCTGCTAACAGCTAGCGTGAGCAGTGCAGTCTCCGCCCACGACTCAGAGGCTAATTGCTAATGAGCTGATGGAGCTCTGAAGAAGAGAAGCCCTTAAAAATGACACAGGTAACGTGACTTTGACTAAAAAACTTCATAATCATAATTTAAAGACCACTGAGAACACTTAAAGATCAGAGTGGGACTTTAAGAGTAGAGAGTCTGGATTATTGATCATTGATGGAGGCGTCATATGAAGGAGGAGGAGTACGGGAATTTCCTGGATGCCGATAAAAACTGAATTTTCTGTTGAACCAATAAATGTGAAGAGATATAATGATAAAACAAAATCAGAGACAACTAATATCAATGTCATTAATATGAATAAAGACAGGTGGTCTCTTCCTGGTTTCTGTCTCCGTCTCGGTCTTGAGTCTGACGAGCTTCCCTGGTTTCAGGATTATGTTTATGTCGGTTTATTTGCTGCCTGCAGAGAAAAACTTCAGTGTTTTCTTCTCTGTTTCGGATCCATTTTGCTTTGGTTGGGAAACTGTGTCTGATTACTTTAAATCCTAAAGGCTAATAAATATAAATAACGATAATGAAGGTCACTTTGTCTATAATTTTAGTTAGTTTCAGTTAGTTTTGTGAAGACGAGACACAGTTTTAGTTTACTTATCGTTTCTTTTCTTTTCTAGTTTTTATTAGTTTGAGTTAACTGTAATATATTTTAAATTCTAGTTTTTGCTTTTAGTTTCATTTTAGTTAACTATTATAACCTTGGTCTCTGTCTGTCATTATCATACAGAAACAATAATACAGTTAATTACTTCTTAATCTACAATAATAAAGGCTTTATGATCAGGTCAAATGACACCATAAGGGGTTCATATATAATCCAGACAGCTTTACTGATCGTCTTAATCCCTCTATGGTGGACTGTATGGTGGCTGATCTCTGACACAACCTTAGAGCTCTCTCTCTATCAGCTCAGACCCTGGTCTGTGGCTCCACCTAGTGGTGCTCAGGTAGAATAGCACCAAAACAGAGGGGAGTTTAATAAAAGTCCTCATGAGTCAGATGAAGATGTTTACCTTCAGCCGGGTTCATAACGGCGTCATGCAGCACGGTGGCCATACAGCCCGCCACTCCTGCAGAAGACAGAAGACGTTTCAGGGTCAGAGATTATTCTGTGAGAAAGAAATAAGTCCTGATTTGTCAGCTGGTGTCACCTCACCGTTTGCAAAGTGGCTGTTAGCCCCCGGGTGGATGGCGTCACTGAGTGAAAACTTGATCTTCTCGTAGCAGGCGAAGTACAGAGCGTGGGCAGGCCCCGCCCCCACCGCCAACACATTCACACCTCTGATTGGCCGCCACACACCCTCAGTCCGCACAATCTGCTGCAAGGCGTCCATCACGTTCCTGTAGCGGGCTCCGGGCTGTGGGTGCAGGCTCTGCATCCGGGTCTGGGGTGGAAGGAGGAACAGGAAGAGACAGACATTAAAATATGAGAAAACACAAAAAGTTTCACTCGATTCACTTCACCTCTGCTGTGACCTCTGACTGAGTGTACGCAGGTTCACACGCTGGCTGAGTCTAGTTTACTAAACTCCACTTGGTTTAAGGTGTTTGTGTTTTAAACATATTAAATTTAAACATATCTTTACAGTCAACACGGCTCCAACCTCTGGTCTAGTTCATCTCTAACCAGAGCTTTTGGTCTGGAAGACAGGAAGGTTTACATAACCATGTGGTGAAGCAGCATCACAACCTCATAAAAACATCACACACTGTGGTTATCGGTTCCTCTGCAGCTTCGTCTGCGTCTCACTTTGACCACATGAAAACATCACACCACTTCCAGTCTGTAGTCGTGTCAAGTGTTAACGACTCCGCCCCGACTTCACACTCAGACGTTCACTCTCTTCACAATAAAACCACAGATGTGGACCGAGTGTACGCAGCAGCGGCAGGAAGTGGTGCAGATTTTTAACCACAGACACTGCTCAGAAAAGCAGGAGAGTGGTTTCATAACCCGACTGAAAACCAACGCCTTGAAAAAAAGGTCCTGACCAGAGTGGAACAATCTTCGAACTCCTCCTGTCGTGCAATAAGTGAATTTCCCCAGCAGAGGAGGAGGAGGGAGCTGCTAAACTGAGGTGGCGTCTGCAGACGTTTCCACAGTTTGGAAATGGTCACTCTCTAGGAATGTGCTCAGTCATCCACGGTGGCTTCAGGTCCAGAGGGGTTTATTTTTGCAAAGACTGAACCAAGTCCAATCAACCATCTAAACCAGATCAAGCTGTCTTGAAAAAACCAAATAGTTCTTTTTTATCCATGACGTAACCTCGAGTGGATATTTGATCCTGCTTTGGAAGGCAAATGAAATTAAATACACTACAGTCACAAGTCGACAGGTTCAAATATGGTCAGAGTGTGTTTCCCAACATGAACCTTTTTTGGACTCTGGGGAAAGTCCAGCAGTAAAGACCTGAACATGAACGAGACCGACGCCATCTGACAGCTTTGTTAGAAAACACACATGAAAAAGTTAAAAACGACAAAGTTTAACGGGAAATATGTCAACTCATGTGTTTTTAGGACAGCACTTCTTTTGCTCTGGGAGATGTAGTCAAAGATTTCTATCAATCAAAGTTGATTTTGGTCGTTTATTGGTGGGAAGTATTCAACCTAGGGCTGTTTGGATCAATACTGAAGTTTATTTAAGCTGCAGACGGTTAGAGGCTCCACATTTTATCTTGATTTGATACACAGTGGTTATATTCTTCGTCATTAAGTTATTTTCACTTCACCTCTACATTTATAAAATAAGCTACACTCTTCACATGTTCAGCCGTGGTTTTTCGATCCTGATCCCCAGAACTCTTCCCTCTATTACTGAGCCGTCTATTTAATCCACATGTGGAACTCTTCTTTGTGGGACCTGAGAGACTCAAAAAGCTCAAACATGATTGTTTCTTATATTCTGAAAATCCTACACTAATTAAAAGACCCCCATCTCGAGTATTAATCTTTTATTTTAATTATCACAGATCCAAAACCAAAACTCTCTTGGAACAACTTCTTACTGAGCCAAATACTTTCCTCCTCTGTCTACATTTCTTCAATAATATCCTCATTTAAGGTTCACGACTTTGTCTCTTATCTGTGAGTTAAATCAGTTTGTTAATTTTTACCAAATGTAAAAAACATGATCACTTGTCACCGGCTTAATGAACGGGCATTTGTTCAATCACCACAGTAGAGTACGAGGGAAAGTTGACGCCATTAAAGACAGCTAAGCAAATAACCTGTGTCCTCGTCTGAGATTCAACTATAAACACTATAAATAGCTTCAAAAGGCGACTGTGACTCATGAGGTAAGTGTGGTATTAACAAAACATGTTCGGGTATTCTGAGAAAATGAGGAAATAAATCAAGATATCCACTCAATTCTTTCTTGTAAATAAGAGCTTCTGTACAGAACATTGTGTTTTGTTAATGAAGTGTTATAAAACGGTTACAGGAACTCCTCCCTTTAAGGAAACGAACTCCTGACCAACAGGCACCACCATCAAATCTGTTACCCTAAACTCACTGAGGTTTTACGCTGGGAAAGAAGTTTGTTTCCTTCAATAAAAGAAGAATGTTTCATATATTAACCAGTCCATGGTTAATATACGGTTTATTGCCGTCTTGTAATGTCTATCAACTAAATGAGGATTAAACTCAGACCTTAAAAAGATAAAATCCGTCACAGGACAGTCTGGTCTTTCAGCTTCCCAGCACTGACTTTTACCATATCCTGCTTTAGGCGGTCCAGTCTATTACCTGAAGTGGTTCAGGAGTGAACTAAACCTGTGTTTCATGACAAGGTGGAGCAGATATTTACCCGCTCCCCCAAAGACGTCAGAGAAATGAGGAAACAACCTGAGAAAAGACTGACGTTCTTCAGCCCGCTGTGACGGTAACAGGAAGTTAGGATTATGAAAATCGATTGTTTGGATTGGGGGAAACTGTCTTAAAATAAAATGACTGCAAAGAAACTAAAATGACTTCCTTGTGCTTCAAGATCTTTAGTCTACAAAAATGAGAAATGCTCTTCCTGTTCCTGGTTCCTCTCAAACATACCGAGAGGACACAACAAATGAGTCCAATAACTTAAGAAATAAACATTTTAAATTCAGACGAGTCGTTTCATTTGTGCAGCTTTTTTAACCTCGTTTAATTCAGGTACGCTGTTTCAATAACACTGAAGCCTGATAAATCCCTTTTTCATGGATTTTCCCACCTTGAAACCACAAAAGTGTAATAAAACTTGAATTCAAGGAAGCTGTTAAATCCTGCCCGGTACTTCATGTTCAAGCCTTTCCGATAAAGTGTTTAGAAACTGAATAAAGCCTTATCTTGTACCTACAAACACAAATCTGCTGAGTAACTCTGAATCGCAATAAAATCAGATCCCGTGAACCACAGGGTCAAACGGCTCGGAGGCTTTTTTGGCTCAAATATGCGGCGAGCTGGAAGAGCTAATCATGGAGGAATTCGCTCTAAACAAAAGCTTCGTTTGATTTACCAGAGACGCTACAGAGAGCCGACGAGCTTTATCTGCTCATAAAAACCAGATCAACAGAACCAGTATCCCAGAATGTCAGGGTGCAGGTTTCAGTGATTTCAGTGAGGTGAACATGCTAGAGGGTATAACGTTTTCAAAGTTGGAACCAGTCAGACTAAGGAGAAGTTGAGTCATCTTAGGACATACTTCTTCATTTAGTATCAGGAATCTTCTGTATGTCACAATCTCAAACCTTAAATCAAACACTGTGCTTATCTTAGGGAGGTTTCCGTCTTCACCGTCATCTACAGATCTCTGTTTCTATTCTTTGCACCGCGGAGCTGAAAGTTGTTTCTAAATGTGAGGCTCTTAGTCTGGACCACAGTGTCTTAGATATTAAACAGAACTGGTGTGTCTATCTGCTCAGACTGAACGAATGTGGAACTATTAAACTCAGCTTTAGGTTCACTTTTTAAGAGATTGGTTTCAGAGACACGTCAGGACAAACAGAGCTGCTGGATTACGTAACGAGGCTCATCCCAGAGTTCGTGAATGAAAGACTGCCGCAGAGTTTACACCACTCCTGTAATTGAGGCCAGCTTGGATTAAAAGAATAAATGATTAATCTGTCCAACATTCATAAAGAGGCTGGTGACTTTTAACCTAATAGGCTCTTATATCAGAGCTTGATAATCAAATGATCCAGCGGCAGAACTTTCACTGCTTTATAGCTGCAAATACAAGCAACTAGAAAGACTGTCGACCGTTGGTCTATTGATTTAAAGCCTGTTTGTGTTAATCATCTACAGCCTGTTAGAGATTTCTTCATAAAATCCTGTCATTATGACCCCCTGAAACACTTTCCTCTAATGAAATCAAGTATAGCTATAGCTGGGGTGGTTTATAATGCAAACTGGCCTCGAATATAATAAAGTCACTTTATTTAATATCCTTAGCATGTTTGTTTTGACCTTGGACTGTTGACAAATACTCTCTTTTCTTGATAAGTGCACAGGTCATGGTCAGACACAGTTGAATTAGCAGAACAAGTTTGTAAAGTTCAAGAAAGTCCTGAAAAAGTTGGAACTTACTGAGAATCTCTGGATGTTTTTTTAGAATTAACAGTAAACAGGAAACGATGCAATTCAACCTCATATCCTTTCACTGAGCTTATGTTTCTCCTATGAGCCTTTCTTCTTCTGTTGGCATGGTAAACAGCTCACGACTGTTGTTTAAAATAATCCTATAAGTTTCAGTGGTTGCTAGTGAGGAAATAGAGTCAAAAAAGTTAAAAAATAATTATTTTATGAATACTTTGGGGACAAAGTAGGATGGATGGAGCTAAAATACAGAAATTATCACTACAAAAAGAATTTAAAGGCACCAAAATCGATTTTACTATTGACTCTTTTAATTAAAAAAAATTATCCAGGTCATTTTATATGGGAAATATGGTGATTCTGTGTTTTTTTACCATTAAAAATAACAGTAACATTTTGCACAAAAACTGGCATAAAAAGGGAAATGCATCGAATTTCATATTTATAATTTTTTTAATGGTCAGGGCTGAAGTTGTTTAAGAGATATGAGTCATGAAAAGTTGTTTAAAAATGTTTAAAATTATTATTTTATGACCACTTATCCTTATGACAGAGTAGACTGGATGGAGCTAAAAATTAACAGGAACAGAGAGTTTTTACTGGCCGGTGTTTCAAACATTTTGTTCTCCCCTGATATTCACAAATGAAGTGGACAAAACATTAGAAACACCTATCTATATCACACACTCTAGTAAAACACCTGACAATGTCCTAAATAATTAACAGTAAATAAGACTAATACTATTGAAGCTTTCTTCCAAGAATGAGTGGTTCACTGACAAAGTGTTCATATTATGGCTGGTGTTTATACAACTAAGTTAAAAGTGTCTATTTAGAGTTATAAGCTGAAATAAAGAGCACTGACACTCTAACACCCTCAGTCAGTCTTTACCTGGACTTTTCCTACTGTTTATATGCACACTATTGTATTATTTGTATTGAATATTGTACATACTTGTATATTCCATCTTTATTTTACTTGTTTTACTCATTTAGCTATTTATCGCTTAATTTAATCAATTATTTACCTTTTGATTGGGATTCTGAGAGGTGTCCGATAATTGAAGCATGCTAACAAGGACGGGCTACTACAGCTTGAACCGTGTCTGAGGTAAGCAGCTCAGGTAGAGGAGAAACCTCTGTCAGACCATGTTTATCTGTTAAAAACTTTACTTTTATGAAAACTGCACTCAATTTGGACAACTATCGTGGTTTTTATCAAACTTTCATTGAGTTATTTCCTGTTAAAACGCTGTTTCGTTAGTTAACTGACCTCTGTTAGCAAGGTTACCGCTGTTAGCGAAGTTAGCTTGTTGCCGAACACTACTCGAGCTCAGGCTTCTGTTCGGGCCTACCTACGCTCACTTAGTTTACGCAACTTGCGTCTGTCCTTCTCGTGATTTAGAGACACAAACAGACAAATAAAGATGTAAAATGTGAATGTTTTCTCTTCTGATACCTTGACACAGTCGATGGGGTACATGAGGCAGTGCTCCATGATTCCAGCCACGGCTCCTGCCAGCATGTGTGTACTGGTGGCTACTCCCTGTGGAAGCCCTTCATAGTCTATTTCTGTCTCCACAGAGGTCAGAGTGTCCGTGGGGGGTCGATACACCGGGGTAAAGTCGTGTTCCTCCGCTTTCCTCGATGAGAGATACCCCACGACCCCTCCGGTTAGGTTGGGGTCCAGGAGCCTGCCGCCCCGCCATCGGAACTCTGCCCCGGCTGCAGCGCTTGTGACCTGGCTGTCCAAGCCTGATGCATCCATGGACGATCGCCGGGACACGAATCCGTCCGCTTCCATTCAGAGAAGAAGATCTAAAGTCCCGTGAAGAGTGCTGAAAGGAACCGAGCAGCCCGACTGTTTGTGTAACCGTCCCCGCCGGTACGAGCGTCTGTTGGCGGGTTACAAGCAGCTGTGGCGACTCCAGGCTTCGGTGGGTTTGCCAATGACTCACGACAAACACATGACCTGATTTGACAAGCTAGCTGTCAATCCACACTCTTGTTTTTAATTGGTCAATTTTTTCCAGCAAAGAAGGCGGGGAAATTAAATAGGCGGAGTTACAGCCTCAGGGGGCGGTAACGATTTCGTAACATTGGAGAGTCACATGGACTTTCGGGAAGTGGTGCTGCCAGGCCGAGGACATGGAAGACATGCCACCAAACTGAGTCATTTAGGGTTTAAATACATGGAGTTAAAACACAGAGTTAATATCCCCAAATCCACATCCTTGTCTAATTATATACGAGAAGATATGTAAGTGTTGTTCTAGCTGTTAAATTCCTGAAGTAAGTACGGAAATAAAAGTTCGTAAAAAGTTTGCGTGTTTGCTATTACATAATTTGTTTAATCAAAACCAAACTCACACACAGGCCTTCACATTCACTTATTTAAAAAGAGAGGAAAAAAAATTAAGAGTTGTGTAACAGGAAAAAAAGTGTAAAAGCTTTCTGGGGACCTCTGTCTGAATAATGTTTAAATATTACAACATTAAAAAATATATACAAATTTAAACAGAAATTATATTCATTAGGGCTGGGGCGATATGCTTTTCTCTAGATCTGATTCTTCTACGATTTTTTTGGATGCCGATTTGATTGAAAGTGCGATTCTACGATTTCACGATTTTCAAGGTCCTTTCAAACTGGGACCGTTTATGTTGAGCGATTATTTCGGACCTTAATATTTTTTTAGAACCCATATCCTATCAATACAAGCGTTCAATATTACAAAGTTAACGACCTGAAGGAAAACTTGTGGAGAGTCATAGCGTCAGATTTCTCATATGATGATGGTTTGTGAGCTTTAACAGTTTGATAAACGTCTTTATTTTAACTTTCATCAGTGCTAACGTAAGCTAAAGGTTGTTACCATAGTTTCATGTACTGATCCTCTCGCCTCTGATTGGCTATAAGTGCTGACTGGGGCTTGAGTTTGTGATGACGTTTCCAGCTTTTCTAGCCAATTAGAGGCCTCTGAATATTTCGTAATTTTGCATTCTATATTCATGTCGGCCCTGGTGTGAAAGGACCTAAAGTCAGTTTTTAAGATTTGTTCCTAAATTAGAAAAAAAAAAAAAAAAGATTTTTAAATGAAAAAATTGGTTCAAAAATTGTAAAACAAAAAATAAAAAAAAAACTTTTTTTTTATGTAACCCTTTAATACCTGAAACCACAGATTATGACCTGAAAATTCCAATTTTTTTGGAGCTGAAATGTTTATTTCACTTACGACTGAAAACCAACAAAATCAAAATTTGCTTTAAATTTAACAAATATATGTATTTATCTAGTTTGATACATTAGATCAGATTAAAAACTATGGAATAAAATAAATAAAAATACAAATACCAAACCTCACCCTTCAACACATACAGCTTTCACACACACAGATACACACACACAAAAATGCACACGCAAAAGACACACAGGCGAGGACTCTTCAGCTTTCTACAGATAACTGAGGAAACGTTATCTTGAGTTAAAAGAAATGAGGAAACACTGGATCTAGGAGTAAAACGATAAAACTGTGATAAAATATAACAAAGGTCATAAAACGTGAAAACTTAATTAAATAAAACAGTCTTAAAATCAAACAATAAAAGAAAGTAAATACAAAAAGGGGTAATAAAACACAAAATTGTTACTCTACAACTAAAATAGGGTAAAACCACATAATGCAAATTAAAAGATTAAAACAAAATTTAACTAAAAGCCAGACTAAAAAGGAAGGTCTTCAGTTTTTGGAAACTGATAAACTACTAGAAGACATTTTTATTATTTATCGGACTGTTGATCACATTGATTTGATAGAATTTTATAAAACTACGTATCAAATATGACACAAAAGGCATTAAAGGGTTAAGTTATGTTGTATTTCTAGTGGTTTGATTCAACTTAACTCAGACATCTGTTGGAGTCTTTTTCTTGCTTTGGTTTGTTATCACTAGGGGGCGCTGTGGACACTCCCCTGAGATCTTTTAAAGGCAGCACCAGTTGGCGCAAGTGTTGTCTGCAGACTGAGGACAAAACACTTTATTATCAAACTTTTGGTTGGTTTAGTCGCCATTTGTTTGTCATTTAAGTAAATGGATTGATAACTATTTTAACCAGCTTTCTTTTAGCCAATGTGAATGTGAGGTTCATGAACACCTGGAAATGAGAGGGTGAAGGTGTTACATAAGATGAGTCAGCTCAGTGTTTTAATGTGAACTTAGACTAGACTTGCGGCCACTCCTCTTGGATTGTAGTGAATTCTTAGATAAGCAGTTTACTGACTGGTTGTGTTACTCACGTCAGTTTAGTCTCATAAATATATCTGTTATCGACATTATCAAGGAAAAGAGTTTTACAAATCTGTCAAAGATCCCATAAAAACTTGTCTTAGCTTGTCCTTCAAGTTTTTTGAATGTTTTTGAAACTTTGTACTTTTTGATGTACAAGACGAGAATTCTACAGAACAGTAAAATAAAAACATATGTATAAGAATAAAATAGAAAGATAAATACCAAAAATAAATATCAAAAATAAATATATGTGTGTGTTTGAATATATATAAATGTATATTTTTCTGTATGTATATGGACATGTATTGCACAGGTTCAGGATATAATAATCAACACAGCAGCACTAACATCGGCAATATTGGCACTTGCTTATTATCAAAGTTTATTATTATTAAAGTTTATTATTCTTTTTACACATGACAAAAATAGGACTGATGATTTTTAATGTTAAACATTTTAAATCTTTTTTTTTTTAGAATTACTTTTCTTGACATTTCACTTTTCTTCATTGAACTGAAAAATATCTTAAAGCTTTATAGTCGTCAATTCTATCTTTATTCCCCTCGGGATTTTAATCTCACTATTAAAAAAGTCTTTAAATGATTTTTTCAGTTTCTCATCTCCACTTTGTTGGCCTTTCTCATTATTCCTACAGCCCCTGAACGCAGCTGACGTGGCTCCTTTACGTATTCATGACGTAATCACGCTCCAGTTCGGGCGGAAGTGTGTTGGATTGTTCGCTTCTTCTCCGTCCTCTCGGTAAATCTTCTCTTCCCGGTGACCAAAGTGAGAGTAAAGATCATTTCATCAACATTTCCGTCGAAGGGACCGCGGATTTCTCTGCCGGACTGTGTCATGGCGGTGAAGAAACATCTTTAGGTGAGTTTATATGAGGAATTAGCAGCATATGGATCCTCTAATGTTAGCGGTAATAACGGGCAGTTAACCGGTTAATAACGGAGCAGCTGCGAACATCAACAATAAACAGATTTAATACTGAAGAGATTAATATTTTATATTTCTAAAGATTTGTTTTAATTCTGTCCTCAAACGAGTCTGCTTCAATGGAGGAGTTTGATCTTATATAACAGAGAGATAAACCTCCTACTCTCCTTTAATGGCCTGTTTTTAAAATCACATATTTTTATGGGATTTTACTGAAATGTAAAATTAAACTTTAACATTTATTATAGAAATAATTAACAATAGACTGCTAGAGTCGTTGTACATTTTGTTCCAAGTAAATATATGATGTAAGAAGCTGTTGGGTTATTATTCTGGATAATGTTTGACTAAATTATGATATTATCTGAACACTGAATACAGATACAGATCACAGCACTCCTGATTTACACTCAGGAGTGCTGTGAAACAGGAGTGTGTGTTTGCTCCCACACTCTTTGGAAGATTCTTCTCTTTGCTGCTGTCGTTCGCCTTCAGCCCATCAGATGATGGCGTAGACTTCCACACCAGCAGCGATGGAAATCTCTTCAACCTCGCACGTCTGAGAGCAAAGACCAAAGTACGAAAAGTTCTGATCAGGGAGCTGCTCTTTCCAGATGACGCTGCTCAACCAACAAGACCAACATCATGGGCCAAGACATCTGCAGCACCCCCTGCATCTCCATCGGTGACCACACCCTTGAGGTGGTGGAGGCCTTTACCTACCTCGGCTCCACCATCTCAAAAAACCTCTCCTCGGATGCTGAGCCGAACACAAGGATCGGCAGGGCAGCAACATCGATGGCTCGTCTTGCAAAGAGGGTCTGGGACAACTCCATGCTGACCATCAACACCAAGATGAAGGAGCTCCAAGCCTGTGTGCTCAGTACACTGCTGTATGGACCCTCTACTCCCACCAAGAACGTAGACTCAATTCCTTCCATCTACGCTGCCTACGAAGGATTCTTGGCATCACCTGGCAGGACCGTATCTCACTCAAAGGCACTTACGCTGGCTTGGCCACGTCAGCCGCATGCAAGACGGCAGAATCCCAAAGACATGCTTTCACGGGGAGCTTGAAACCGGTCCCAGACCTAAGGGAAGGCCTCTTCTCCGCTACAAGGACGTCTGCAAGTGAGACCTGAAGGCAGGCGACATGGACCCAGATGGCTGGGAAGCTGTAGCTGCAGAAGAACAATCAACAAAAGAGTTTAATGAATCTGAAAATCTAACTGTCTGCTTTCATTTTAAGAAAATTTTGCTCCCCAAAGAAATTAACAGTCTCAATAATTCAGGGTCTGTAGAGTTTACCTGTTACCTGTTTCATTTCTGTCTTTTGGAAGTTCTCTTAAATCTGGAATACTCTGTCACAAACAGTACAGAGAGTTTTTATGCAGCATTATGATTTTTCTCTCCTTCTGCAGGAGAAAAACCCTCAGCCCCGGACTAGGACCCCGATCAGACTGCCGGCACCATGAGGTGACGACTGTGACACTGTGAACTTCTCCAACGTGGACATATGGCAAGGTAAGACACTGATTGGCTGGAGTTTGGGAGCTTTGTGCTCGGGTTATGGCAGAGAGTTGAAGTTTGAAACAATACTAAAGAGAAATCAGGTGGCAATGAGACCCGTGTCAAAACTACGACACCAGGAAAGGACCTCCTGGAACTTTCATTCCTCTAATACCAGAGGAAGTCCTCGAACATGTAACATGCTATGAAATATCCTCATTTTCCACTTCTCTTGCAGCTGCTCTTGGTTGTGAATGTGTCTGTTTCTCCTTTTCCATACAGGCTGGTAGCAGGTCATAATCTGTGTCGTATTTACTGTCATGCTCTTACTCACTCGCCCTGATTTGTGTTTGGTAACTTTTCTGTGAGACTCTCCTGATGAGACGAACTCTCCCGTCACCTCCTCGTCCTCGTCGTCGTTGTTAAAGTCTTAATCCTTTTTCCACAGGATCAGTTTTTCCTGTCTGCCAGCCTTCTGGTACTGCAACGTGTCCCTGGTGTCTGTAAGCTGTCTCTCCAGACAGAGGCTGCTGCTGCTGCTGCTCTTCATCACCTCCGCCTTCCTCCTCCTCGTAACCTACCAGAAGCAGCTGTGGGGCCCTCAGCGACGGCAGGGCTTCACTGTGAACAAGTGAGTGATAAGATAGAACTACAGTACAAAGTCTGCGTAACATAAAAGAGCTTTGAAAATATAAAATAAATAGTAAATTGAGGTTTGATGTGAAGAAGCAGCGACCAAAATAAACAGATAAATTAAAAGCTGAGCAGACGTGAAATGTTGTTCTGAGACATTAAATTTGTAAAAGTTCAGGGTTTCTTCGCAGGAATTTGATATCGTCGCAAATTTTATGCCGTTTATTGTTAGCTTATGTTGCTCTTGAACCTTGCGAAGGTGAAAAAAACGATCCCTTTTTCTTATTTCAAACACTGAATAGCAGTTTAAGCCCCTCGAATTCTCCATCTTTGAATCAGACCTTTTCCTCCGAGGTTAACGGATAATCCGTTCACACAATTCTACAGTCCGTCTCTTAAATATCATGGTCTATATTTTTCATCCATCCATTTTCTACCACTTATTCCCGTTCCCGGGGTCGTGGGGTGGGGGGTGGGATGCTGGAGCCTATCTCAGCATCTTCTGGTGAAGGCAGGGGACACCCTGGACAAGTCGCCAGTTCATCTCAGGGCTGACATAGAGAGACGAACAACCGTCCATAATTACATTCACACCTACGGGTAATTTGAGAGTGGCCAGTTAACCTAACCGCACTACTGCAAGTTTTTGGGATGTGGGAGGAAACCGGAGAACCCGGAGTAAACCCACGCAGACACAGGGAGAACATGCAAACTCCACACAGAAACACCCTGACTCGAACCCAGAACCTTCTTGCTGTGAGGCGACAGTGTTAACCACTACACCACTGTGTCGCCCTGGTCTGTGTTTTTTAAAAGCTAAACAGACAAAAATTTCTGCACAATAAGTTTAAAAGAGCGTCCACTCTGTACGAAAGAGGATTCGGGCCACACGAAGAGAAAAAAAACTAATCACAGGAAGAGATTAAAGTCGATATTTTGAGATTAAAAAAATTGAAATTATGTCAAAAAAGTTGAAATTTCGAGATTAAATTGAAGTTTTAAGATTACAAAATCTCGAAATTTTTAGATTTAAAAAAAATAATTTTCAGATTAAAGTCAAAATTTTGACTTTCACGTAATTTTGATTTTTTTTACATAATTTTTTTCATTTTGACTTAAAATTGCGACTTGAATCTAAAAATGGAAATTAAAAAAATCTCCCTCCTGTAATTTTTGTTTTCTCTTCTTGTAGCCCTAACTCTCTTTCGTCAGTCTGTCAAAAAGCATCTTTTTTCACCAGACAGTAAAAGAATCACAAACATGATTTCATTTGAATCCAGAAAACTTTTTAGTCCTCAAACACAGTCTCCACTTTCTCCACGTTAAATCAAACGTTGACACGTTAAAGACCTTTAATAAAACACGGACACCTTTCATGACATGAAGATGAAAAACTCCGTAAATCTCTCGGTGAACACGGCCAGCTGTTGAGACCTTATCGAGTTTGTTTATGGAAAGCAGACAGTTTTAAAAAGATCTGAACTCTCTCTGTGAGACCGGCTGCAGCTGCTGGTGTTCAGTGTCCAAGGACAGACAGGAGGACGGAGGAGACACAGCTGAGTTTGGTTTGCTACTGAAGAGTAGTTTTAGTGTATCTATATTTATTCAATTTAACCAATCATTAAAATAAAACTCGTTAAATCTCACTGGGCTCCCCTTTTCTCTCGTTACGTTAAAGTCACGGCGCTCTTCACAGTAGACTTCCTGTCTGCTCTCCTGCAGGTACCTCTCTATGGCCGAGTCCATGGAGGCCACAGACATCCTCAACCCCGCTCTGAATTATGGGATTGTGGTGGACTGTGGCAGCAGCGGTTCTCGGGTCTTCGTTTACTACTGGCCCCCCCACAACGGGAACCCCCACACCCTGCTGGACATCAGACAGATGAAGGACAAAGACCGGAGACCTGTGGTCAAGAAGATCAAACCAGGTGAGGAGGAGGAGTTGATGTTTGATGTTTTTATGCAGCTATCAGGTTTGTTCGTCCTCTCAGGTCAAAGGTTGTGAAGTTGTAGATATCCTGAGGTGGATTATAACCACAGAAGAAGTCCTGCTCACAGTTAATCAAACAAGCTTGGCCCTCAGAGTCTAAATCTGCTCCCTGAATTTGTTTGTTTACGTGTTTGAAAATCTCTCTCTCTGGGGTTTTCTGGTGCAGACACACAGTAACCAGACCGTCTGTAAGGGTTTCTTCATAAATGAGTCACATCAGCAGAAAAGTCACGCTCAGTCTCTGTGAATCTCAGGCAGGGAGGACAGATTAGATTGGAGACAGGTTAGAGAGCTGCGTTAACGCCACGTCGCACTTTGAACCCTGTGACTTAACATCACAACCTTCACGGTGGAACGTTCTCCATGCTGCAGGAGTTAAAGAGACACTCGCACACATCAGTGAGGTTCTTTTATTCCATGTAACCTCCAGCTGGACTGTAACAGTGAACTCAAGTTTAAAAACATGTTTCTGAGTCAGTGAACGTGTTTGTTGATGATTAATGAACCCATAAAAAGCCAAATACAAATATAACGTCAGCGTTGAGGTCCATCAGTAGTTATGTTTACGTGGGCAAAATTTCCTGATCCGATAAAAAATCTGAGGGATCAGAAAATCTGAATCAACAGTTTCTACAGGAACAAAGTCGAATAATCCGATCATGACGCACCAAGGTTTATTCAGATTAGAAACATTTGGACATGCTCAGAGTTGTCTGATTTTGATAAAACAACCACAGAAGAAGAAGAATTGTATTTACGACTGTACTGTCACTAGATGGCGCCCTTGCGTACTTATTTTACTGTCTGTCAAAGGTTGCTCTGTTGCTCCGTACACTGTTTGTACACCTCGTTATGTTATCAGAGGAGCAGACACGACACCTGAGTGTTAATAATGAAACCTCCTGAACTGGTTCAATAAACAAAGAGTGAAGATGGAGTCAGGTTAGAGAGTCACGATCAGAATCAGGGTTTACATGGACGATCGGCATAAACCAGCCCTCTGATCGGAGTACAATTTCTTTCTGATTGCGCCGAAATGGATCAGAATCTTCCGATCGACATGTTTATATGACGCGTTTTTATTCTGATCGGGCGTTTATTCAGATTATTTGTACCCATGTAAACGTAGCTGATCATAACAGCTGTAGCTATAACCCGTATGTTTTAATGCAGAGGGTCGACTCAGATATCTGCAGCAGGATCTTACAGTTATGGTTGTTCGACTTTGCCAAATGTGTGTTTTCGGTCTGTTCCGTCTCTCAGGTATCTCCACTCTGGCAAAAACGCCGACTCAGGCCAGCGACTACCTCCATCCTCTGCTCAGCTTTGCTGCCGCTCACATCCCGAAGAACAAACACAAAGAGACCCCGCTGTACATCCTCTGCACCGCCGGCATGAGGCTGCTGCCCGAGAGGTGGGCGTGAGACATCTTCTGATTTTAAACTCTTGCAGGAAAACAACACAATCCATTACTTTTAGGTTCATTGTTATTCAAAGTGTGTAGATAATAGATGAAAAATCTTCAGATCTAAACTCACCAAAAGCTGGTGAAAGAGAGGAAGTGGACGGAGCGAGTGAAGATGAGAAAAAGAGCTTCGAACCAAAGAAACAAACACGTCTGTTAACTCAGATCTTCTCGTGTTTCTTCATAGATTTGTTTCTTGGTTTAAAAGTTTATAATGTCCACAAACTCATATAATTATTGAGTTTTTAAAATCAGGTCTCTGTTCTGGATCACAGTCAGCAGGTGGACATCTTGGAGGACCTGATCACTGACGTCCCTCTGGAGTTTGACTTCCTGTTCTCGCGCTCACACGCCGAGGTCATCTCAGGGAAACAGGAAGGTAAGGAGGCGCACAGATGTGTGTCAGAGTTAACCAGAGTAACTCTGTCTGTGGTGTCTAACCGCTCTCTGTCTCCTCACCCTGAAGGAGTGTACGCCTGGATCGGCATTAACTTCGTGTTGGGCCGCTTCGATCATGCCGACAAGGGTGAGTGTGGCGCTTTAATGCCGCCGCTGTCTCTGGATGTCTCTGGAAGTCTCCAAAGTATAAAAATTGATCATTATTCTGTGACGTTTCCCAGAGGACATCACCGTCGAGGCAACAACAGGCTCTCTGAACCAGCGGCCAATCAGCAGGCGGCGCACTGTGGGCATCATGGATATGGGCGGGGCTTCCTTGCAGATTGCATATGAAGTTCCAGGTGTCATCACCTTCAGTTCACCACAAGAAGTGAGTTAGTGTGAAAGTCTGTGCGGTCTGAGGTGTGAGGAAGTGTCTGTTTGGGTCAGTTATGGCGCCCCCCTGTGGACACATCTTAGTTCATCTCGTCCCTTAATGCTAAAGGACCTTTAGACGACTCCTCCTGGTCTGCAGCAGTGTGACGTCTCTGTGTGTTTCAGGAGGAGGCGGGGAAGAGCGTCCTCGCCGAGTTCAATCTGGGCTGCGACGTGGAGCATACGCAGCATGTTTACAGAGTCTACGTCGCCACGTTTCTGGGCTTCGGAGGAAACATGGCCCGGCAGCGCTACGAGGACCATCTGGTCAACAACACACTGGCAAAGAACAGGTACGAAGAAAACGCGCTGACTGGAACGCCATGAAGCAGGTTTGTGTCTGATCGAGAGGAGGGTGAAATTCATCGATGTGTCGGCGCATCGCGATGCTTCATGTGATGATTCGGCATTAATGAACATCGATGCGTTAAAACGGAACCTTAACCACAACAAACAGAGCACGTTAGTTTCTGTGCTAAATGGTAACGGCTTCAGCAGCCTTCAAAGAGCGGCCGATTCTCTCGCCACCAGGGTCGACTGCAACCGAGCGGAAGAACTTTGGTTTTTATGAGAGAGCGAACAAGACGACTGACAAGACCGACACGATTTTCAAGATTTGCAAAGTGAAAAGAAAAGTATCTCAGCAGCACCACAAATGTGAGGCACCACTTTGTACGCTTTTATCCTGAAACAGAGAAGGTTCCTCCGGTCGTGCCCGCCACACAGAGGACCATCCTGAAGACGAGGGCTGGGCGATAAACCGAAAATTTACAGATACAGAAATTTACGACAATTACGGACGTCATTCTGCCCATATCTGTATTTTCACTGTCAAAATATAATTAAATAAATCAAAGTTGCTTTTAAATGTGTGTAGGTAGGCTATGGTCTCATGTCCCTTTAAGACGCTGTCCTACGTCAGAGACGTGACTCCACCCCATCCAGTCCGTAACAAAGAGGTAAAGACAGGAGAGGAGATGGAGGACGGAGAGAAAGTTGGAGCAGCTGAAGTAGACGAAGTTAATGTGGGAGGGGGTGAGCAGCTGGTGGAGGAGTTATCTTCCATTTATCGTTATCAAGGTGAAGTGATCAATATATCGTGATATTGATTTGAGGCCATATCGCCTAGCCCTACTGGAGACTCTCTAAAAACTAAAAATATTTTGTGTCTTTAAAAAATACGAGTCAAAGTTTAAGGCCACAGATGAAGATGAAAACCATCTTGGAAAAAAAGCATCAAAAACAGCAATAATTGAAGAATCGTGGCACCAATTAGGGCTGGGCGATATGTCCTCAAATCAATATCACGATATATTGATCAGTTCACCTCGATAACGATAAACAGACGATAACTACTCCACAAACTGCTCACCCCCTCCCACATTAACTTCGGCAAAATGACGTCATTTATTGTTGTAAATTTCAGTATCAGTAAATTTTCGGTTTATCGCCAAGCCCTAGAACCAATAATCAAATCGACAATCATTATAATTAAAGATTTGAATCATAAGATACCCTTGATGGAACAGTCCTGATCTGATCCAAACAAACTGAAACTTAATGTTTTAAAATTTCTGCTTTTTTAGCTTCCAGAGTGAGAGAATCTTTTATTCGATAAGCGCCCTCTTTTCACGACACTCCGCAGACACCAACACATGCTCCGTAAATCTGAGCAGATGGTTCACAGAAGAGTTTGGTTAAGAACAGGCGGTCTGCTGCTCAGTCCTGCTCACATTTCCAACAGGAGAGAGCCTCGGTCCAGACGTCCAGATTCACAGAGTTTCTGGTCTTTAACGTGTCCGCCTGATTATCCTCCCCCTCTACTTCATGTTTGTCCAGGTTCCTGACCACACAGACCGGTCTGAGTGAGGACAAACCGTACCTGGACCCGTGTCTGCCAGCAGGTCTGTCAGACACGGCTGTAAGGGACAACCACACCCTGTACCTGAGGGGTCAGGGGGACTGGACTCACTGTCAGGAGGCCGTCAGACCCTTCCTCGGCCTCCACAACGGCACCATGTCACCAGGAGGAGTCTATCAGGTACAGGAACCGAGATTTCCAGCGTTCGCAGCTGATTGGTCGATGTGGTCTGCGTTCTTCTTTAAGCAGGAAAACCAAAAAGAAAGTTTAAATGTTTTTTTTCTTCTTTAGGCTCCGATCAACTTCAGCAACAGCGAGTTTTACGGCTTCTCAGAGTTCTTTTACTGCACAGAGGACGTCCTGAGGCTGGGAGGACAGTACGACAGTCAGAAATACTCCCAAGCTGCAAAGGTATTCACAAACAACACTTTTATAGATGTCAGCTGACCTGAAATGTGAACGTGATCATGAACGTGTCATGGCTCCTCCCTCTGCAGGATTACTGCTCGACTAAGTGGACGACCCTGAAGCAGCGTCTGGACAACAAGCTTTTCTCCCAGCAGGCCGACACGGGCAGACTCAAGTAAGTTCATCTCAGATCTGTCTCCTCCAGCTGTCTTCATCCTGGTCAAGAGTGTCGCTTAGCAACCAGATAGACATGTACAAACCCCGCCTCTTACAGCCTGATGTCCGTCCCTCTGCTCAGGTATCAGTGCTTCAAGTCGGCCTGGATGTACGAGGTTTTACACTCCGGTTTCCGTTTCCCCGTCAACTACCAGAGTCTGAAAACAGCTCAGCTGGTTTATGACAAGGAGGTCCAGTGGACTCTGGGAGCCATCCTGTTCAAAACCCGCTTCCTGCCGCTCAGGTAACTCTGTCCGTACACCTGCAAACAGACCACGACTAAATTCAATTCAATTCAATTATTTTATTCGATTAGCATTTAAAATCCACCCACAACAGATACATAGTAAATTTCAAAAGCATCATAAAGCTAATCGAAAAGCTGTAGGCTGAAGCTCATGCTTATTTTGCCTACCCTTTTTACAAAAAAACAAAAACTACATGGTCTGAGTTACACCACAAGTCTTCTAAAGAAAAGGGAAAAAGAGAGAGAGAAAAGATAAATTCTCAAAACATGTTAGAAAATAAATAAACCAACAATATTCCGTAACAAGTATACAAACAGACACAACCAAAAATTTCAATATTTTGTTACTGCTCTTCTTCATACCGGATTTACATATTTTCTTATTGCTTTAGTTTTATACATGTTCTTAAATAAGGAAAGTGAACTACACATTCTTAATTCATCATCACAGCTATTCCACAAGTGAACACCTCTAACAGAAACACACCTCTGCTTAATATTCGTTCTTGTCTTAGTTTTTTTGAAGAAACCTGTTCCCCTCAAATCATACTCTCTCTGGTTTCAAACAGCCTCTGAGTACTACGGCAAAGTAAATTATTATTATTATTATTATTATTATTATTATTATTATTATTATTATTATTATTATTATTATTATTATTATTATCATTATTATTATTATTATTATTATTATTATTATTAAATGACGCTGTCTGAAAAAAGGAGGTAGTTTAATAAGAAGAAACATGTTAGGGTTTTAACTCATTCAGTGCCGTCGACAGATTTTTCAGTGTTTATGTTTCCCACCAGAGGGCGCTCCTCTCCAACATGCGACTAAGTCTGGGGTCTGAACGCAGAAAAGCCGACAAATATGTCATAACCACGTTACAATAACAAAAACAAGTGTGCCAGTTAGCCGAGTCGTGGAGAGTTTTTTTTTCTCGGAGGAAAGTAGGAAAATGCTGAAGTCATGAGAGCTAACGGTCTCAGCGCATCGGTTCCTGTGGGGGAGGTGCTTCCGTCTCTGGATCCAGTGGAGATCCTGGTAACGGACCTTTACATCATCGGCAGAATTCACTTATTTTTAGTCCAAACACAAGAGATTCTGAGGGTCCTTAAAGATACGGACATTTCTGTTGAGGTTAACGGTGGCACTGGGTGAAAACAGCATAAATGAACCTGAATGGAACTGAACGAGTTGAGGAAATGTTAAAGATAGAAAAGTTTGGACTTGGATTCAGCTGTAAAACTGCTGAATATGCAAAGATCTCTGTCGGTGCAACAGTCGGCTAAAGTGCAGGTTACAGATTAAACTCAGACTGAGCGTCACAAACAGGAAGACTGTCTCAGAGGGTGGATGGATTCACTCTGCTGTCAGCCGTGTGTCGTATATTCATGTTTCTCGTGTTTAACACGGCCTTGTGTCTGTTCCTGACGTCTCCAGGGACCTGCAGCAGGAAACGCTGAGGCAGAACCACCCCAGCTGGCTGCGCTCCTCCTTCGTCTACAACCACCACCTGTTCTCGCTCTGCATCCTGGTGGTGGTGCTGGCCATCCTGCTCTACATCCTGCGCCTGCGGAGGATCCACCAGCGAGAGCTGCGGCAGGCCGAGGTCCTGGACCTCATCTGGGTGGAGGAGGGGGAGGCCCTCATCGCCTGAACGCTGAGGGATGGTTCCTGATCGATGACCTGCAGGGTCTGTGGGGAAAAAAAGACCCGTCCAGGTTTTAATCGATGCAACACAACAGAGCTGAACCAGAACCACGCCTCCTGGGATCCACGGGTCTGTGAGGGGGCGGAGTTTAGCGTAAGTTAACCTGATCCGGTGGAAACCTCTGAGCATGAAGACAGAGGTGGTTCTCCTGCAGAGGATCCTGATGTCCATCATCGTTTGATCCTGGATCTGACCAAATCCTGGATGATCCAGTTCATGTGATTCAAGACTTTCAGGGATGCAGATTCAGAGAATTCTCTTTGGAAATAATTTAATGAAAACAAATCAGAAAAGTTTTTCCTTCAATCACTTTTTTTTCAGCTGCAGCGTAAAGTGACGGTTTAACAAAGATACAGAACATGAAGAAATATAAGAGCTGTCCAACGTTAAAGAACGAGACGTGGATCAGACTGACGCCTCAACAACAACCTGAAACTCGGTAACGTGTCGGTTTATCGTCTGTGAAGTATCGCTATGGAAACTAAAGACGTCAGACTCCCCGTGACTTTTCTCCACGCCTGTTCTTATCCAGAAAAATAATCAGTCCAGTTTCAGGAGTGCAGCCGGGTCACAATCAGTCCAGTGGTAAAAACAGGAGGAACTCGACCGTCGTGTCTGTAGTGACCTGTGACCTTGTAGAGACCTGGTGTAATCCTGCAGCCCCCCCAACGCCACTGTGAACAACACCTTCAGGCTTTTCCCTGATACCTGAATGTCACATGAGTTTTATCTCGACAGCGAACAAAAACCTGAACATCTGAACAATCAGTGACTTTATATGATCTCTGAAAACAGACGCTCTGAAACCGTTTGAACGTCGAGCCTAAATCGAACCTTTTTTGAAGCAGCTTCACTTGATCTTTGATTTCTAAATATCAGCGACATTCCAATAATATTGACTTTTGTGATAAATCTGAGTTTTTATATTTACTGACTGATGTAAATAAAGAAATCTGAGCAGCTGTTTCCGACCCTGCTGGCCTGAAAATGTGATGGCGCCCCCTCCCCTCTGAAGTCCTCAACTTCTCTTTAATTTGAACGACCTGCAGACGGAGAAAGAGAAGATGAAGAAGATGTCACCTCTTCTAAACCTCTCCTCCACCATCAGATCTCCAGCCGCCCCAGAAATGATTCATCAAAGAAAACCACCGTTATCAGCGTCACCATCATGAGTTCCCGCCATCAAAGACTCTCTTTCATGCTCCCGTTTCCTTCAAAGTCGTCCAGCTGACTGATGAAGTCAGCCGCAGAGTTCGGCGTCAGACCGAGCTTTGATTCTTTAACGCCGCCGCCGCGGTCCTGCCAAGACCTCCGACCGTCCAGCGCTGATTACGATCAAAAGAACCAGACGAGTGGAGTGGTGAATTTGCTGAAATAAGCGGAGATCTGCTCAGTGTTTGGACGAGGGCGCTGACAGCAGACAAAGACCTCAGAGCGGAGGCCAGACTGGAGATCATATCCTCTGATCTTTGAGCGAAAACTCCAACGAAGAAGGGAGGAGACTTCTCTGAGGAGGAGAGGAGGAGAGGGTGGGGTTTATTTCAGTTTACATCTTCAGCTGTGAGTGACGCCACTGTTTTAGTCTTTTTGGTGAAATTCACGTGTCCACTGTCCTCAGTGTCACCCCGGGAACTCAAATGTTAGACACTGTTGTACTGTCAAAACAAAAGGAAAGTCACTGTCAGATCCGTCCAGGAAAACCGATTTTAATTAATGAATTCATGCTTCTGCGTCTGTTGGAGTCACGCCATGAAGACTCCCGTCCTGAAGTGGGTCTAAACTGCTGTTCAAACTCACGTGGACTCAGGTCTGCATCAGGTCAGTTTACCTGCAGGACTCTTCCACTACAGAGCCGTGTTGTTGTGGTCCCTGCAGGATCTGGTCTGTCGTCGTCTCGCTGAAACATGGAGGTCTTTCCGACGGTCTTTAATCATCAGAGCGGTTAAACGTCCCGCTGTGATCAGGACTGAGGTGGTCAGCTCCACAACAATGACGACACAGACGTGTGTCTGAGTAACACCTGGAGGAACGTCCTGAGGAGTGGGATAATCCCACAGTGGGGGGACTCTATGAAATGATGTGAGACATGACTCATCAGACTTGACGATGATGACTCCGTCAGTGTTTTAGTTTGGCGTTGATGTGATGAAACTCAAACTGTGATCCACGGTGTACTCCTGTCTTCTCTCTCCGTCCTGATCTGTTCTCACCCTGGTCTGTTTACTCCCTCATCTGGACTTTTCCTCTCCAAGTCCTGAAGGAGTTCTGAAACAGACTGTGAGGTCACTGTGGACACGTCTCAGATCCATCCTGACGCGGTTTCAGGGTTTCTGCTGCTCCTCCGATAAAGGGACCAATCCCTGAGCGTGTCTGTCCAGAGCTGGGCGCCGTGCAATGTTGAAGACTTGAACGTGTTTTTAATGAGGTCCATTTAATATCAATGTGAAGAGAAACGATCCCAATCCAATAAAAAGATCTTTTTTTTTAACAAAGTCTGATCAGAGGTTTGTGTTTCAGCCCTCAGCGCCGCCTGACAGGCTCAACGATATTCTGCCTGAAATTAAGCTGTACGTCCAGATCGATGAGATACGATGAAGGCCACAATAAGAGAAAAAAAAAATCACAGGAAGGAGGTGAGAGTCGAAGTTTCAAGATTAGAAGTCGAAAAGTCGAGATTAAAAAATATAAATTTGAGATTAAAGTTGCTATGAATAAAGTCGAAATGTCAACTTTGTAAAATTTCTACTTTAATCTCGAAATTGAGACACAAAAAAATCTCCCTCCTGTAAGTATTTTTTCTCTTCTCGTGGCCGTAATCCTCTTTCGTACAGATCTCTTCAGTCCCCTCTAAGGAACTCTTGAATCTTAGGATCCATAAATCTTCCAGGAGGTCTTAGAGATCCTCACGCCTCCATCTGCAGAAGAACTTCCTTTCCAGCAGGACCTGCTTCCTGCCCACAGCACCAAAACGACCAAAAACTCTTTTACTGTACAGGAGTTAATAAGAGCTGAACTTTCCCACAATATATGTCACTCTGTGTGTGATGAGTCTGAAATATCTGGAAGTTTCACTTTTTGTACAAATGAACTTTTGAGACTCTCTTATTTTCTTGAACAGCTCCTGTATCTGTTCTCACAGCCTGAACTGTGGAGCGCTGACGGTAGTTTTGACTCTCCTTCTCGTGATCTCTCACCTGATCTGTTCCAGTTCAACGTCGTGTTTGTCATAAACACAAAAACTCACCTTCCTGTCATCAGATTCGAGAGGCTTGCGTCTGTCACCTTCCAAAACCAGCAATCTAGCGCTCCCCTCCTCTTCACACACTGACTCACGCCTGTGTTTTTCGTCAAGGTGAGAGAGAAACTCGATAACAGAGTAACGCTGAATTGTTTCCCTGAACCGCTTTGACTTCAGATTTCTGCAACTGCAGGGTTTTTTTCCTACTTATTCAGCGTCTCTGAAGAAAAGTGTGCTCTCTGAGGTTTGAGGATTTAATGATGTGAGAAACAAGAGAGTCACGAACACAGACAGGTGACAGAAGTGAGGAAATTCAAGTGTAAGTGAGGTGTTGTCTGAACGAGTCGAAGCTCTGACTCTGAAACTCTCTGAGAGATGGGAAGTCATTATGTTGAGGACAGTGTCTGCAGAGCAGAAGTGGTTAAGATCAGATGGTGAGTGAGAAGACAAGAAAAAAAACCCTTAAAGGGATATTCCGGGGTTAAATTAATTTAGGGTCAAACACGCCGTAACACCGAGTTAGACCCCCCCTCCAGAGATGGATGTTGTCGACCGCTTGCTTCTCTAGTTATACCAACTTTAGTAACGACCGCAGGATAGAAATACAGAGAGCCACGCCCTCAACCAAAACGCCACTCTATAGCCACAAATAATGCTCAGAACAGCACCTAACTTCATCAACAGGACATATAGGGTCACAGACATAGTACTAGACACCAAACATCTTTTTAACTTTGACTCATTTCTTTAGCAAAGAGACTAAACACAACTCACCTACTCTCTTCCAATTCCATTACAGACTACAGCGGGGTGCCGCAGCTCAAGGAAGAACATTTATGATCATTTCTTTATCATTTCCTTGAAGTAATAATCACCATATTGATCATTTTACAGACGCGGTAGTTCTTCTGTCTTAGCGTCTCGGTCTGATTGTATTTCCATGAAGAAATGATCATAAATGTTCTTCCTTGAGCTGCGGCACCCCGCTGTAGTCTGTAATGGACTGGCCTGAGGTCTCACTACAAACAAGCGGCTGCTGGAAGAGAGTAGGTGAGTTGTGTTTAGTCTCTTTGTTAAAGAAATGAGTCAAAGTTAAAAAGATGTTTGGTGTCTAGTACTATGGCTGTGACCCTATATGTCCTGTTGATGAAGTTAGGTGCTGTTCTGAGCATTATTTGTGGCTATAGAGTGGCGTTTTGGTTGGGGGCGTGGCTCTCTGTATTTCTATCCTGCGGTCGTTACTAAAGTTGGTTTAACTAGAGAAGGAAGCGGTCGACAACATTCATCTCTGGAGGGGGGGTCTAACTCGGTGTTACGGTGTGTTTGACCCTAAATTAATTTTACGCCGGAATATCCCTTTAAGGACAGCTGAGTGGAAACAGGTGTGCCTCTTCTGCTACCTGGAGGAACGTTATTTGACGTTAGCCACGCCTCCAGGCCCTGCAGGAAACAGAACGTAGAGGGGGGGGGAGACAAACACGAATCTCCAACCACAGCAGACAGAATCCTCCTCACAGCATGACCTCTGAATCTTCATGTTCAGTCAGAGTCACTAAGACAGTCTTTTCTGGGAGTCTCTGACCTCCATCAGCTCACAGGTTCCTCTGCTGCTGTGGACCTGAACTTCAACTATGAGCATCACTTTCTGCATCTTGAACACGGATGTAAAGCCGGGGTAAAGTTTTTATAGACCTGTGGACTTGAATTTTCCATAAATCAAACTAAGATCAGAGTATTTTTCTCATCATGTTGTTCTTGTAAATAATCCACATCCTTGTTCCATTATCTCCAGCACTGTAATCAAACATCTGTGTTTATTATTGAGCACCATCTCCTCTCTAAACCCACATCAGTCTCTATAGATGACTGTCTTAGGTGAGTCTGGTTCTGCTTAAGGTTTCTGACCCGAGTCCTGGTCTGATCTTACCAGATGGGTCTGGATCTGATCCTGTCTTTAAACTGGATCTTTGTGAACATGAAGAATTTAATCCTGATGAGCAGTTTTGTTGTGAATTGGCGCATTTTTAAGTAAAGATAGATCGATAATGTCAGCTTTATTTAACCTTAGATATTCCCATCAGTAGGAGAATTTGAAAGCTGTTGCAGTAGCTGTAATCACCCTGCAGGTGGTGCTGTGGAGCACCCATAAACTCATATTTTACCACCTGTTCTGCTCCTTTAAGGTGCTGCATGATGTGATAACAGAAAATCAAACTCATCTTTCTGTTTAATAAATCTATAACAACAAAACTGAGAAAGTCACTTTTTAGGATGTTTGACAGACTTTCAGTTTCTAAAACTTGACCCTGTGAAAAAGACTCGGCCTCATGTTTATTTTAAAAATATACTTTAATACAACAGCTGCATATAAATATTAAAATATACATTATACAGGTGTACAATACACTCACAAAGTGAACAAAACCAAAACAAAAATATTAGGCTTCTATTTGTACGGCACTTCTTGTATTTTTTTTGTTTTTTGAACTATTTTCTTAAAGGTTACTTACTGACGAAGGAGTTGCACATAAAGATGTGTTAATGCATTAACAGGTCCGAAGTATTACTGTAGTAGTGTGATTACTGGTTACAGAGAGACAGACGGAGGGGACGGGGGGACGGGGGGACGGGTTGAAGGGTTGCTGTACAGTATATGACACATGGCATTGTGGAATGTTTGCTCGTCTCTGGGTTTACTGCCGTCATGTTTTCAGATCACAGAACCAGCAGGGATGTGATGACTCGCTCTTTATCTCTCCACAGGATGTCTCTGTTGAAGCATCCTCGACATCCTGTTCAGTCACTCGCTCACATCCACAAACTACCTTCAGTCTCCGCTTCCTGACATCCACAGAAACGACTGACTTGGTTTTGGTTAAAGCGGGGAGGCGTCTCTCTCAGCTGCCGCTCATGGATCATCGTTACAGTTCAGAGCTAAGAACCTGTTCAGAGGTTCTCTGGTTTAACTTTTTATTAAAACATTAAAATCGACTCAGAGCACCAGATGGAAACGTAGCACCTTAGACAACCCACAGACTGCCTTTTTGTCAAAGAGGTCACACCTCGTATACTCGTTTTAGGTTTATTTTCTACCAGCTCGGCATCATTTACAGAAATTAAAGTCGAAACTTCGAGATAAAAGTCAAAATTTGAGGTTTCAAAATGTCAATTAAACATTAAAGTCAACATGAATAAAGTCGTAATTAAATTTTTGACTTTATTCTCGAAATAGAAACTCTAAAAAAGTCCCTCCTGTCATTATTTTTATCTCTTCTTGTGGCCCTAATCTTCTTTCAAACCGCGCTATCAGACTAGTTTGCAAGAATCTTATTTAGCAACAGTCTGTGAATCTCCTTGAAAACAACAACTTTTACCTCCCAGAGCGTCTGAATTTCTAATAATCTCCTAATCTAGTTTAAATTTCCCCTCCCTGGTTAACAGGTAGAAGATTACAGGTACTGTCTCTTTAAGGCCCCCCTCCCTTCTTTCAAGCCTGCTGTCTTTTGATTGGACAGGATAGAACTTTATTTAAAGCTTCTATCAGGAATTTTCAGTTCGGATCAGATTTGGCGCCCCCTGTGGACAAAGCTGTTTTAGTTTATCTCGTCCTCTACATTCTTTCAGTAAAAAAAACTTCAGACAGACAGCCCTGCTTTTACAGTTTTCTCATAAAATATTCCCCTTTAACGTTTTATGGTTAAAGAAAACCTGTTAACTATTTTTGTCCACAGGGTGGCGCCAAAAGGGACACAAACAGAGAGATGGAGTTCTTTCTTTCTCGTTTGTTGTTGTGCAGAAAGTCTGTCTTTATGGCAGTTTTGAAGATCAGCAGAGAACGAACAGGTGCTCAGCTCCGCAGAGACGACACATGAGCGGCGCTGACCGGAGCTCGCCGTCAGATAACATCGAACACCTCGGCTTTACTGACACCGAAAACTTCATGTGAACCTGTTGGTCAAAAAAAACAAACAAAAAAAAGAAAACCGTCCTCATCTGGCAGAGCCCCAGATGAAGATCTCGAGTTCAGTGACAGAAAAGCATCAACGTAGACCTCACTCTTCCTCCTCCTCCTCATCTTCCTCCTCTCCAGCTGTCAGACTGTCAGAGGAGGTGGAGGAGGATTAAAAGGTTTCGGGTAAATTTGGTGGAGGCTAAGTGCTGTCCCCCCTGGCCTTCTGTAACCCGCAGGCCGCTGCCTTTGAAACCGGAGACGACTGAGTGTCTCTGCTAATGTGAGCGGCGGGGCAGATCAGGGTCACAGCCACCGGGAGGTCAGCAGAGTCCCACCAGTGTAGGTTTACTGCTGGGTCCATTCAGGCCGATGCTCAGCCGTGTCTCCATGAAGAAGGAGGTGAGGGAGGGGAAGCTAACAGCTTCTCGCACCTCCAGTCCTCCTCCTCCTCATAAATCGATGCTTAATGAGACGATTTTAGACTCCGGCAGCTGAAAAAGTCGAAACTTTCCGGCCAAGTTAAGGTGCATCAGACTATCATCATGATTTGGATCCATGCTGAGGGGTCCGAGAGTCAAAGATATGATCGACTTTTCAATCAGAGAATCAGCAAATCCTGGTCTGACAGGAGACAGCTGGAAACTGAACGAAGTTTTTGGCTTTTTAATCAGATATTTGTTGTTTATCTCAATGTAACGTTAATTAACTAACCGCAGATGTTTACCAGATGCTGCTGACTCTCAGACTGTCAAATTCAGCCAGAGTGAAACTCCAGATAAGAAGTTTAATCCATTTTTTTAAAGCACAAAAGACGCTAAAATAAAAAAATGCTCTGAGGATTTAGTTAAGATGACTTTAACCACAGCGATGCAGGAGGGTTGTTGTTTAGTCGAGCTTAGCATCGAGACTGGAAACTAAAAAGACGATAAAAAGTTTATGGAGAGCTCACCGAAACAAAGGTCAGTTTGAACTCTCAGCTTCTCCTGCAAAGATCTCCCAAACTACGGAAGAGGAAAAGGGCCACAAGAAGAGAACAAAAATAACTACAGATTTAAAAAATCAAAATCATGTCAATAAAGTTGAAAATTCGAGAGTACAAAATGTCATAAATAATGTTGAAATTTGGAGATTAAAGAAATCAGGATTTTGAGATAAAGGTCAAAATTTCTAGATTAAAAAATCGAAATTATGTCAATAAAGTCGAAATTTTAAGATTACAAAATGTTGTGAATAATGGTGAAATCTCCAGATCAAAAAACTGAAATTATGTCGATAGAGTTAAAATTTTGATGTAACAAAATGTAAATAAAGTGGAAATTTCAAGATTAAAAAATGTCAAAATGTTGAATAATGTCAAAATTTGAAGATTAAAAGCTTCAGTTTTCAGATTAAAGCCGACATGAATGAAGTCGTGATTTTGACTTTTTAAATTTTTGACTTTGACCTTAAAATAGAAATTTAAAAAAAGTCCCTCCTGTGATTATTTTTATCTCTTCTTGTGGCCCTAATCCTCTTTCATATCCAAACCGTGCTAACAGACTAGTTTGTAAAAATCGTATTTAGCAACAGTCTGCAGATGTTCTTGAGAACAACATTTTTTTTTACAATTTTAAGGTCTGAATTTCTAATAATCTCATAGTCTAAATTAACCCTCCCTCTCCTGTTTCCAGCCTTTATGTAAGTCAGTCTAACCAACATTCGCTGTCGCTGCGTTAACCTCTTAAACCTAATCATGCAACTATTCTCCAGAACACAAACACGTCTGTTTTCTGGGAATGTTGATCTCGTCCCTGACTGCTAAATACCGTCACTAACACAGATTTGTGAGTCAATTCTGTAATTGGATATTTATGACAGTGGCAGTCCTGTTTGTTGGACTCTGAGGGAATTCAATCGTTCATCACTGAAGCCAAATATAGAGGGACGAGGAGAGCCTGATTGGGTCTAATTCAGTGGAAATAAGTTCTCCATTTGCAGCCCAGCTTGAAATATTGAAGAAACTTGTGGCGTAGAGTTTCTTCTGCTGTACATATTTCACTGTTAAGTGCTCTTAAGAGTTTCAAGCTGTCACTGTTTCCCCAACAGCTAAAGTGCATCCAACTTTCACTTTAAGGCCAGAAAACAAAAAACCCTCCTGGCCGCGGACTTTCTCTTCCTCAGAGAGAGCCAGTGTGAACGTCAGCAGTAGAATAATTTCAGGACTGTTTACTTATCTCGGTCTCTGGCAGACGGAGACACCCAAAGAGGAAGTAAGTGGGATAAGAATCGGCCGGTTTATGCAAAGTCATGGTCCATATTAGGTCAGAGCGGGCTAAAACTGTGGGCTGAGAGCATCTCTGCCGTCCCGTGGTCCACTGAGGCTGTCATCTCCAGAGTGATGACCACACAGCAGAGACATCTTTGGGTCATTTCAGTTCCTCGCTCCTAACCGCCCCCCACTCCTCTTCCAGGTACACATAAACAAGAGACTTTCTGGGAAACTGAGTTAGGAATGTGAGCAGAGAGACGAGCGGCGCTGCCAAAAGTGGCTGCCTCCCCGTTAAAGCTTTACAGTTAAAGGGATATGCCATGATACAAAAACGTCAACATGTTATTTTTAAAGAGGCGTAATGCTACAGTGTCGGTTTAAGCCCTTGTGCGAGCTCACTCGTTGCTTAAATCCGGTGTCATGTCCTGTTTGCTTTTTGGATCGGTGACAGGAATTCACTGTGTTACAACAGTTTCTCTTCAGTTTTTGGCTTATAGATCAACGTTCACAGCAGATGGTGTGTTTTTTATGCAACACCGCGCTGAAGGAAGGAAACATCGGGACAAACTTGTGCATTCAAAGTGGAATCTTTCTCAAACCCCCGAATCCTCCCACGTGACTCAGGGGTCGCACACAGGGATGAACCAGGTTCATCTCCATTTGGCTGATACACGCTCACATTGTTTCCATCTGATTGCAGAGGCCGTTCAGTTGTTACAGCCGAGTCAACACGTTGTTGAGCGGACTCTCTCTGAGAAGGAGCAGCTGCAGATTTCAGATGAATTTCACACATTCAAGAGGCAAAATAAAGACTCGCATGTTAAACCGCCGACTGTGACGAGAAGAAGTGGATGTAGCTTCACATCTGAGACGGTGAGGCACTCGAGCGCAAAAAAAACGCAGTTCCTCGAGTGTCCACATGAGGGTGTTTCCGACGATAGTTTCCATTTTCTAACCCTAAATACAACAGATACGAGTGTTTGAAATCTGGACTGTGGAGGTGAGCCTGGTGCCAAAATAAACTGCAGTTCCTTGAGTGTCCACTAGAGGTTGTTTCTGATGGTAATTTCCACTTCCGAACCCTAGCTATGTCAGATATCCATGTTTAAATTTTGGACTGTGAAACTATCTGAGAAGGTGAGGACAGAGCTAAAAGAAAACTGCAGTTCCTCGAGTGTCCACTAGAGGTTGTTTCTGATGGTAATTTCCATTTTCTAATGCTGTGTTCCACTTGTACTCGGAAGTCGGAATTTCTTAGCTCCGAGTCAGAAATTCATCTGGAACGCTAAAGTCTGACGACCCTCACCGACCCCGACTTGACGACGACGTCACATTACAAGATAGCAGCGTAGCACATCGACAGTAAAGCGTAAATCTCTCATAACGTTTTATTTATTCACTCTTCTGTTTTGTTTCTGTGAAATTCAATAAGTGGTTTATGTTGTTCTGACCAACGTCTAACTGTGAACACGCTGCTGTGGTGTCTGTACGAGTAAAATACTGTGTTATGAATTTTTTACAACTGGTATATATAACAACTAACGACAGCTAACAATTGTAAACAGCTAACAACGGGTGACTGTAGGCGGCCATCTTTGTTTCCCGACTCTTTAACTGGAACGCTGTGAACTTGGGTGTAACGTCATTCCCACGCAGCGTAACCCCAGCTACTCCAGACATCTCTGTTTGAAATCTTGACTGTGAAACATCTGAACAAATTAATCATTAAAACACTTTTTTAAAAGACGCAAATTAAACTTGATTTGTCGCTGGTGCTGAGGTCAAACTACGTGATTTAAGTAAAAGAAGAGGCTAATTCGACGGTCGTCAGGTGGCGAGACCAAAAACCTCAAACTAAGTTTTTTTGTTAAGTGAACGACAACGACGGGCGTGTCTGGGATGCCTCGCTGCCTCCTAAAGAAAGTCGAGTTTGTTGATATTATTATTTAAAAAAACTCGTTCAGTGGCAGTCACATGTATTTCTGGCAGGTGTGCAGGAACATATGAGGCCATGAGGGTCTAGTCCACGGACCAGTAGGAGCCGTCAGGGTGTCTAAATCCACTTCTTATACACAGTTTCAGGTTTAACATGCAGCCTTTATAACATCACTGCCTACCACACTGGAGTGCAAAATAAACGGCATTCGGTTCTCTAGATTGGGACTGAAATATGGCGGCATAATGACGACGCTGGTTAATTGAGAGGAATGTTACCATAGAGACGATGCCAATCTTTGATTTTCGCGTCTTTATGGGCCAGTAATGGCGAGCATCCTCGCTGCACATGAATCTGAATATCGGAGACGTGTGCGTTTGTCTTCAGCTGCTCCAGGGCAGGAGAAGGAGGCAGCTGCCAGTGTGAGATCCAGTGACCCTGCTGGCGCCGTCACCGGTTTCCCAAGCCTCGACAAAAAGTGGGCGGAGGCGAGGAAAAATCCATCACGATCTTCACAGCAGCGAGAACGAGAAGTGAGTTTTCTTCGACTGGCCCCGAATGACTTTTTCTGTTATCAAATCATCAGATGAAGACCAGGACCAGGTTTCTGTGGCGCTCCCGCAGCACCAGGCAACTTTTCTCACAAATCCACCGACTATCTGCGCGGCATCGGAGCGTAAAAGCTCTGCTCGCCAGCAGCAGGGCACCAGGATGAAACGACAGGACTCGTGTGTTTACAGTACAGTTCTGTGCTCGCGCCACCGTGGGCGCCATTTCCCCGAATCAGAGGGAAACAGAAACTTCAACAGGACTGAGAACAGGACCCTGGACTCCTGCGTCCAAAGCTTTCAAAAATGACCACGAGCAAACCTCCGAGAGTTGAAAGGTTTCAGGTAAACGGATCGACTCCTCTCTGACATAGGTAGTGGAGTTTCCATAGGAAGAGAGCGGCGTGTTTTCGAGCAGCAGCTTTGGAACGCAGCCCAGACCAGAGCTTGTCAAGGTTGAAAAACAAAAGAGGGGCTTGCTTAACTAACAGCCGCTCCTCTACTTATATAATTCCCAGAGATGATGTTCACAGAAAGCGGTGCCAGCTACTGTTTCCATGTGTGGGTCTGAATCCCAAAACATTTTGGTTGACTTCTTTTTGGCTGAGATTGTGACAGGGACTCACAGACTCGCAGACAGGCCTGCAGTTCTGTCTTCCTTTAGGTGAAGTCAAGTGAGGCCCAGCTGGGAGCAGTAGTCATGGTTTTTACCTTGTAATAGGGTTCAAGATCATAATAGCACAGGTCCCTGTGGCTTTAAGCTCCAGGCACTTCAGAAAGGCGTCATTATGCAAACAAACTGCCTATTACAACAGTCTGCTCACTCTCAGGCCAAAACCCAGTCAGCACTTACTGCCTGATGCCTCTCTTAGGTTTGAGTTGCTTTAGCACCAAACTGAGACGAACTCGGACCAGCAGGCGGTCACCAAAAGTCTCTCAATCAGTATCTGTCTCTACACCAAAAGTGCCAAGAGTCTCTTTTCTCTCTTTTGGAGGATCTGAAGCCCTCATCGAAGGTGCGAAGTTTCTTTTTTTTTCTTTTTTAAATCTTTTTTTTTTTTTAACCACAGTGCAATTCAAAGGGTCCTTGACTTTTTTTTTTTTAATGTCCAACATTTAAAGACCGTGGACAGGTTGGTCTACAGCTTCAGCCAAGACCACAAGAAGAAAGAGAGGCAGATTTCTCTCAAGACTCAAGAAGACGCCCACTGGGTGAGCTCTGGCATCGACGAAAAACAAAATCAGTCAAAACAAACAGAAAAAGGTATTTGCTCCTAGATCTAAAAATGTTTTTTTTTTTGTTGTTTTTGTCATTGCAATTCAGGAAGGTGCGCTACATAATCAGGTCAGGGGGCTGAGGAGAGGGCTCCGGCAAGGCATTGAGGACTCTTCCCTTTGTGTGTGTGTGTGTGTGTGTCTATGTGTGTGTGTGTGGAAATAAAGCCACTGCAGAAAAAGCTGAAAGGAGCACCAGACCGACTCAGTCAGTCATCTCTGTTCTGTCACACCACTCTCAGGCCTCTCAGGTGGATGATAATAGTGCATTTATGCGAGGGCAAGTCTGTTTAATTCATCCTGTGTGGATGCATGCGGGTAAACACGAGGACTCTCCAAATATTCAGTCACTCTCCCTCAAAAAGGAAACGATGTGTTAATGGTTGGCAGCATCTGAAGCGGTGAGAGGTTTTGGTGTCCGAGTGGTTCAGCAGTGTGGTTTCTCTTTGGTCAGTTTGGATTAAGGTGCAGTTTTCTCTTTCGTTTTGTGAACGTTTGGAGGGTGGGGGGGGGTGCTGAAGAGTTCGGGGACGGAGGACTTGGGGTGGGAGGGGGGGTTTATTAAAGCTCCAGGGACTTTTTCCACAACAAACAGGCTGTTGTTTCCGTCAACAGCTGCTCTGGCATCAGGACTCCATCAATTGTTGAATATCACAACACTGACTGACATTTCAGATGCAGATGCAATCCCAGTGGTATGCAGCGCTTCTATAGGAGCCCAGCCAGACATATGAAAATAACAACACAGACACATAATGGCGTCTTTGTCTCCCCCCCCCCCCAACCCCGGCCTGGGCTCCTCCCACTTCCTTATTTTAGCACTTCCTCTATCCTCAAATGCCCCCTCGCCCTCGCCTCACTACCGGTCCCCTGCCGGCAACTACAACCATCTACAAAACAGTGCAATGTCTATTCATAGGCACACTGGGATACGAATACAGCACACAGAGGGAGAGGGACACTGTACACGCTCATACAGTATGTTACATGTCCGAACACGCGCACGCACACACACACACACACACACACACACACACACAGACAGAACACAGAATACAGAGACGTCAGCAGCAGCAGCAGCAGCAGCAGCAGCAGCAGCTCTGGCCCGGTGGTGTTGGTGGTTTTGGGTGCAGCCTGCAGAGACAGAGCGGTGAAGAACGGCTGCTGTTTGGAGGGCCAGCAGGAGGAGCAGGGTGGTTATTCGCTCCCATTTTCTTTAGGCTCCTCCTCCTCCTTCCTTCTTCTCCTCTTCTTCTTCTATCCCAACATCTCCTCCTCTTTACCTCCCTGATCAGTGTGAGTGGAGGCGGCGGAGAGGAGCTCGCTCAGGTCAGGTTTGGTTAGTTAGTCGGTTGGTTTGTTGGTGGTGCAGAGAGGAGGGAAGGCGTGGATGACAAAGAAAGAGGAGGAGGAGGAGAAGGAGGAGGAGGAGGAGCAACGGGGAGATTCTGGTTGGTTTAGCCCGCCATCTCGTCGCCTCCCTGCTGGGGATCTTTGTGCTGGTTCTGACCCCCTGCGCTGGCTGCCAGAATCCTCTGCACAAAGTCTTTGGTCCGTCCAGCGACTAGAGGACCTGCAGAGCCGTGAAAACGAACCGAGATCACCAGAAATTCAGATAAACAAACATTTATTTGGGATTTTAAAGACCTCGACTCGACCCCGTTTAAAGTCATGGTCGACGATCTGAGAAACAGTTAAAAAAAACTGAGCCGTCGAGGCAGATGTGAAAAAAGCGTCCCACCCCCCCAAACACACTAACCTCTCCCCTCTGTGCTCCACAATATTTCCCCCCCTCCCAAACCTGTATCACCTACTCTAGCTTCAAATAGGATCCACCATGTCGGATTGTTAGTGACTAGCGTCAGTAAACGCCAGCTCTGCTAGCGAGCGCCGTCTGCAGCTACCGTGTTGACATGTCAGAGACTAATCAGAGTTATTTATGTAACATGAGCCACGATAAAAGGAGATAAAATGACCTGTTCAACTAAAACTCTGCTGTCTCTGCGTCTGTTTTCTCCACCGCTCCAAGGATGACCCGATGGTTATTCACGTTCCTCGCTTGATCACATGTCCTCTTTGACTCCGCCCTCTCTTCTGTCGGCTTGCGTTTTCTTCGAGTAGAAGTTTCTTTTTTTTTTTTCGTGTCCTTCTCCATCACAGCTCCTGTAGCTAAGCTGCTACGATACTTTTAGCCGCTCAGAGCTCCGAGGACGAGTCGGAACTACGGGAGAGGGGTGTGTCGAATACAGCGAGGTGATTGGATGGAGAGGCGGAGCAGGAAATTGACCAATAGGAGCTGTCCGGGGCGGATGGCTCCTATTGGTCAATGTTTTTGCAGCCCTGCACCTGATAGGGTGAACAGATTTTTTCCGTTCTTCTTTCTCTTCACTTTGTGGAGATCGCACTTTAGGACCATGATCGCCATAGAAACGAGGTTCATAATAATTACTGATATCTCCAATCGTCAACCATGACTTTAAGGACTTATATCAACTGTGTCGTCACAAACAGAGGTGAACGGTGAACGGATGCAGGATTAAAAGGAACTGAGCAGACAGTTAGAAGTCACAGGAACACGCTCATTGAGGCCGTCACACATCAGAGTAAAGATAAAATATTTATGGTGTTTGTGGTCAAAGCCGAGTCACGGGGATCCCACCTCCCTCCTCTCCTATATTGTTCCCTGAAATGTAAAATCATGCTTTTATTTTGAAGTAGAAGCTCTCTCGGTAGATCGTTAGTTTAAGAGGACAGTTTTAAAAATGTTTGATGATAAACCCAAAGAGACACGAGCTCAAATGTTCACATGAAAATAACTCTGTGAACGTCGGTTTTTAAGAGCGCTGACTCATCTCTCGAAAAGTTACTACAGCTAGCGCGCTAGCAGCTCCAGTTATTGCAACAATTCTCTACTATCCTGATGTAAACAAACACAGACGCTGGCGAGCACAGCCACACTGTCCTGTTAAACTTCATGCTCAGCTGTTCTTTGACACTCTCTGACCAATCGAAGCAACTTTCACTGAAGTTATCCAAGGGTTCGGTCTTATTATCAGAACGTTTTCTGTGTTTTTTGTGTTTTGTTCTCACCGCTGGACTCTCGAAGGATGTCTTCCAGGCGTTGGGTCATCCCTCGCTCATCTGTGTCCTCTTCCTCGCTGTTCTCCACCCGCCGTCGGATCACCTCCTTGATCCGCAGCAGAGCTCCCAACAAATTCTCTGAAAGACGAAAACAACCCCGCGGTTTATCATCAGATGGAGCTACGAGGCCTCTGGGAACAACGACAAACTTTCTTAATCCTCCCCAGCAGTTAGCGATAAACGCCTCTCAGCAAAGACTTAAGAAGACTCAAGAACGGAGCGTGTTTTCAGATCATGTGACTGTGATATGGACACAGCTTCAGTGATGTTTCAAACCCAAAAATGGCAGAAGAAGAGTTCAGGTCGACCTTGAAAGAGGCACAGAGGTCGAGCTGAGGAGCTAACGTGTTAACGAGTAAATGAGAGTCAACAGTGAGTTACACAGAGGTTTAACGCCGGATACATGAACCTGAAAAAGAGTCAGATTTTTTATTCTTGAATGAGTTTGTTGATTCGACAAAAAAAAAAAAATTCTTATTGTTGATTTTTTTTAAAAGAGGTTATTAAATGGTTTTGCTTCAAAATTAATCAATATAATAATTTTAATGTAAAATAAAAGTTGTGCCGGTCAGGATTTGGATCAGCAGTTTTACTGTAAAAAAATCAGTGGCTAAAACAGGATTACTGCAGGTTTTAACGAGTCGATTTTAAGACTTTTAAGACTTTAATAAATACAATTTATAAGACCATTTAACATCCATATCAGCTAAAAAAAGTACAAAAGACATGAATTGAAATCAGAACATTAAATCAATCTTTATCTGTAAGTAATATAAATACATTTTTAAGACCTTTCAACTTTGTACTTAAGACATTTTATGAGGTTTTAAGAGAATTTTAGACATTTGAGACTTTTCAAGACTTTATTTAAGACCGTAATGAATACAATTTAAGACCAATTTAATATCCATACTGGCAGAACATTTGACATTACTTTAAATCAATCTTTATTTGTGTGGTACAATATTTATTTGTAAGTTAAGTTAATAACTTTTAAGGAGCTTTCAAATCGTATTGAAGACATTTTTTGAGATTTTAAGAGAGTTTTAGACATTTAAAGGCCTTAAATTTGAATTATTGGAATAAAGAAATTTTACGACTTTTAAACAGTGTCTCTGCAGGTTTCAACAAATCATTTTTAAGACTTTTTTACGACCATAATAAATACAATTTAAGATCCATTTTACATCCATAATGGCAAAAAAAGTACAAAAGACATGAAGAGAAATCAGAACATTTTGAGTAACTTCAAATCAATTTTTATTTGTAAGTTAATATAATTTTAAGATCTTTCAAATTTGTATTTAAGATATTCTATGAGTTTTTAAGTGAACTTTAGACATTTTAAGACCTTAAATTCAAATTATTGGATTTTAGAAGTTTTAAGACTTTTTAAGACCCAGCAGACCCGGGAAAAAAAGCAGATGGGGACAGTCTTTAAAAAGAAAAAAAGATAATTATAAATAATAAATATTATTCAGTATCAGAAACAATCATTTTTGTAGTAAACTCTCAGCGTCAACATGTACGTGTTTGAAGTTCTCTGCCGAATCTGCTGCTCTGAATTTCAAACATTATTTGTTAGGATGCAAATTACAGAGACGGACAATAGAGAGAGTAAAAGAGAGCAAATGAATGAGAGAGACGGATAAAAAAAAAGAAGGAAGAAAGAGTCAAAGATTGGGGGGGGTGTTAGCTCTGTGTGTTTTGGCTTCCCGTCAGTGCGAGCAAAAATCTGCAGGAACCACAACTTAAGCCGTCGCAACGAAACGCCGAGATGAGATCAGGAATGAGAGGAATGTCAAAAGAAACGGGAGGAGAAAAAAAAGGACAAAAGGAAGTTGGACGCTGGCTGGAGGTCGAATCAAAGCGAAGCAAAGCCGAGGAGGAGGAGGAGGAGGAGGAGGACAGATTTGGGAGAGAAAAGGTGTTGATCGTCAGGAATGAGGTGAAGTCACTGCCCAGAGGTTTCCCTCTGATCCGATTATCATCCCCATGAAACTTCTCTGGCGGAGCAGTTTCTTCTGTACATTTATTTAGGATTTATTTTACTTCCCAGTTCTAAAATTTAACATCATGTTTGTGGGACCGCAGTGGAAATTAGCCTGAGTGTAAAATAAATCCAACCAAAGTGGTTTCTCTCGCTTGGAAGCTGAAACAGCAAATGAAGACGGGATTTTCTGTAACTAAATATTGGTGTCAAAGAAAAGCAAATGTGAGGCTGTTTGTTTTTATCCGACTGAGATTTTTCTTCTTATTTAAAGACGGAGATAAAACAAGTCCAACTGAAGCTCTTTCAGAAACATCCTCTCACTGTCTGAGTTTAACAGCCTTGATTTTCACAGGAGACATCATGACTTTAGCAAGTTTAGCACAATGTTAATTTTGGATAACTCAGTCCAAACAGACAAGACTGAAGGATAATCTATAAATGAGCGAATGATACACCGTGAATACCAACCCTGTTCCTCTTTTATGTTTATTTTACACTTTTAAAGTTATTTTACAACCAAAATAACCTCCAATAACAGCAGAGCGGCTCTTCTCCACCATTTCTAATGTCGCTGATGAAAAATAACAAAATCACAAAAACAGGGATCTCAAAAACATTTTCACCGACTGAGAAGAACAAGGCTAACAGTTAAAACCATTTTAAGCTTAAAATTTTACTACAATAAGGTAATAAACTCATAAAGAGGAGAGAATGAATGTTTCCGGACGTCAAATCCAAACTTCAGATCTCATCAAAGTTCAGAAAATAAAATCAACAACTAAATTAATGAACATTTCAGAACTATGATAATCCTGTTCCTCCGTAATCACGCGAGCTAATTTGGCCGCTAGCTGAGGCTCCATCTCCAACAGTAAAAGTCTCCAATCTCTATTTTTGACTCATTTTGTCGTGAGAACACCAGTCAGAGAAGCCAAATAAGATCATTATAGTCTCTCAAGTCTCGTCTATCAGGAGCAGAAATATTGGGATTGGAACAAACACACAACAGAAACTATTGACATATTTACACTCATTCTTCCAGGAGTTTTTGACTCTTTACAGTTGTTGTTTCTGCCACTCCTGGGATGAGACAGAGGACCACATCAGAATGCTCAGAATCTCCTCTTCTCTTGTTTCCGAACATTGAGGAACATTATTTCTGATTTTACAGACAAGCAGGGAACTTTCTCCTCTCTTATTGGACACTACCGTCAAGGAACGATAGAAGAAGAATATGAGATTTCATCAAAACAGCTCGTCAAACCCGGAAGACATTGGCAGCATTTAGTAATAGTGATTTTTTTAATCACAACAATCTGACCAATAATCCTGTTTTCACTGCAGATTTACCATCAAACGTCTCTGATCAAACTCCTGTTTTTGTGTCTGGATTGTAAACCTTGTGGAAGGTGTAGAAACATCTGGAAACCCTCGATAGATCGCCAAAAGGGTAAACTTTTAAACACCTTTCATCCCGTAGAGATACACGGTATAATTCCTGAGAAACTGTAAACTATATTAATGGTGTCACGTGGGATGTCCTGACACTCTTTTGGAAAGGACAACTAGACTTAAGTTGTCCTTTCAACGAAGAACTGGAAATCATAGATTCTGCATACTCATTTTTAAACAATATCTCCAGGTTTAGGAGCAACATCTGCGTCCATCCAGACAACGACTTTTTCAGGGACGACCTTCATATGATCCCTCTGATCAAACACCTGTTTCTGTGGCTGGATTTTAAACCTTGTGGCAGGTGTAGAAATGTCTGGAAACCCTCGATAGATCGTCTAAAGGGGTAAACTTTTAAACACTTTTTATCCCGTAGAGATACACAGTATAATTCCTGAGAAACTGTAAACTATATTTAAGGATGTCAGTGTTAAATCCCAACACTGAGCTCCAGTTTAACCTCAGAGCGGCTGGTCTTCGTCCTCCTCCTCATACAGAGGCGTCTACATTTATCTGAATCTGTTTAATAACCTGCTAAAAACTTCTAACAGGAGCTTCAAATCGAGCAGATGCGTCTCTGAGTAAGTCCAGTCCAAATATGATCCTCTAGACAGATTTATATGAAGGTCCAGACCCTCAGAGGAGGAGTGAGAAGTGTGCAGCACTGACCGTACTCCTGGTTCAGCCCCCACAGCTTGATCTTGTTGGCTTCGTGCTGCGCCTTCTTCTTCAGCCTGCAGGCTCTGAAACAGAGAAAAGAAGAAAAAAGAAGAAGAAGCTCGGTCAGTCGTCTGGAAGAGGACGACGGCTCTCTCTCTCTGCGTGTTCTTGTTACAGTGTCTGCAGGTTCACACCAAGAGCTGCTGGAGAGTCATGAGTGGAAAATGTCTTCCTGCAAACCTCCCCCTCCGTCACACTTTGACTCTGAAGAAAAAAACGGCTCCTCTGGTATCGGAGTGTTTAGGGTTTGGAAAACGACTGCAGGGAATGAATCTATCAATGCATCTCAAGGGTACTTTTCTCCTCAGCCTGCAGAGAATATCTATTTTCCGGTGGCTGTGAGTCTGCTAAATGAAACTTGAGGAAATAAAACCCTCGCAGGCCTGTAGTGTTTGACAGAATAGTCTCCTGCGTCTCCCTGCGTGCTGAAAAGTTCCCCCTCAGCCTCTTTTTTTATCTCCCATATTTAGACCACAATCCCTGCTGCTTTGGGAAGGATGTAGACAACCACAAAACAATAAAGCTGTGGAATTTTTTTTCTTCCCCTTCTTTCTCTCGAGCCCTAAAATCGATGTGGAGTTTGAGAAAAAGACCCCGCTCTCGACGCAGAACTAAAAATAGCCCCGAAGCCGACGTGCTGTTCACGGTGATGGATCACCTGCAGCTGCAGATTGATTTAATTGTCGTGTCCAAGGAGAAGAAACCAGCAGCTTCCAGAAAAGGAGGAGCGCATTCGCCAAATTAAAAGCTCCTGGTGCACGGAGAGGTTCGGGGGAAAATCGCCGTTGTTGTTGTTTTGTTTAAGACGAGTGACGGTGTGTCAGGAAACGAGGCGCAGGCTTAGAGATGAGCAGGTCCTCAGGGAGGGACTGAGCGCAGCAGTGTCACTGTGATGTGGGTAAAGATGCCCTGAGACGTTATTAAAGCAGCTATTTAAAGAGTCAGCTGGGAGCTCGATGACTGACAGATCCATTACTGTCACTGCAGCAGGTTAAAGGAGTCAAACACTCGGGGTTCAGAACAGGAGGACTTTTGGAAAATCAAACATCTAGGGCTGCACCATTCATCGACTTAAAATCGGATTATTTGATTATAACGATGTTAAAAAATTAAAATCATTAAAACTGATTTTCCTCTCCATCATGTCTCGAACCTCCAGGCCACTTGGAGATGTTGTGATGTTGTCAATCGTCATTTTTCAATTATCAGTTACGATCTATAGTCTGAGTTCTTGTTAATCTGTGCCTCTGTTTGTCTCGGCTGGATTACTGTACTCTACTTTGGAGTCAGACAGTCCTCCCTCTCCGCCCGGCTCTTAACTGGAGTACGTCAGAGGGAGCAGGTTACTCCCATCCTGACCTCCCTCCACTGGTCACCTGTTCATTTTAGATTCTTCATTTTAAGATTCTTTTATTTGTTTTTAAATCTTTAAACGGTCTGACTCCATCTTCCCTCTCTGAGCTTCTCCACCCCTACACCCCCGCTCGCTCAGAGCCTCAGGTCAGCTGATCAGCTGCTCCTGGAGGTACCGAGGTCCAAACTGAAGCTCAGAGGGGAGAGATCTTTTTCTGTTGCAGCCCCAAAATCAGACAAGCCCCCACACACTGTCCATTTTAAAAACTCGTCTTAAAACCCAGTTTTATTCATGAGACTCGGCTCCTGTTTCAGTGTTTTATATTTGTTTTTAGTTATTTTTATCATGTTTTTAAATCAGTTTTTAAAAACACTTAAACTATATTTTACTTTTTAATATCTGCTTTTATTTTATCCATTGTTTTAATTGTTTTTTGATTGTTTTTTATGTCGTTGTTTTGTCTGTTTATGTTCAGCTGAGGTTGTTTTAAAGTGAGTTTGTTTCATCTGTTTTTAAAGGGGACCTGCCACCAAAATTTCATCCCCATTTTTATCATTTTTTCATAATCCTTGATGTCCTCTGATCATGTTTGCAACATAATTTTAGCTGAAAAGTTATTTGATGGTTTGTTTTAGTCTGCCTAAAAAACCTTACAGGAAAACCAACTGGTTTTGGCTCATTAACATTTATGGTAATGAGCTTTGCTCTGATTGGATCGCTGCTGTGAAGCCTGCTGTGCTCTGATTGGCTCAGCAGTGGAGGTTCGGATTTCGGTTCATCCACTGTTATTATGCTAATGCTAATAGCATATGCTAATGTGTGCTAAAGTAAGGTGCCCAGATGTCTGTAATGATATCCGGGGATATTCGGTGGGGCGGCGGCGGTGCAGGGGCTGCAGGGGCTGTGTGATCACAGACAAAGTCTCGGTACTATTTAGTAGCAGCGCATGCCCCTTGTAATAACCCCCGTAAGAACTGTTGTTCAGGACTGCTAACTAAATTCGGCTACTGTAATAACCGTTGTTCGAGCCCACACGCAACATTTTTGCTCTCATTCATGAAACGCTTAAATCGGGGACATTTTTGGGGACAGCTTTTGCCGGGGACAGGTCATCCAATACGGGGACTGTCCCCGGAAATCGGGGACGTCTGGTCACCTTATGCTAAAGGCTAAAAACGGCAGGTATTAAACCATATATTTTAGACCCCGAGTCCGAAGAGGAGGTGGAAGTTGAGGAAGAAGCCGGAGATCTCCAGCGGTGTTTTCTCATTCATTCTGTCCGGCTTTAAGTTCATTTTCCCGGCAGTGAACCGAAGGAAACACCGATCGTTTGGAAGAGACCCATAGCGGATACAGCGGTAGCTGGGTCTCGCTCTGGCTGTGACTGAGTACGAGAACGAGAGAGTGGGCGCGGCTCACCGAGGACGCGCTCGTGAATTATAATGAGCAACGTCGGCACAACGTAACACTGACCTGCTTTTTCTATTGGCCTGGTTTACTCGTTCCTTTATTTTAAACCTTTACAGAATGCAAACGACGTAACGGTTTGTTTTCACATGTACAACATAAGACGAACATAATATGGACCTTATATGACACAAAAAAACACACAAAATTACATTTTTATGGCAGGTCCCCTTTAAAGGTGCTGTATAAATAAAGTGATATGATTTCCTAACGGAGCTGCTGGTGAGACTTCAGTCCCCTCAGATAGTGACCCTGACTGTTACTCGACGCTGTTATCGTTCAGGACTTCCTCCTTCGCTCTCATTTAGGGATCGGGGGTGTTATTTTTCCTCTTCGTCGCTCCGGGACGATTGATTCTGAGTTGTTTGAGGAAGGAATGAGAGCGACTGGAGGCGGTTTGATAATCCCTCAGCCGACTCTGACCTCTCAGAACAAAAAGACGCGACTCTGCGGATGAAATTCCTGCATATTAAAGTTAACCATGAACTCGGTCACGTTACAGCGCCAGGAAAGGACACAATGACTCGCCATCCTTCTCTGTATCCTGCTGTTTTCTTCTCTTTTCTGATGTTTGTGTCGTCTTTAATATGTTTGGAATAAGACGATATTCCCAGAGTCGCCCTCTGAAATGATGGTCCGAATAAAACCGATGAACTCTCCGTGACCTTCCTCGTCTAACTCCTCTTGTCTGCCACCTCAGTCCTGCCCTGATTTCCTTCCATTCATCCGTTCGTCCTGCTGCATCCATCTCCTCTGCTTTGTTGTTTCCTTTATTTACTCCACCGTCCTCGTCTTTACAGTCGGCTCGTTAAAAAAAGGAGCAATCAGCCCAAAAATACACCCCTGCCCTACATTTTCAAGGCCGTGTGTTGTGTGTTTCATCCTCGGGGATATCTTTTAGACAGATCTGAATGTGCATTTAAATTAGATAGAGGCGTATGACGGCAGGTTCCTCAGAGGCTGAGATTTTAAAGGTCATCTTCAGCGCGGTACGCTGTGTTTCAGCGAGGAGAGTGGAAGGAAAATGCTTTCTGACACTACAGAAAACTGAGAGACGTTGGAATTCAGACCATTTCCCCCCCTCCACACACCCGCCGTGCTTCAAATACTAGATGAGATATTTTTCTCAATGTATTCCAGCCTCTGTGTGACCTCTAGAAACACAGTTAAAAGGTCAGCTTTGAAAGGCGGCACATTCTTGGAGACGGATCTTATCAAGGCTAAAGACAGCTGATACCAAACCACAGAGCCCTGCAGGATTCTCCTCTGATTTTCTCTGCAAATGACTTAAAAACAGCGTGAAAAAAACTCTCTAAATGCCCACTCATGCCTCTCAAATCAATACTGCGAGTCTCAGAGGCTCAAACGCCGTGAAGGAGACGTGGGAGGGCTCACAGATGAGTCGCGTACCTTGAGGCTAGCTTGTTCTTCTCCTTACGGGACCGCGCTCGAGCCACGACGGGCAGGTCGTTGACTGGACCCATGCCGTCGATGGCGGCGTTTAGCTTCTGCAGCTGCTCCCCGATGTTGTGGAGCTTCTGTGGGTTTGGTGTCAGGTCGCTGGCGTCTGTCTTGCGGGCTTTGCGGCGCCCTTTTTTGCCTGGAACAAATGACAAAACAAAATCGTGTATTTCTCTTTGAAATCCTTTTTTCTTATCATATAATATTTGGATTTTGAGCGTCTAATAGAGCTGAGGATCACAGAGGCGTGTTGCATTCACTAAAAAAAAAGGAAACTGTTTTTTTTTTCTTTGCTGTTTTTTCAGACTAATTTTCTTCTTTCTGTTTCTTGGTACTATTTTTTTTTTTGTCTTTCTGTTTTTCAGAGTATTTTTTTTTCCTGACTAAACGAGATACTCCAAAATCCTGCGAGAATCTCATACAATCAGATCACGTTAACCACCGCTCCTGCTCCAAATCAGCAGATTCTCCAGCTCCTCCATAACTTCGACTACGGGGTCAATGAGAGTAAAACATGTTATTAGTTAAACATAGGGTATGAAAATCCTGAGGTGTCTGCGCAAGTATTGGAAGCAAACAAGTGGGTCATGTTTGCTTAAATACATCGAGCAGGGGGGGATAAAGGTGTCTGTTTTTAAATGATCATAATCCCAGAGTATAGGAAAAACAATTCGTCTGAAAAACAGAAAATAAAAATAAAAATTCTGAAAAACAGAAAAAAAAAAATATTCTGAAAAACAGAAAGGCAAAAAAATATATATTCCAAAATAAAGAAAAGAAAAGAAAGTCCCAAAAACCGAATAGAAAAAAAGATTGAAAAACAAAAACTGAAAAAAAAAATATTCAGAAAAAAGGAAAAAAAAAAAAGTTCGATAAACAGAAAAGAAAAAAAATCTGAAAAAACAGGAAAAATTAAATATATATATTCTGAAAAACAGAAAGGAACAAAAAGTTCGAAAAACAATAACGGAAAAAAAAAATCCGAATGACAGAAAAGATTTTTTTTTCCCCAAAAAACAAAATTAAAAAATTAAAAAACAAAAAAGAAAAATAAAATCCAAAAACAGAAAAAAAAATTAAACATTTTGAAAAATAGACAAGAAAAGAAAAAATCACTCGATCACCTTTTTTTTATTTGGTGAATGCAACACGCTTCCATTGTGGATCGAGGAGAAAAACAGGTATATATATATATAATATGAGTCATTTGAAGTCGTAAATTCCCCTCTGAAATCTCTCCAAATGTAAACCATGAACAGTCAGCGGGAAATGTTTAAAAAACAGATGAAAGAGACATCTGTTTTTTTTTTTTTTGAGTTTGATGAAATCGCGCTGCTACAACAACGACATCCTGACTGTAATCTGTCATGGAAATGTGAGCTGCTCCTCTCGTCGTACCAGGATGAAAAATGTTCACTTTAGAGGACGCAGCTGTGTGGCGTTGACATGTGTTACAACATGAAAAGACTGTCACGCTGCTGCTGCTGCTGCTGAGCTACAGACACATGAAGACAAACTCATCGAGAGAATAATGAAAGTTTCCGATTTTGACGTTAAACTTGTATGTAGGGCTCTCGCTCACAAGAGAATAAAGAAATGGGACACTTCAGCTGCAGCGTGAGAGGCGTTTCAGTCAACTCCAAACTCTCTACACCTTCACTCACACCTCTCTGAAATCAGAATTTAATCCATCAGTTATTTTTCAGAGAGCAGGAGGGAAAATCCTGATTTTCTGACTGAATCTCAGAGGATGGATCGGTGGGACCTGTGCTGCTGTTCTCACCCTCTCTGCGGTACAGTGTGCTGGGCAGAGTGCTGGAGCTCCAGGACAAGGACCAGTGGACGTCTCCGCCCAGTTTCTTCTTCGTGGCCGACTCTCGTGCGCGTCTGTACTCCCAGAAACATCGACGCTTCGACGGGCGCTCTCCTGGCTGTCTCACTGGCTCGGCTTCCACTTCTGCAGAGAAATAAACAGAGAGAGGGGGACTTTACTGAGTGAGCGGATGGGAAGATACGGAGATATTACAAAGATATGGAGATGGCTGTGCTGGTTAATAATCCCATTTATTTAACTGTATCTGACTGGACTATCATGATCACACAAATGTTTAAAGTTTAGAAAATAATCATATTTTAGAGTTTTAAAACAACTTTAGAGCCGATAAACTCAGAAACATGTGATTAACTGACTTTAATTAACCGATTCTTTCAACTGGAACAGATTTAAATGGAACTTTAATAACAATTTAAAGCAAAGAAATTCAACCTCAGACGTCTATGTGAGTATAAATATAGTAGAATAAAATAGAATAGCATTAGAAAGAATATAATAGAGTAGAACAGAATAGAACAAGCTAAACAGCACAGATATACAATAATTAGAAAATCAATCTGAAAAGGATGATTAGAAAAAAGAAAAGAAAAAAACGGGTTAATAAAAAAGATAGAATAGAATAGAATGGAATAGAAGGAACAGAATAAGATAGAAAACAGAAAAATAGAATCAAAATAAACTGTCACAGACTAGAATAGAGTTAAAGGAATAGAACACAATAGATTTTTTCTGTGTAGAATAATGTAGAAAAGAATCAAATAGAATAAATCTAAAAGATTAGAATCTAAAAGAACAGACTTATAAAGTATAGAATAAAATATTACAGGACAAATAGAACAGAGTGGAATAGAACAGAATAAATTAAATAAAGAAAACTGAATATAATGGATTAGAAAAAAAAATTCAAAGAAAACTAGAACAGAAAAGAACAAAATAAAAGAATTTTACATAATAGACTAAAATAAACATTATTTAATAAGAGGCAACATAATAAAACAGAATTAACTAAATAGAAAAGAACAGAACAAATAGAATAGAATAGAATAGAATAGAGTGATAATAGATCCATAGTTTTTGTTCTACAGTGAGCAGCCGGTCAACCTTCACCAAATTAAAGACTGTCGAGTTAAAGTGTAAAATCACTTGTCGAGTTTCTGGTTAAATAACACTTTAGTAAAGGTTTCACTGAAAAACAAAGTTCTCCATCGCTGGGTTCTTCAGAACCCTCAGAACCATCAGAACCCTCAGAACCCTCAGAACCATCAGAACCCTCAGAACCCTCAGAACCACACTGACACACCTGGAAAAAACAGATGCTGAGATCAAACCGGATCATTCTGTAACTGTGGACTTCATTCATGACTTGATTCTCTCTGTCCTGGTTTTACTTGTTTCCTACTCTGTCACACACAGATGATAATTTCCAAGTTCTGCTGCGAACTGTGGAGATGAGGTGGAGACAGATGATGGTGTGGGATGTGGGCCCACCACAGACTCAGGGCTCGCTCAGTCTGACTGAAGACGACGACCACAGACAGTACTTACTGTCAGCACTGTGGAAATGAAAGCTTCTCCTCGGCTCTGGTTCTCTTATCAGGCATGATCTTATCTTCTCTCTCTCTCTCTCTCTCTCTATCTCTCTCTCTGTCTCTCTCTCTCTCTCTCTCTCTCTCAGCTCTCTAATACAAATAAGGATGTGGAGAGGAGAGAGAGAGGAGAGAGAGAGCCGCTCTGTTTGTCTAAACTCTGACTGACCTGTGATGATAACACACTTCATAACCTCTCCCTCAGATTAGACGGATCAGGCGTCTCCACTCTGGACTAACTTTAGTCTCAGCTCTGTGTGCAGATATTTATTTGATCCTGTTATCTTCTGATCACAGATTAACACCTCACTTATCTTCAGACTACAAAGCTGCTGCTTCACAGAGCAGCTTGATTTTTCCTTCTTATCTTGGGACCAAATGACGGATTTCTTTGTAATCTGCATTTATTTTACTTCATCAAACTTCTTCTATTAGCTGAAAAATGAAAGAAGTCGACCATCTTCACCTCTGATGAAATTAAACCTGATAAAACATTTTCCTCTGACACTAAATAAGCACGCAGCATCTTCTCTAATTAACACGTTTATTACAGGATTATATCAAGATAAAGTCAATTAAATCATCTGTTATCAGGAGAAACTAAACGCTGCTGATTCAAGATTACGGGATTATTTCGTCAATGATTCCTCAGGTTCAATAATCAAAGAGTGAGTCTATGTTTTCATACGATAAGGAGTTCATTAACTTGACTTCCAAAAAACAGGGGTGGACGATAAATCATCGTTCAGGATTTATCGTCAGAAAAATACTCTGCGATAATTGTTTAACATCTCATGATAAGTACAAGCGGAGGACGCAAGCGCGAGCGACGGACTCGCTGCCATAGACCACACAGAACAAACATGGCTGAAGGTAGGGCTGGGTGATAAATGAAAATTTACTGATGCCGAAATTTACAACAATAACCAACATCATTTTGCCCGTGTCAATATATTCAGTGTCCAAAAAATAAAAAAATATCTATCTATCTATCTATCTATCTATCCATCTATCTATCTATCTATCATGTCATTAAGATTATTCTCTGGAGTCTCATTCTCCTTAAAACATACAGAACTTATTAAAATCTGTTAAAACAAATATCATAAAAATTTCATACATATAAACTAGGGCTGGGCGATAAACCGAAAATTTACAGACACCAAAATTTACGACAATAACCGACGTCACTTTGTCCATATCGGTAAATTCGGTATCACAAAAATCAATAAATCAAAGTAGGTAGGCTATGGTCTCATGTCCCTTTAAGACGCTGTCCTACATCAGAGACGTGACTCCGCCCCATCCAGTCTGTAACAAAGAGGTAAAGACAGGTGAGGAGATGGAGGACGGAGAGAAAGTTGGAGCAGCTGAAGTAGACGAAGTTAATGTGGGAGGGGGTGAGCAGCTGGTGGAGTAGTTATCGTCCATTTATCGTTATCGAGGTGAACTGATCAATATATCGTGATATTGATTTGAGGCCGCATCGCCCAGCCCTAGGTGAAGGTGGTGAAGAAGACGTTTTTGAGCAGCTGGTTACTGAACGAGGCTCCACATGAGGGATTTCCTTCAAGACTGGGGTTTAGACGGGCGAAACGTCGGTCAGTGTTCACTCTGTTAAAAATGTTAAAAGTTTTTTCATGTTTGAAACTTGTTTGTCACAGTTTTTTTCTCCATCACCTTCCACTCAAACTTGTGGTTCAGTATCTTATTTGACGACTCCAACTGGTGTTCTCAAGACAAAATGAGTCAAAAATATAGTTTGGAATTATAATATTTTTATTGGGAGTTTTATCGTTATTGCCAGAATAGCAAAAGTTATCGTAATAAATGTTTTAGTTCATATCGCCCACCCCTACATCTGATCAATAAGAGAGAAGAAAAAGTCGCATTTCTCAAAGATCAAGACTCTAGAAGTCCGGAAAAGCCAGAAAAGTGTCCTGAAAACTGTCGAACTTTTGGTTCTACCACCTGACCTCTTTGTAAACATCATGAGGAGTTTGTTGTGAATTGGCGCTGTATAAATAAAGATTTACTTATTCAAAATAGACATCTTGAGTTGTGTATTTGGCTCGTTTCTTCCGGTATTTGTTTTTTCTTCCAAACGTGTTTCTGCTCATTAAAAATCCACTTTGATAAAATAAAAACAGACAAAAATCAACATTTTCAATCTGCTGCAGATGTTGCATCAGGAAATGGCAAAAATCCAAACATAGAGTCAATACTCCGGGAAATAAAACAGACTTTTGAATATCGTCACGTAGGCGGGCGCCATTGACAGCCATATAGAAGTGATTTTAATACCCCGACAGATGAACTGTAATCATAACTGACAGCTATTAATGTTTATGTTTTTCTGATATGAAACCGCGCTGGAAGCCTTAATCTACAAACACAACCTGTACGTCCAGGACTACAAAGCCGGCATCATCTGAAACTGCATGCATGTATGCCTCTGCAAAGACAGACACCTACATGAGAGACACACACGTCACCCAAGATTAGCCTCAGGCGCGCCGAAGCCGTGAATAATGGTTTCATAAATAATCCAACATGGAAAGCTGCCGCTGCAGGAGCGGGGACGAGACGCGTCTGCAAATTTACCAGGACTGGGGTACAAAATGAAGAAAAACAGAGGCAGGATGAGATCAGACTGGAGGTAAAGAGTCGTGAAGTCCTGTGCTGGGACACACACACACACACACACACACTCACACACACACACTTGCAGGAGGGCTTGTGTAACAACGTGACGTCTGGTCCAGTCTGCAGAAAACGCCTCGGTCTGCTCCGTCTTCTTCCTTCTCAAACAGTGTGGGTTCATGCTAACAGCCCACAGATCGACACTGATGTCCGGCGTCTGTTGAAACATGAACCCGCCCCTGAGAACCAGCCGCTGACCTCGCCTTTACCTTGAAACGTGACACCTGAGATTTGTTTATCAGAGGAGGAGAGAGGCTGGGGAGAGATATTCATCTGAAGTGAAGTCAGCTAACAGACGAGTTCTTTAATATACATGAGGAGATTTCACGCGCTGTGGTCCGGACATGAGGTCACCGATGACATTTAAGCAACAACCTCAACAACAAAGCGGTCAGATATGAACTCAGTCCTGCTGTTTGACTGTCGGTTCACTCCAGCGCAACGTCTCAGACAGAAGTCAAATAAAAGAGACGCCTGCGATTTATTTCTGTTTCCATTTCATTAAGAGTTGGTCAAAGACGTGATGCAGCTCAAACTGAGACACCCTGACTTTCAGTCCTCGCTTCAGCGGTGATCAATGTCAAAGCAAACACGCTCAAAAGAGAGACATAAAAAAGCTCCTAGAATGAATAAAAAAAATCCATCTGTGAAAAGATTTTCAGGCTCAGTGAGGGTCTGCACACAAACAAACCAAGGTCAGGTCATGAGAATGAAGACTGTGTGATATTAAAGGGATATTCTGACATAAAATTAATTTAGGGTCAAACACGCCGTAACACCGAGTTAGACCCCCCCTCCAGAGATGAATGTTGTCAACCGCTCTCTTCTCTAGTTATACCAACTTTAGTAACGACCGCAGGATAGAAATACAGAGAGACACGCCCCCAACCAAAACGCCACTCTATAGCCACAAATAATGCTCAGAACTAGTGATGTGTTGTCCGAGAACGATTCGTTCAAAAGAACTGAATCTTTTAAGTGAACGTCCTGAACCGAATCAGTTCCTCGAGTGATTTGTTCGTTTCTCTCTCCAGTTGGGCTGAAGTGAGAATGAAGGACCACATGCATTAACCCTACATTAATTTTACGCCGGAATATCCCTTTAATCAGGGCTGGGTCTTGATTAAAAAATGAATCAAATTAATCAGAGGCTTTGTAATTAATTAATTGTGATTAATCACATTTTAATTGGTTTACTGGGTTGGTTGTGGGTCGCTGTAACTCAGAGTCTGACAAACGTTAGCTTCTGTGCTAGCTGCAACATGTTTAGCATTCAGGTGATACCGTGACGTGCTGCGGTGATATAACAATTCTTTTTAGTTTGCACCATTTTCTAATCCAGGCTTTTATCCACCTGTTTTTTAAAACAAAGAAGCCCATCCACGCCGGAGCCAATCACAACACATCCATCCATGATTTTTCCACGCGCTCGGTGGGACTGGGATCACCGCTGCACTCACTCACATTAGGGTGTGCCGGTATAAGCGGTATACACAGCAGCACAAAAATACAGTAGGTGTGATTAATATGCATTTATATTTTTAAAGAGATTAAATATTTCTGTAATTAATTAATCATAATTAACGTGTTTGAGTCCTGGCCCTGATATTAATTCATCTGTTTACAAACCTCCCGCTGCTCCTGCTCCCCCGTGATGTTTTCTTCTTCTGCTGCTGCGATTAAACGCAGTAAACACACTTCTGACTTCCTGTTCTTAGAACCAGTTAAATGTTAAAACGCTGAGTCAGTCTGAGCCGTTGACAACAACAGAGCTAACAACTGTCCCACTCAGCATGACTTGAAGAAAACCTGCACAGTCATGCTGAATCCTCCAGATCTGTTTGAGAATAATGATTTCAGAGCAGAGGAATCCGAACGGTCAACACTTTCAGATCCTGTATTTTCTATTACTCACACAAAGTTTCCAGAGACCGACGACTAAAACAAGAACATTTAAAGAAGTTCGCTGTTCCTGAGCAGGAGCCAGGTATCTCTGGCAGTAAAAAGCTTCATTTTCTTTCATTTTTGTCCATCAGAAGAAGCCGAGTTCAAACATGTTTTTAGCCAACAGATATAGGGATTTGTTTTTACAAGTCAAACTACCTCCAGGCTGCCAAAACACAGTAATGATAAATTCAGTTTCTGAGCGCTTATCCTCCTTAAATCCATATTAGTACGGAGCACGAGTGGGTGTTTGAGATTTAAGTCGCAGTAAGTCGGCCAACTTCAACAGCGATCATGTAGGTTTGATGGGAAATCAAAAGAGCGTGAATCAATACGAGAAAAGTGAAGTGATATTCAAACTGACCAATTACAACTTTTCCCTCTCAAGGCTGCAAAGAAAAAGACTCAGAGAAACAAACCGTAATTATCACGGAAACGTGTCGGTAATGTGAGAGGAGAAGAAGCTATTCCCACGTTGCCATAGAAACCACACTGCACATTAACGCTAAATCTCCTACATTAACGTTATTAATGTCTAAAGTCCAGATGAAAATGTGATTTAAAGGTTCATTTCTGGATGTTGTTTAATTTTAAAAAAGTTTATCAAACAGCTGATCGATCAATCATGGAAACAGTCGACTGTAAATTTATAAAACCACCTGTTACACACAGACGGGATTTATACTGGCGATAAACAGAAGGAAGGGAGGAAGGAAGGAAGGAAGGAAGGAAGGAAGGAAGGTAACATAAGAAATGAAGGGTGAAATAACAGAAGGACGGAGAGAAGGAATAGAGAAAGAATAGAAGAAAAAAGGATTGGATGAGAGGAAGGAACTAAGGACAGAAGGAAACACTGAAGGTAGAGAGGAAGAAAGGTATAAAGGACAGAAGAAAGGAAGAAGGGTACAAAGGAGAAAAGGAGAGGACAAAGGAAAGGAAGGGAGAAAGGACAGAAGAAGGTGAGGATTGAAAGGAAGAAATGAACAAAGTTTTGAAGAAAGAAGGAAAGAGAAGATGGAGGGAAGGAGAGAAGGAAGGTAGGAAGTATAAAAGAATAAGGGGAGGAAGGAAGATAGGAAGGAAAAACAGAAGGATGGAAGAGAGGTAGAAAAGAAGGAAGGAGGGAAAGAAGGTATTTAGAAGGAAACAAAAGTTTATGAGGTAGAAGGACAGAGGAAAGAGGAAAGAGGAAAGAAAGGTAGTACGGTAAAAAAGACAGAAAAAAGGAAGGAGGAGAAAGGGAGCAAAAGAGGAGGAAGTTTAAAGGAAATATAGACATCAGGGGAAAAAGTGTGGAAATAAAAAGTATCGAAGAAATAAAAGAAAGAAGAGAGAAAAGTTAAAGAAAAGGAGGTGAGGAGGGACAGACGGGGGAAGGAAGAAAGAAAGAACGAAACAAAGAAAGAAAGAGAGAAAGAAAGAAAGTTCTTAAAGGGGTGGTCTGACAGTAACAGTAACACGACAACAAACACTGAAGATCCTCTAACTGAATCAGTCTGTTCCTCGTTTCCTCGTTTCCTCGTTTCCTCGTTTCCTCGTTTCCTCGTTTCCTCGTTTCCTCGTCTGCAGTTTGAACTTCTGTGATTCTCTGAAACTTTCACCAAAACTTTTGTTCGGATCAGTTTTCATGTTTGTGATCATTTCACATGTTCTGCTACGATCCCGCCCCCCCCACCAGAACCAGAACCGGGTCAGGGCCGGGGTCGTACAGTTCTAGACTACATGAAGATCCTCAAACCCCCGGAGACGCCTGGACCTCCTGTCAGGGTGAGACTCTCTCTGCACCTCTGCTGAGGTCTGGACCTGAGACAGACTCTGGTGGTTCCTGTGTGAGCAGCAGGCTGAAGACATGTCCCCTCTACACACACACACACACACACACACACACACACACACACACACACACACACACACACACACTCAGACGAACTGAAAGCAGGACTCACCACATTCGGTCTCGGAGGAGCTGGAGAGCTCAGCTTCCACCGTCGTCTCCTCTGCTCCGTCCTCTCCTTCCTCTTCCTCCTCCTCCTCCTCTCCTTCCTCCTCCTCCTCGTCTTCCTCCTGCTCCTCCTCATCCTCCAGGTCTAGCTCAGTCTTAGCCTTGCTCTCCTCTCTTCCCTGCACCTCCTGCTCCGCCTCCTCCGCCTGCTCCTCCTCTGTCTTGGAGGCGTGTCCCGCCGCTCCTCCGTGCTCCTCTCCCTTGCTGAGAGAATAGTTGTGCTCCTTGCTGCAGTGCTCCACAGACAAACTTGCTGACGCCACAGTCACCTCCTCCTCCTCTTCCTCCTCCTGCTGCTCCACCTGATACACCTCCACCGTACGCTCCTTCACCAGCCCCCCATCCTGTCCTCCTCTTCCTGTGACACAGAACCCCCTCTCTGTTGTCGTGGAAACAGAGACACACCCCTCCTCCCTCCTCGCAGCCTGGACTTCCTGGATGACAGGAGCTGTGTGTCTGTCCCTCCTCCTCTTCTCCTCCTCCTCTTGCAGCTGTTGCTCCTCTGCACTCCTCCCCCAGCGGCCAATCAGGACGGCCTCCTCGGAGCACGCCAGCAGCTCCCCTCCCACTCCGAGGCCCAGCTTGGTGTAGCGAGCCATCTCGTCCAGCGCGGACACATCCCAGCGCTCCGGGTGCAGGTCCTCGCCGAAGCCGCCGTCATCCACCAGGTCGCTTAGCAACTCAAAGGGCCGTTTCCGTGGCGATGCAGGGGAGCCCAGCATGAGGAGCACACTCTGAAAAGGGACAGAAATACACACTGTTTGGTTGATCATCATCACTCCTGAAACCTGCGTTCGCTCTCAGATCTGTGTGATGTAGATGTCTGATCGGTGGCGTTCCTGCAGGTGGACGAACGTGTGTTTATCGAAGAAATGAGCAAAAACAAACGAGCTTTCTGAGAGCGCTGAGAAACCCCAAACAGAGCGTCCACTTAAACCAGTTAAAACCAGTTAAACCACGGCGTAGAGCTGACCTCGTCCACGTAACCTCCGCTCCAGTTTGTCGGACGGTTTCTCAACAACGAGGCTGAGCTGATCAGGATCCCCCGTGGTGAACACGACTGCTATTGATGAGAACTTCATACAACCTCACTTTACTGAAAAACTAACTTTCTCCTCAAAGAGCTGAAACCTCTCTGCAGGAAAACATCGAGAAAGACAAACGACCACAACAGCTCAGCTCACGTGGTCATCATCACAGCGCCACAATCCTCCGTTACAGTCGCATGTTTCTCAGATCTGAGAGATCCTGCTCATGGTGGACCGTCGGGATCATCGCTACTTAAACAAGGAGAGAGAAATCTCATCCTCCTGCTCTGAGAGACTGAAGTGACCTGAGGTTGAAGGTCTGGAGTAGGGCTGAACGATTAACCGATTTTAAATCATCGTAGGAGCCAAATATGTTGATGTGATAACAGATTATGAGTTGCAGTTCACTTTCTGTGCCTTGGGTGTCGCTGTCTTGTAATCTGAGTCTCAGGGATGAAGGTAGCCAAGTCGCTGTTGTGGGCAGGTGTTTGTTTTTGACCATCGTGGCGCTAACTGCCGGCGTTTTTCTTGTTTGTTCAGTGTTTGATATCTAATGCAAAATGAGTTTGGTTATGTTCAGCGTCCGGACTTTTACTGATCATCACAACTCACAGTAAACTCAGCAGCAGCGCGGCGCGTCAACCAGGTTATTCCAGGTCAAGCATCTCAGTATCTTAAGTATCGATTTGGCTCCTACAATCGTAATCAGATTATTTGATTCTGATGATATTAAAAAAATCAAATTCGGTTTTCCTCTCTATCACGTCTCACACCTCCAGGCCACCGTAGGCTCCTCCCCCTTCCTGCAGGAGCGCTCCCCAGTTCCCGCACACCAGTGTAAACAAACATGGCGTTTACAAAAAAAGGTGATAATTTCTCCCTGCTGTAAAGTCTGTCTGAAGGCGGTATCAACCCGTCACCACGGAAACTAATTCAGGAGGAAACGCTAAAGTTTTTTGTCGTATCGGCGTTTCAGGTGACTGTAAACGGTACTTTTTGAAAACGGGTCAGAGAGTGAATAAATCTGTAAACGACGACCATTTCATCTCCGTGTGGATGTCTATCTGCATCTCTGGAAACGATCATGTGACACACAGAGGAACTCTTTTATGGCGCCAAAACAACCTTTACACACATGCTCTGTACTCTTCTTCTGTCTTTGGTGCATTTCCTCGGCAACGTTACAGCGCCACCTATGGGCTTGGCATATGAACTACATCATTTTCAGTGGTTTTATTTTGAGATATGATGAAGAAACTTTTTATTTAAGTGAAGTTTGATGAAGTCGTCACTAAAAAAAAAAAAAAAAAAAATCTGGATTTTATTTTCGGTCCTATTCTGGATCAAACATCCTCTTCTAAAACCTTTCAGGGACCCCTGTACTGGTCTCTATTTTAAAACACGCAGACACAATACTTGAAGAGAAGCAGCTCTAACCACCACATTCGACGGTAATCTCAGCACTTTCAACCAGGATGTCTCACCACTTCCTCTTGCATTTTGCAGTATTGTGCAATCCGGGTGCTTTATTTCTCCTCTGACCCACAACCCTCTAAAATTTTACTAACAATAATATTCAAATTTCCAAAACTGCAATAAACTTATGAGCAAGAGGGTCAAAAGTCACGGTGCATCGATACGTGCGAGGCCCCGAGGGTGTCCTACGAGGGGACCCAGCACCCCTGGGAGTCTCTTTGCGATGTTTGTTACGTGTTTCCTCACCTGGTCGTACTCTGTCCTGCCCCCTTGTGGTGACATGGCCAGAGGGTAGGGGCTTAGCAGACCCCTGTGTCCCCCATAGGCCTCGCCAAACGCAGGCTCCATCCCGTTCATACCCGGCTGAAACACACACACACACACACACACACACACACACACACACACACACACACACACACACACAGATACAGTGTGAGAGAGGGACACTGAGGAGCATCACTCAGAGGTGATGGATGAAAAAAAAACTGAAGGTTTCAGCGGCGCTCCTACTGTACCTGAGGCATGCCCGAGGCAGGAGGGTGTCAGGTCACGGTCACAAGATCTGCTCAAGAGAGTTCTGCATAGAAAACACACAACCAACTGAGATGATGATGAAGATGATGATGATGATGATGGAAGAGAAGGAAGAAAGAAGGAAACAGGAGAGGAAAAAGGAAATTTAATTTACCTACGGTTGAGAGCTAAGAGGGTGAAGGGGTGGAGCTCTATTCACATGACGCAGGCCTGCAGCTCTCAGCCTCCCAGCCTGCAGAGAGAGAGCGAGCGAGCGAGAGAGAGAGAGAGAGAGAGGATGGAGGAGGAAACGAGGCGAGGAAGGTTAGATTCACAAAAAAACAGACCAGGTTACTTTTGAAACACTGAAGGAGATCGTCTGAGGTCGCTGAGGTGGTCTCCACTGAATTTACATTTATTTATACAGGGCTGGGAATGATGGCATAATACAGTATAGTACAGAGGGATGTGATATAATAGAGTACTATACATTAAGATGTGACTGGATAAGAGGAAATAAGGTCCCGCAGTGATAAAGACAGAGTAAATAAAGGTTATAATGAAGCAACCAATCATCAACTGGAGACCTTCCATCATCACCATCTTTAAAACTGTCTCCATCACAACAATGACTTTGTCACTCGTAGAGCCGGACAGTGTGAGTCAACTGTAGCTGTAGACTCGTTCTACTAACAAGAACAAGAGTGGAGAGAAATCCAGATAAATGCCTCATGTTCTCCAAAGAGCCGGGTCTGCAGCAGTCTTTGAGAGTAGAGAAGGACTCTGCAGATCCACCCCGACACGTGGATTACGTGGATTACGTTCACTACGGTACAATAAGACACCGAATGATATGTTCCAATAAGACACAGAAGGATACAGGAAGAGAAGGTACGATATGTGCTGATATAATGGGCTCTATTTTCATGCCCGCCAGTGGCGCGGCGGAGGGTGGCGGACCGCGTACATTTTCATCCTCCATGGTATTAGGTCGGCCAAGCTGGGCGTGCTGGGGCGGCAGGGGGATGGGGACAGAATCAGCTGGCGCAGTGACATTTTCGTGCCCGCTAGCGGCGTAGAAAGTGCTCTGAAAGCTCGCTGATTCAAACCTGCCGGTATAAGCGGTATACCTGAAACATTCCGTGGTGCTAAAATACAGTCGGTGTGATTAATATGCGTTAATAATTTTAACGAGATAATATTACTGTAATTAATTAATCACAATTAATGCATTAAAGTTCTGGCCCTAAAAATTATATCAAATAATGATATCAACAGGAAACTACTGTTGTTTTTTATTTATTTTTTAACCTTATGTTATTATTTCCAAATTCAGCGATAAAAAGTTCCTGATTCAAACTCGCTGATTTGATCTGGATGAAACACTAAAGTAGGAGAATTAATTAAAAACAACTTGATTTTAAAGGTTTTAAGAACAACAAACTTCCTTTATTTAAATTTTACTTTAATGTGTTTTTTTTTTTATTATTGTATTTCAGTCCTCTCATCATGAAGGCTGTCCTATAGTTGGCCCTGTATGATATCATTATTATTCTGGTCTGCAGGAGTCTCAGTTCTCAGACTCCTCATTAAGGTTTAAGTTCGTTGGTGTTTTTAGTTTTGCACAGGAGAGATGATGACAGCAGCAGCAGCCTGTAAAAAGGAGAATCTAAATGTGTCGCTATGATCCTCTGATCACCTTCTCTGATGACGTCCTCTCAGATATCCTGATTTGGTTTTTCAGCTTGTTTACTGCATTGTCTTCTTCCTTTTATTCAGTGTCTGTGAAGTTAAACATCACCCAGATCAGAGGAGAATATCTCTCTATATTTACTGGCTAGTTTCTTTTTTTTTTTTGCTATAAATAAATCTATTTATTCAACATGAAAAACATGCTGCTTCAGCTGCCAGAAATGTAGGACAAATCATTTCCTGAGAACGGCAACGATCAGCATTTAAAGAAGTGAAGGAACGGTCTTTGATTCGGTAGATAACGGCTGGATTTGAACTGTGGGGGGATGAGCGGCGTTCATGAATATGTGGGTAATTAACAGCCAGGACCGCGGTCAGGAGGTGTATTAAAGGAGAAATGTGCTGTTGATTCGTCCATAATTAAAGAAATAAAGACTGAGCTGAGATCAGAGGGATATTTGGAAGGACAGAGGCAGATAAAAACAGACGGAAATCAAACATTTATGTGGAGAAAATCACCTTTTTATGGAGGGCAAGGCTTCATAAAAACAACAGAAAACACAGCGGATAGACTTCAGATTTTTATCATTCAGCCACTTCAAACCCAGAGGAGCAACATGAGATATCTGAGGATAGATGGGAAAGAGGCCGTCTGCAGATTTTTAATCAATTTAAACACAAAAACTGCCTCTTTTGAATTTTGTTGTAAATATTATTTCTGGTTTTCGCAGCAACATAAGGGAAGGTGTAAAAAAAAGCAGATTTGAAAATTTGTGGACCAGAGCTTGTGAATATTTTCTCTGAATCTCCAGGAGTGCACGTGAAAATGGCGATGGTGTCAGGTGATAACGAGCTACAACAGTGTGACGCTGGCAGAGACCGCAGTGTCAGTGAAAGCAAATTATTCTTATACAGCTGATGTGTGTATTTGGATCACACTTACACTAAACTAAAACAAATCTCTGGAACATCTGTGTTTTATTTCTGCAGCGTTTTACTGTAAGAAAACTGATCCCTGAAATATGGATATAAAAAGACAATTAGTGTTAATTCTGTTCAAGAAAAAGAGAAAAACAAAGAGAGAAAGAAGACGGTTTTGCAGCTCATTGTTTTCACCTGAGTTCACATGAGGGAAGAATAAAAACCCACAAAAGAAACACGTTTGAATCACAGGCTGTATTAAAGATGGCCGACGTTAGGGCTGGGCGATAAACGGAAAATTAACCGATACCAAAAATTTACGTTTGACAAGAAACACTTCTGTTACAGACACTTGTCTTACTTTGTTAAAGCGGTTTACCTGTCCAGCAGAAAGGTTACAGGGTCACCAAGATCCCCAAGCGTCCCCCATCGTTTATGTTGACCCGGCTTTTTAGCTCTTGTCCGGTCTACCTCCGTTTTAAGCGCCTGTTATTCCTCCAGAGTCTCCGGTATTTACTTTGTTTTCTTGCTTGTGTCGGCAGTCGTGGCCAAAGGAGGATTCAGACAATTTTCCGAACTTTCTGGTTGGTTCCTACAAACTTTGTTTGGGCTCCTGAACGACACGGGGGAGCAGCGTCTGCCTCACAACCAATCAGGTTAGAGGAGGTGGAGAATGGCTTTGTTTATACTAGAGCATGACACGGGAGCGGATTTTCACTCCTGTCCCGTCCCACTCCCAGAGAAAAAAATCCCGTCCCGTCCCAATCCCGGACCGGAGTAAAAAATTATTCCCACTCCTGTCCCGCTCCCGTTTGAATAAAACCAAACGTGTTGAAAAAACGTTACGTTTTTTTATTTTAGGTAAAAGTTTCAGCCGAGTCGGAGCGGCAGTCGCTCCAAGTCGCTTGTCACTCCTGGTGGTGACAGGAAGTCAAACCACTGTTGTAGTTCTTTTGTGTTGCTAGCGCGGTCAAGAGTGTTGGCTCTCACTGAGAGATGACTACAAAGATGGACGCATCTGTTCGTCTGGTTGTTTAACACGGCTGAAAATGATCATCTATCAATGTTGTTCCCGCTCCCGATCATGGGATAAATTAAAAAATGACTCCCGTCCCGTGGGATTCCCGCGGGAAACACGTGATCCACGGGAATTCCCGAAAAATATCATCCGCTAGTTTACGGTCAGAAAGAGCGGGCCACTCTGAAAATTTAAATGTTGACTACACAGACATAAGAGAACACAGAGATATCGTTATATTACCAAATGTCATCAATAACTAATAACTATTGACTGATATTCAAAGATTTTTTGTAAATACACCACAAAATAAAAAACGCTTCTTTAAAGGATTCCTGCCGACTCCACCTTTAAGCTGCTCAAATACACGTGTTTTAAAAGTCAAATCGTGGGTCGTCGTTTTTTAATACCTGCCATAATCGAACAGTCCTGTCGTGTTCGCTTTATTTCATTTTGAAACGCTGATTCATCATCACAGAAAGCTGGATTCACTTCTGTTGTTTCCTATTTCCTGATTTTTACATTTGGGCCACCGAAAACACGCCAGCGCTCAGAAACATCAGCGTCAATCCCTGACCTAATTTTCACCGCCTTGCTCTCCAGGCGGCTCCGTACCAAACGAGCGTCTGCATGAATCCGTGCGAAGGCAGATTTGGGTCTCTGTTCAGATTTAGGCCTTCATCGTCTTTCTAAAAAACGGAGCCACGTGCTCCAGTGAGTGTTTAGTGCAGCGGTACAGTGCGTTTGGGAGTGAGTCAGAATAAACTCCAGTGTGTGTACTCGTGGTAATGAAAGAACAGGCACAGAGGAAGAGTACACATCCAGCTCTTGGCACTCACTTCCTGTTTGGCTCTGCCATATTTAAAGTATTAATCGACTAAGAGACAAATACGGGATATTATTGTACAAATCCTTTAACCTAATTTGCCCTCCAAACAACTGCTCCTTCAGCTCCACCCATTACGGATAAACTCGGCCAATGAGAGCTAGTTTTCTGCTCTGCATCGGTTAATGTTTGTGCAACCAAAACTCCATTAGAGGAGGAGGCCACAGAGCGAACCGCCTGATCAGACCAACCGAGCTTCTTTCAGACGGGGACATGATGAAACACCGAGCAACACCAAAACACTCACACACACACACACACACACACTGCGGGAACAATGCAGACCTACTGTTCGGTACCTGCCGACAAACCAGGAGGAAAAAAAAAGAGCAGCTCGAACTGACCCGGGCTCAGCGACGGGGGAACAATACCATAATACCCTCTGTGTGCGCACTGACCTCAGGTACACAAGAATGAGGAAATGAGGATTGGCTGGGCGGTTATGACACTGCCTTGGCACGCCACATGGAAAACTGGTATTTGGCACAGGGAGTGAGCCAGCTACCAACATGCTGCACACATAAACACTTATCGGACACACACAGCGTTTTGGAAGTAGATAACAAACCGGTGGGACGGATAACAATCCCACCGGCGGACAAAGGAAACACATCTTTATCTTTAAGGTTACAGCAGATGTGCCAACAGCAGGGGCGCCGAGATACCACGGCTGAAAGTTTACAGAAAGGTTCAAACTATGCATGTTTGCTATCAGCTGTTTACTCTGTGCAACAGGGTGATGATGGCCGTGACTCTCTCTCTCTCTCTCTCTCTCTCCTGCACAGATTCTTAAACATGAGAGAGGAGCGAGGTAAACTTCATCATCTGTAAAACATACTCTCTCCTGTTTGATTTACTCGATCCGTCTACCTGCGCCGCTCTTTGAGGTATTTACAAGGTAAATTTACACTCCGCTATAAAAGAAGGATGCACCAAATGGATTCTTATTCCTATTTGTTTGTACTCCGGTTGATAAAGAAACCGGCCGTGCCTGCCCACAATAACAACCCTGCAATCATTTATTGTGTGTTGGTTCAATATAGGCTCGGTCCAAAGGTCCCCGCGCTCATAAATGCCCACCTCCTGTCAGGCAGGGTTCAGGGTGAGGCGAGAGAGGAAACAGGAAGGAAATTGCTTCATCTCAAACCACGGCAGGTCAATATCCAGCAATAACCACAGGCTTTACATCCAGCCAACCATCCATTCAGTCTTTTGTAAACAAGACTAAGAGAGCGGAGCGGGATGCCAACACAACGCCGGCTTATGTGAAAACTACACCCAATACATACTGACAACGCAAACACGCGTGTTTACATTCACAGCGCGGCGGGATTATGGTTCATGTGGAGCAGTTTGTGCGTGTTAGAAGTGACTTAAACCGGTTACAGAGACAAATCCACGGAGGACGTCCAACTCGCATACATCCTGGTGTTTTTTTCTGCAACATGCATGAGCTACAACTGACTTTTTTTATCAATGTATTATTAATGCACTGAGTGGGCGCAGGATATGCTAATGAAAATGACTCCATATGCTTGCAACAGCTTGTTATGTAAGACAGGGCGGTGTAATCACAAGAAACCATCCTCCTCTACCAAAACACTGAGTTCATATCACAGTATCAGATTATCATTGACTGAAGAGGTTGATCTGATCGATCGGACTGGACCACACACTCCTGATGAATCAAAGTTTAGGATTTACTCCCTCTGACGACTTTCAGCTCCACGTCATTGTCTTTATTTAAACACGTCAAGTATTTCAGCGATTAAAAAGACACAAGAGACAGAGGCGCATCTAAATTTAGCTGCAGCTCAGCTATCAGCCCCCCAGCTACAGATGTAGGGCTGGGCGATAAGGCCTCAAATCAATATCATGATATATTGATCAGTTCACCTCGATAACGATAAATGGACGATAACTACTCCACCAGCTGCTCACCCCCTCCCACATTAACTTCGTCTACTTCAGCCGCTCCAACTTTCTCTCCGTCCTCCATCTCCTCACCTGTCTGTCCCTCTTTGTTACAGACTGGATGGGGCGGAGTCACGTCTCTGACGTAGGACAGCGTCTTAAAGGGACATGAGACTATAGCCTACCTACACACATCCAAAAACAACTTTGATTTTTTTTATTTTTGGACACCGAATATACCGATATGAGCAAAATGACGTTTGTTATCGTCATAAATTTCTGTATCAGTAAATTTTCAGTTTATCGCCCAGCCCTAGACAGATGTATGATATTCATTCATCAATTAAACTTTAGGATATGTTGTTTTTACAGATTTTAATAAAAGGCTCTTTATGTTTTAAGGAGAATGAGACTTCAGGGAATAATCTTAATTTACACGATAATTGAAGAGTCCATCTTTGTAACCACAAAAAGAAACGACTAAAAAAGGAAAAAGTACCTAAAAACAAGATAATTACAGATTTATGTCATAAAACTACATTATTCTTTGTTTTTTTCAGTCTATTAAATAAAGTTTAAAATTTCAATAACAGGAGACCTGAGGGAATTATTCATCCGTATGTTAATGTCTCAGAGAAAATAATGAAAAATTGAATTGTACCTAAAATCAGCTCAGCTCCCGGCCTCGTTCCTGACTGTGTAAAGAAGAACCGAAACACAGCGGTTTCGGAAGTTTACCTCTTACTTCTTCTCCCATTTTTTAAAGACAAAACCAAACGCAGCCTCACTAAGAGCTGAAATATCAACTTTTGCTGAATTTTGGCCCTAAAACAACAACAGAAGCAAACCGGCCGATTAACTATCCAACTGATTTAACATCGAGGAGAACTCAGGTGGTTCAGTTCACGTTAGTTTGAGGGTGTTTTTGGACTTCCTCAAAAATTTAACTTTGTAGTTTTGACTGTTTTTTTTTTTTGTTGTTAAAGCTACCAAGAGGAACTTTTGGTTTGTCTTGGTTTTGGCGCCCCCTAATGGACAAAGTTATACCTCTTATTTCTTGTCTTGTAAAAGTGAAAGTAGTCTGCTCAGACATAAAAACTCATCCTGTTGTTTTTTCCTTCTCACTGTAACGATTTTTGATGTAAACGGTGAAAAAAGAGTCTGTTTTCTTCAGCTCCTGACACCGGCCCTCCATCACACAGTTTCAGGCTTCAAATATTCACAAATAAGAAATTTCACTTTTGTTGGTGATGGTTTCATTTTATTTTGAAGGTCATAAAGAGGCAACTCTACCAGTTCAGCGTTTTCCTCACCCAGTTAAAAACTCCTCACAGCGCCCCCTAGTCTTCCATAAAAATCACAACAATAACATTACAGTGAAATTTTGAGGTGATTTGATCTCCTATCAGATCTATTTTCTGATTTTATATTTCCGATTTTCTCTCCTGACCCGTCTGTTCTTCTGGGCTTTATGACCTGTACTGCAGCCAGTCACCAGGGGGAGCTCTAAAAGATTTGGCTTCACTGTTGGGAGCTGCGGTGCCCCTCTTGCTCTGAATGATCCGTTCATTTGTATCTGAGGGGAGAGACTTCTGCTCATGTAACGCCGAGCGAACCTTGAAAGGTTACGTTGAAGCCACTGAAATTCTGCATGTTTAGAGACGTGCACTCTTACAAACGTAGCTGCTGCTCAGCTCCCAGCCCCCCAGCTCAGATTCATGACATTCTGCTTTTTTTCTGTCTTTTTAATAAATTTAATGAAAGCTTATTTGGGGATCTGAGGGAATGATCCTACTCTGAAAACTGGAAGATGTAGTAAAAAGAGGCTTATGGCAGCTCAGCACCCAGCCCCCGCAGCTGCAATAGCACCAGAAGATTTATTTTATGAAACTGATTTGTTCTGTTCTTAACAGATTTTATCAGGGATTCATTTTGATTGAGGGAATAATTTATGAATCTGTAAATATCTCAGAGAAAAGGATGAAAATTAAAGAAGTTACAGACACTCAGTTTCCAGCCCCCCAGCTACACGGACGTCAGAAAAACAGATTTATGTTATGAAACCGATTTATTCTGTTTTATAAGGATTTGATAGAAGGTTCGTGTCGTGTTCAGGAAAGGGAGATTTGTGTCTCCGATCAGCTCATGTAACACAGACTGAACCGTGAACAGTTAGTAAAGTTTACAGACTGTCTTCAGTCGCTCCGGCCGGATGACACAGCAGAAAAAAACCAACAGATTTGACTGATTTAATCGGTTTGCTCTGGGTTATCTCCTCTGATTTTTGATCATTCTGAACCATTCTTCACATTTTCAATAGATCCAGTAATTGTGTAGTCTCAAGATCGTGAGGAATGATAAACACATTCTGCTTTTGTCTTAAATGAGGTGTTAAAAAGTGCTGTTTTTAATCTGAATTTGATTTTATCATCATGTTAGACAACAAACACCTGAACAAAAGTCAAAAAAATGTCATTTTTCCAACAAACAGTTGTTGGTTTTAATTATATGAGGCTCAAATTTTGACTGTTGAGACTCTTTTTTCCCTCATAAGGAGTCAAATGTGTTCAGAAGTTGGTTGTTTGAGCTTGTTTTAGTTAAGTTTTGATTCACTCAACATCTCAGGACTTTGAGTTGTTTTTTTTGTCGCCATATGGTCGAAAATCTCACTGAAAACTTGTTTTAAATAGTTACTTTCAAAATAAAAGCCTATTATTGAACGATCATATCAGATTAAAACGCACAATTCTTCCCATCTAAACACGTGCCAAGCGTATGTGGACGAAAGTCAAAGTGACACCTGACCACGAGCCCAGTCTGAGCACGAGCCGTCCGAGCAGACAATGAACCCTGAGCAGCTGGAGGCCGCCTCAGAAACCCCGGTACGAGAGGAGGACGGCACGGTTACGGACGGATGGATGGAGGTTACGCACGGAGAGAAAAACGTGGTTGTGAAAAAGTAAATAAGAGAGAGTCCGCAAAGAGGGGGTGATGGCGGAGAGAGTGGCCGAAAACAGCGCGGATGAGACGGGGGGAGAGGGGAGGAGAGGCGGTCTGCCTGTCTCTCTGTCTAGGAGGCCAATTTGCCAAATTAGAGCTCCAAAAATCTGGGGGGGCGGGGGACTCAGCGCCGTTTCGCCGGTGAAATATCCCGGTCCGATCCCGTGAAATAAGCAGAAAAGCGGCTCGAAGGTGAAAACATGAGAAAACATCCTTAACGACCTGGATGCGCCCCCTGCCTCTCCTCCCCGTGTCCTTGGAGCTCGGTTTCCCGGAACGATGGAGAGCCAAAGTGGCCCCGTCCGCCGCCCATCGCCCGGCTCCATCCTGGGAGCGCGTCCTGCTCCTAAACCCCCGAAAAATCTGCAAACGAACCGATCAGAGCAACACAACCGGGGGATGCATAACGGTGCAGTGTGTCCGCACAGCTGGAGAGAACAACAGCAGCACACACACACTCACACACACTCACACACATACACAGAGCCAGAACAGGGAAGAAGAGAAGGTGCCATGGTGGCAGCCAGCAGCGTGTCCCGCATGGCACGGCGAGCCGCGGAGCCGCACTCCCACATCCACAGCCCCTCTCTCCGTGTTCCACGCCGCTCATCCAAAATCTGCAGTTTTATTTTTCTAACATTAAAGCAGAAATGTTCCTACCAAAAGCAGCCACCACGCGTCGCGGAGAGTATCCAGCCGAGACAACAGGGATCCTTTCAGCGCAAGACAACAATAAAAATGGGGCGCAGCTGGCAGTGCCACCGGATGTCCAATATTGATACCTAATACGGCCGATTTCTGAGCATGTGGATCAGCCTCACGTTTAACAGGTCCACGGGCCATCTGCAGGAATAAAGTCTGCTCTCTCTCCCTCTCCATACTGCCTGGTACTTTGACTAAATATTAAAGTTGCACCGAGAGTAAATCACTGAGCAAGTTTGGCTGCTGCTGGATAGAGGAGCTACAGGCCCAGACGAGTTCAATTCGCACCAAAATTTGGCTTTTTTGCATTTTTAGTGTAAAAAATTAAAGGGAAAAAACTCATGCTGCTGTTTTACCAACATAAAAATAAGCAGGAATATTAAAGAGGGGTGCAGAATTATTATATAAGTGTAAAAAATGTTGATTATTGGGTCTGTAAATATAAATATGTAAAGAATAATGCGTCTTTGAATCGAGCGCATTTTCTTGGATTCTGAATAGTCCAGTTACAGTTGTGAGCCGTGCATGCTACTGTATGTAAATCCGTGAGAAAGTGGCCATTTTTGTCACTGAAGCCCGTTTAAAGCTGATTTTTATTTTCTCTTTGTGTTTTATAGAATAGTCAGGAACTTCTCGGCGCGTAACTTCGCCTTAAAAGCGCATTTATTGGCGCATATGCGGCGGTGAGAGAGGCTGTACCTTAGCGCGTGTCCTCGGATGTCCCCTCGGAGTTAAGGCTCCTCCGGACCGGGGTAAAATGTCGGCCTCGGCCTCTCCAAATGATAATATCACGCACCATCCACGGAGAGGAGCGGCTCCAGCGTGGACACCGAGAATCTCCGCAGCAGCAGCAGGAGCAGAAATAATCCGGCGCAGCCTAAGAGCACATGCAGGAAGTTAGTTTCCAGGAGTACCGAGCTGGCCTGTATGGCGGATAAACGGGACAGAAATATGGTTGTAGGACTGTTGAATACCCCCCCTCCCCTCCTTCCCTCCCTCCCTCCCTTCTTGCCTCCTTCACCACCACCACCACCACCTCCACCTCCTCCTCCCTCTCCTCCTCATGTCTCTTTCTCCCTCCCCTCCATGATTTGGAGATGTGAGGGTTTGGAGAAGAGAAGCAGAAATCTCTCTCTCTCTTTCAGGAACTTTATTTCTAATAAAGTTTTACAGCTTTGAACAACAACAACAACAAAAACACTACAGGAGGACTGAGTCCCCGCCGAGCAGCCGGATTAAACCACTTTAGTTCGGAGCAGAGAAGAAGAAAAAACGTAAACAGAGAGATGGGAGCGTGTTGTGTAAGCTTCAGGTCGTCTTTGTTGGTGTTGTGGTTGTTTAGTGTCGTACAGGTGCTGTTGTTGTTGTGTTTGTTGTGCAGTTTCGTCTTTAGTGGATCGTAAATGTCGACAAAGGAGTTGTAAGTCACTGACCTGATGGAAATAGGAAGTGTGTCAGCTGTAAAAACAATTGCAGCTCTCATCGGCGGGCTGGGGGGCACTTGAGTTCACGAATAATCCCGTAGACCGATTGTCAAGAGACGAGAGGTTAGGGTGTCATATTTCCGGCTTGGGCTTTCAAAATAAAGATGCTGTAAAGAAAAAAGTTTGACTCTGGATCTCAACTGTTGGTCTTTGGAGCTGAAGTTCATCTTTTTTTGCAAGTAACCAGGTTGTTTTCCGGGTCCAGCAGCTTCAGACGGTCCTCAGTGGAAAGCCAAGATTTGGTCGTATGCATGTGCTGATGCTCATAAATGCCAATCAATCATAACCTATGACATGCTCATGTGCACAGGAAGGTGACTCATATGTTGTAATCATGTTATCCTACGATGTTCCAGGTCATAAGTCGCTTAAACCTCGATGTTCTGACCAACTGAAGGTAAGCAGGCTAAAGGCAGATGTTTGGGAAACAGATCAGGTCGTATCTGAAGTTAAGGACCAGAGCCGGCCCAAACCTCAAGCAAAATTTGATTTTGGGGTCCTCTATTTCTGCCAGTAATATTGATAGTTGATCATTCACACACCTACTACAGCATAAATTTAACGTGCCTGACGTGTCTTTACACATTTAAGGAGGTCGTCGTCGTTTTCTTTCACTTATCCGGACCACAAACCAGTCTGACAGTAACTACATGTCAACATCACAACTAGGGAGGAGAAACATTTATATTCTGTGTCATTCATTTAGAAAGTTTGTCCACAGCTCCATAAGGAGGCGGGGTGGCTTCACCCAGAGAGGAGGCAGACGGTGTCTATTCTATAAACAGTCAATAGTATGAACTTTAGTTTAACTGAACATGATTATTTATGTATAATACAAATTTTTTAATTGTATTTATATATTCATAAACATTTTCTTTCTTATTTTCTTTACTTACTTGCATATATAATAAATATATATATTAATATTTTTAATTTTTTATTGTTTTTCTCTTGCTTTTTTCTTCCTTGTTTGTTTATTTTACTACCAGAGGCAAATCAACAAGTGTTACTATTGTCATACTTTGTTTGATGTTACTCTTTCCCGAGATATGGATGAGAAAAAATTGTATGAATATGATTCTGATACTGAACAGACCAACAAACCTGCCACACTACGGTACACTTTAGGTGTTATTTATTTATTTATGCACTTATTTTCTTCTTAAAAATTCTTAACTTTCTTTTTTCCTGCTTTGTCCTGAATTTATGTGTATGTGTTAATATTATTTATGTTTGATCACATGAAAATAAAACTACATATTATGTAAAAAAAAACAACACTTGAATAACTTTCTACCTTCAAAATCATCTTTAATACTTTTTACCTCCAGAACTGTTTTTTTATATAGATGTATTTTATTGTATTTATTTATTTTTTATGATGTATTGCAGTGTTTTAAATGGCTGTGCCTGCTGCGTCCCAATTTGCCCATTTTGGGGACATAATAAAGTTGAAGTGAAGTGATCCTAATTTGCATAAACACTTGAACATTGTACAATATCATTTATCTATCAATTAACTGCCTTTTCAGAAGGTAAAACACGGCAAATTATTACTCTACAATAGGTTTTTGTAGGAGTTTTAGTGAAATAATAAAAGGGTATGTTTTCACAGCATGAGACTTTTATTTTGAAAAGCACACTGTTTTACTTCCGATTTTTGCATCTGACCTTCGTTGGCTTTACCGGTGTTAAAGTCAGTGAAAACGGATATGGTTTATACCTACGACACGGCGTCGTCAGAGGGCGGGGTCACATGACCCGTCTTTAAGGACACCGAGAGTAGAGGGGCTGTGAACCCGATGACCCTGGCAGGGCCTCCGGACTGATTCAGAGCGGAGTCCCGCTGCAAACACTTGAGCTCCACACCGAGAGAGTGAAAGAGAGGAGCAGAGCCCGGCAGGAGGCCTCTGCAGCGGGACTCCTCACGACTCCACAACCACTTCAAGAGGAGTTTAGTCCTCTGAGCTGAACTCAAACACTCACTCTCGAAGTTCTGAGGAGTTTGTTCCTGCACATGATCTTTTCAAGACAATAACAGACATCTCTAGACCCACTTTTTAGTTTGCAGTGAGTTTAGCAGCTGATTTTTTTAGTTTTAGTTTTAGTTTTAGTTTCATTGAGTGAACAAAAGGATTCTTGCATGTTCTTGAAATCCTACTTAAAGGTGGAGTAGGCAGGAATCTGTTAAAGACGCGTCTTTTTTGTGGTGTATTTACAAAAAAATCTTTGAATATCAGTCAATAGTTATTAGTTATTGATTATTTGGTAATATATCGATATCTCTGTGTTCTCTTATGTCTGTGTCGTCAACATTTGAACATTTTTGAGCGGTCCGCTCTTTCTGACTGTAAACAAAGCCGTTCTCCACCTCCTCTAACCTGATTGGTTGTGAGGCAGACGCTGCTCCCCCGTGTCGTTCAGGAGCCCAAACAAAGTTAGCGTGCTACAATATCGGACAGTAGAAACCAACCAGAAAGTTCGGAAAATTGTCTGAATCCTCCTTTGGCCACGACTGCCGACACAAGCAAGAAAACGACGTAAATACCGGAGACTCTGGAGGAATAACGGGCGCTTAAAACGGAGGTAGACCGGACAAGAGCTAAAAAGCCGGGTCAACATAAACGATGGGGGACGCTTGGGGATCTTGGTGACCCTGTAACCTTTCTGCTGGACAGGTAAACCGCTTTAACAAAGTAAGACAAGTGTCTGTAACAGAAGTGTTTCTTGTCAAACGGACCTGCTGTAGCGTGTTGTAGCGCCATGGCTAAACTGTCCTCCCTCGGGTCCTGGACTATGTCACTTTATCCTCGTTGTAGAAGTCCTGCAAACATTGTGTTTGCTGGTAGTCTGTTGGCATCTACAGTAGCACCAATGCTTTTGACTTTCACCTTGACTGGGCCCCATTTGTAATGATCTGAAGTATTTATCTGCATTATATCTGAATTTAATTGGAACGATACGAGCGAGCAGGAGCGTCTGTTTGTGGGCGGGGCTTGAGGGGAGAGGAGGAGCTGAGGGGAAAACTGGTTGGGAGGGGTAGAGTTTACATTCAAGATTTCTCCTAAAAACTGGAACTAACTCAGATCCTGACTTCACCACCTTTAACATGCTTTTTGTCTCTGTCTCTGCGTTTAAAGCCAAACTCTAAATCTAAATGTTTAAATAATGACTCTGTGTGGTTGGTTGGTTGTTTGGTCGGTTAAGTTTTTAAATGCTTCTCTGTGTGTACGGCTCTATGATATTTGTGTTTTATTGATTCGATGGCTGTTTCTCATTCAGTCTGTGTTTTCCCCTGCTGTGCTTCCCAAATATAATTACTAATGCTCTCAAATCCTGACATTTCTATCATCCCCAAAAATCAAATATCTGTCAGGGCTCCACAGCGCAGTATATATTAAAACTGTTTTTTTTGTCAGTATGCATGTAGAGAGATTAAATATGCACCAACAGGCTTGCAGCTGCTCGCTTGTGATGAAAAACAACCCCCTTATAGCACAGCAAGTGTTATTTAGGCCAGCTCATATATCCGTTTGCATAAAGATTGTTAAATCTTAATGTACTGCAGGAGGAAAGTAGGTTGTCATGGCGCATTAAGCCACATTTCATGAATATTACAGAGGATAAGCTGTGGGGTGTTGGAGTTGATCTGTCTGTCAGTTAAAGCCCATATGTGTCGGTCCGTCGGCTGTTTGTGTCTGGCCTTAAATAATGTCTATGAATTTGGCGTTCATCCGTTTCAACAGGAATATAGGTCACAGCTTAGGTCATCATACTGTCGGGGTAATACTGCCATTTTTCAAACAGGGCGCCGATCTAAAGGATGGAGTCCGCGAACACACAGCTACACACAGTGTGTCTTTTCTTCCTCGTGTCAGGGAGATTTGATGGGTTGTTCACTCATTAATCTGTTCTGGATAATGAGGCTGCAGCGCCGCATCACTACTCATCTATTTGCTGCTGTGAATTATAGATGAATGTTTGTCCTCTTGGGTGGTAATAAGATTAATTTCATATAACATAATCATCATCCAGCACAACAATTTGTGGAGGGTCCGGGGGGACATTACTGAGACATTTACCCTACAGCTAATAGATTCAACAGCATCTAGACTATTTTATTTTGGGCCCAAATTCATCTCTGAACTTTACTTAGATTGCTGACAATATGCAGAGTTATGATACAGTATGGTGTCGTATATATAACCATGTGATACAGTATGATACAAAACGATGTGACGCCACCTGCTGGGCCCTAATTAGCGACGCAGCTGGCATACCTGCTGTGGTGTGAGGGTGAGATAAAAAATAAGTGAATGCCCGTAGGCTGTATCAGGTGTCAATCAATTAAAATAACTTTTAAAAATGGAGCTGTACAGAAAAAAGAGGACTTGAGCACAAACCAGGGAGGAGAAACATTTATATTCTGTGTCATTCATTTATAAAGTTTGTCCACAGCTCCATAAGGAGGCGGGGTTTATGACCTATACTGCAGCCCGCCACCAGAGGGCGCTGTTCTCGGAGTGGCTTCACCCAGCGAGAAAGCAGACGGCGTCTATTCTATAAACAGTCTATGAGTACAATACATAACACGATACAGTACAACATGAAACGATACATAAACATATCATATACTCTCCTGCTACTTGTCATGGACTGCTAGCCCTGATATGATACGAAACAACACAATATGAAACAGTAGGATATGATAGGATATGACACAGTATGATACAATATGATACCCTATGATTCAATATAATACAAAAGGATAACAGAGAAAACAAAACAGAATGATGCAGAATTATGCAAAATGACCCAATTTATGTAAGAAACAACAAAATCTTTGGTTGTAGACGTTTTACTTTTAGCCGTTTCAACACTTCAGCTAGTTGTGCCTGAACATAAGCGGAATATGAGCAAGTTACTTTACAACTCTCAGGTTTAGATGCTGGAAAGTTAAAATTATAAAGTGAAAAAAAAAGTGATATTTCTTCTGTGAACAGGTCGGTGAATCCCTGCAGTTGCTCTTTCTTGGACATTCACCCATGCTTTGATGTATTCCAGTTCCCTGTGCGAGCAGGACATGAACAGCTGTTTTCTTCAGGTCTGGACTCTTTATGTCGTTGTCTTGAGTCAGGAAAGATGATAATGTTTAATGACAATGAGATTATTATTCAGTAATCTGGAAAATAAAACAACATGAAGCTCTAAAGAATAAAACACCAACATCTGAAAGGTAAGAGCGAGTTTGATCGGAATCAAAAACTAGCCGCGATACATCCTGACGTTGTTAGATTTCTTCTTTGTTTATCAGTGGAGCTCTGCTCAGCAGCCCCGCACTCAGTGCTGCCACACATGGCTGATCGCAATACTACAATATGACTGGGTTAGAACAAGTAAAATCATCGAACTTCTAACTTCTTAATTCGGGAAACTTTCTGAGTTTTCTTTTCAGTGTCAGGTTAAGTCTTTACAAGCAAAGTCGCCTTCTGTAATGAAACTTTTACGTTACGATAATTTTCTGTCAATAAAATCAGTATTTTGATCTTTTCCCCCCGTGTTATTCTTTAACTTGTCGTTTTTACAGGGTTTTGATTGGCAGAAAGTTGTCGTTATCGATGGTGCAGATGTAAACTCGAAGTTCCTCCTAGCAGAGGTTTTCCTGCTCTTCCTGTCCATGATAAATGACTTTATTGAAACAAGTATGAATACTCCTGCTTGGTTGGCCTTGCAGCGTCATTGTGAGAAAGCTTATCCTAGATTGTCAAGGTAAATTAAACAAACGGCTGCAGGGTTTCACATCTCACAGGAAGTCCAACAACAAATGTGCGGCCGCCGCAGCAGGAAGGTCGACATCCATCATTGAGATGAAACCAGCTGTATGTACGGGCTGAAACCACGAGTGCTCTGTGTCCTTGAGAAAAAGGGTTTAGTTTGTGTAAGTGTTCAGGGTTCGACTCAGATTGGTCCAGATCGGATCAGTATACAGACTCCAGATCCTCTACTCTCAGCTGTCTTTGAGATTCATTTGAAACCTCCGCGTTTGTTGTGCGCTGTGTGCGTCTTTGTGTGTGTTTTATTCACAAGAGAAGCACCCGGCCTGCTCGAGGAATGTTAATCATGTCACCAGAGCAGCAGGTTTGTGTGAGACATTTCTCTTTATTCGTTTCTTTTTCCACAGAAAACGCCACTCACATAGAAGCATTTACTTCACATTGATAGAAGGTCACAGAAAGGATCTCATCTCCATCCAAAATCAGATCTCTGTTAAAGTAGATTTTTGTAACCATGGTGATTCTTCATTCACACAAACACACACACACACACATGCATACGAAAATGTGTTTTCCCTTATCTTTATTTGCCAGGAAAGTTTAACAGCACACACTTGTCAGAAGAAGCGGACAGATTTCTACGTCCAGTTCGCACCCAGCGTATCGGTCTGAAGTGTGGAGTTCAGTGTGAGAACAATGCCGTTTGTTTGTCCGCTGATTCACAGACACTCTGATGTAAGAAAACAAGAAAACTTCACTATGAGAGGAATGTAATCCAAAGTGACCGCAGACAGAAAACCAAAAACACGAGGGTTTACGGCTGCACGGTGATAGCCAGCAGTTAATGGCTGGAAAGCCTGATGGAATAAAATGAAGTGAGAGCAAACCGCAGTCTGGACGGACGCTCCAGTCCAACCGTGTGTGAAGAGGAGCAGCTTTTATACCCTATTAAACTCACAGGACCTGGCATGAGCTTTTCAACATGTTTGACCCGGTGTGCTCACAGCTGGGATGATATTTCTGAAACCGCACATGAGAATCTGACTGATAAGAAGTGTCAGGAGAGCGAGTCAGTCCACCGATCTACTGCAAACCTTTATCAGCTCCATCTTCTCCAAGACAGTGACCTACAACTGTGATAACAGAAATATGGATGTTACCAGGACAGTACAGAGGAGGGTTATGGACATAGATATGAAAACGTAGATACGACACGCTCCTTAAAGCTGCATGCCTACGGCGAGGCTACGCTAGCAGAGGCATTGTTACCACTAAAGGCGTTACCTGTAACTTACTAATTTTTCAACTGATTCTAATGCCGTTTACTTCATATTTATTGTCAAAACATTTGCTATTACTACAAAACTTTGAATGTAAATAATAATAATAATTAAAAGCACATGTTTTGGCGTTGAAAATAAAGTAAACTGCATGAAAATACGTTGAGAAATTAGCAAGATGTGATTTATTTTTAACAGACATGCAATGTCCTGAACAAGAACGTTGCCCCCACCAAGATGGCTGCCAAGTAGGCAAGTCGCTTAGCAGGCTGCTACAGCCGCCAGCGTATCTAGTCTTTTATATATATATATATATATATATATATATATACATATACATATATATACACATATATACATATACATATATATATACACACATATATATATATATACATATATACACACATATATATGTATATATATATATATATATATATATATATATAAATCTGTGGTTATGGCCAATGAAACAAGAACCGTTGTTATTTTTCTCGTGAATTGGACTGAAATCATAGAATTCCGAGATGAGCTTAAATTCAATCATTTTAAACTTTTGTTTTGGTCCTCTCTCTCCTCTTAAGCAGTTATTTTAACAGCACTATGCTAGCTTTTAAGTTAGCTGATTGCTAGGCAAAATGTTAGCAAGCAAAGTCGTCTTTTCACGAATTTTTAGACTATGTAACAAATCCAGATTCTTAAAACAAGAGAATCAAAGAGTACCAAAGGGAGAAAAAACGAACCACACTTTTAAAATTTTCTAACATGGAGAGATTCATCACATTGGATGTAGTTATGTGTGTGTTTTGTGTTACTGATGTGGGTCCCTACTTGTGCGAGTCGAGATGTGTGCCACCACCACAATTACCGACAAGGGCTGGAAGAAAAGATACAACGTAATTTGGTCTTTCTAAAAAGTAGCTGTATATTGATTTCGATTCTTTTTGGCTGAAGCTGTTGTGGAAAATGTATGTAGGATGCAGCAAAATCAATGCTCAGGAGACAGGATGAGATCTGAAGAGCAGCCCGGGCGACGTTATCGTACACAACCGGTACAACCGACAAACGGAGCCGGGACCAGAGTCTTCAAAGGAGCCCCCAAACTCTCCTTTCCTCACTTTTTTATGCTGGTGAGTGTGTTCGTGGACGTAATATGTGTGTGTTACAAGTAGGGGTGTCCCGATACATCTTTTTTTACCTCTGATACTTTACAGATATTCAGTGTTGCCAACTCCTCAGTAAGGAAAGTCGCTAGTGGCTGTCGTTAAAGTCACTAGAAGTCGCTAGATGATGTCAGCGCCTAATTTGCATAATTTCTCAGTCAAACCCACTGTCGCCACCAACCCCCCACCCCCAGGAGGGCGAGGAGGAGGAGGAGGAGTCTTCCTGGGGTGTCTGAGGGTAACATCTATTCCTGCGTCTCTAAACTCCAGAAAAGTCGCTAGATTTGTCGCTAGGTGCTTTTTGAAGATAAGTCGCTATGGGGGTCTGAAAGTTGCTAAATCTAGCTAAGGTGGCAACACTGCCGATATTATAGCCTTTAAGATCAGTCGATACTGATATTGATCGGATATTGGCACAAACTTGTGCATGACAAGTTTTGAACTCAGCTGTAACGTCTTTTTCGGACTCTGACGAAAAAAACTGCCACTCAGCCGATATCACTCCTTGGTACTTTGTTAGTACCTCAGTTCACACTGTTGTTGTGATTACATGGGGGTCTATATTCTGGACCCGGGCGCTGCTCGATAGAGGTGCTGGAGCGGAGTCTGGAATGGACTGCTTGTATCAGAGATTTTAGATGCGTAATAATAATCCGATATTTGTATTTCTTTTTGGTGATATCTGACTGTTATCCGATATCAATATCGTATCGGGACACCCCTTGTTACAAGTGTGAGCCTCTTTTGTGTGTATTACAAGTGTGGGTCTCTTGTCCAGCCTGATGACGAGGTGCCTGGGAGATCAGTCAGGGGCGTACGATCTCACATTGCTTTGAAATCAACAGAATATCGACATTTTAGGGAATACCCAATGTAGCTTTCCTGGCTAACACCACCGGACCGCACACGTATCACTGGGGTCAATGTGACTGAGAAATCTGGGGGTACCCAGGCGGACCTTAGAAACATCTCAGCCTGGTATAAACCATCAGCATAACCGTCTATGATTTCTACCACATAGTAAAGTGACTTTAAGAGAGAGGGCGAAGGGAGGTAGAGCGTTGAGGCAGGGAGGTGGGAGGTACCAGGGAGGAAGGAAGGGAGGAAGGAGGGGGGGGGGCTTTCAGGGTTAGGAAAAGAGTGGAAGGAAGACAAGAGGTAGTTGTGGTGGTGGTGGTGGTGGTGGTGGTGAGGGCTCTTAAATCAGAACAGAGAGGTGGGTTACACCAGCATCTTACTCAACGGCTATGTTTTCTAAAAATGGTGAATTATGTAAGTCTCACTGTTGGAGAGAGAAGCTAACATGTGCTGTTAGGTGGATGTGCAGTAAACCAGAGAACCACAGACTAAGGTGGGGGCTTGGCATGGTCTTTCTATGATGAAGGAAGCCCATCCTACACACTGAAGACTCAGGACCATCTACTCCTGAAGAACTGCTGTAAAAATAACGACCACACTGAGAACCTTCGGACTATTAAAGACGGCGAGGAACCCCAAAGTACCCCAGAATGTGGGACGGTTTAGGGTAAAGGTTTCTCATGAATGAGGGGGTTGAACTGAAGTCTGTTAGCAGGGCCTGGAAGCTGAGAAGTCTGTGGAAAGAACCCAAACAAAAGGATTTAAGTGGATCCATTAGACCAGTACAGGGATCTGTTAAAGATGGTTCTTGGAGGGATTTTGTGAGGAGGTCCACAGAGTCCAAATGCAACCCTTTATCTGGAGTTCTAGAAACAGATCTCATTAGGATCTCTGAAGGACAGGGAGATTCTGAACAGAGACCTGGAACTGGCTTCTGGGTGGACCCGGTTAACGATGAAACGACTTTCTGCAAACCCCTTCACGAGGAGATCTTACGAAGAGCAAAAAGTTGGTTTGAGGGTCAGTCATGATCCCAGTGAGGGGACGGGAAGGCCTGTGATGAACCCAGACCACTAAAAAGGTTTGGCCAGACCTAAACAAAGACTAAAACCCGGTTCTCTGCAGTACCTTTCATGGGGGGTTCTGGGTGGACTTCTTTCTACCAACCCTTCATTGTGGGACGGTTTTACACTGAACCCCCAAAGATCATGGATGGAACCATTACAACCCTAGAGGGCTGAAAGGTTTCCGTAGAGGAGGGTGCAACCTTTCGCACCCAGGTCCCTGCAACCAAAAGGTCTCCTTCCTTTGGTTAGCTCATAAAACTACCAAGTGGAACCATCTCAGAAAGGTTCCAGCAGGAACAAAAACAGGTTCCCACTCCAGAGTCGCCCCTCTCTCTGTCAGTGTGTGGATCCATCTAAAGCAGCTACTGTCTCTGCTTCTAACAAGATGAGAGGGGGTCACCCTGTCTTTGAGAACCCTGAACCCCGAGAGGATTCACTGGAAGCTAGCATCCCTGCTTTGTGAGAAGGATTACTAAAACTAGCAGGAGAGCGAGACATCAGCGGATCTCCACAATAACGTCCCTACAGTACAATCTACAGTACATCTGTACACAAGCAGGCGAGAATGGGCAGGATTTCATCAAAAGGGGTCAAGTGGAGCTGGATTGAATTGGGCGATGAGATCACCATGGCAACGAGGACCTCTGCAGAGCAGAGTATGAGGAGAATGTGGGAGGGGAGTTTCACGCTGAAGTGGTCTAAAGTGGAAGGAATCGCTCTTCACTTTTTTACAGTTCTGGGAGATTCCCATGGCCGGGATCCAAACACTCACTGTAATGAACTCTTCACACTCACACACACACACACTCTCTCTCTTTATATACACACACACACACACCATTACGTCACAGATAACAACAGTTATATAACAGGACCACATGGACACTGAGGTTATTGTTACGCACCTACATCAGTGTCCACGGGTCGAATAAATACAAATACTCCAGAATTCATATTCCCTGATGGCAGCAACACAAACCCAAAAATGTAAACAATCATGTATCAAATAAAAACACAAAGAGTTTCCCGTTTTAGAGCTGGAAAACTACGGCCTACCCCCTAATGGATGAGGTTATGGTTTCCTATAAGTGACACAAAACAAAAAAAAAAAAACACTCACAGCTTCCCTCATTTCTGACCCGCTGAACTCCATCAGAACTTCACACAACATGGGTCTTAATAAACTCTAAATCTGTCGGGTCTTTGTTTGAAGGATTTCCAAATGTTGTAAAATAACAGACTGGGACGTTTCACTTCTGGTCTCATCACTTCTGCAGGTTGACTTCGGTGGGAATGTTTCTCGGTTGGTTGAGATGAGGTCAGGCCAGATCCTGCAAAAGAAAAACAGATTTTTAACCACAAGACCAGTAAACTGACGGATAGGGAAACTAACAGGTGTGTTTTTGTACCACGATCCAACAAGACGGAGAAGGAGACCACGTGACAAAAGACTTAAAAACAGGCCAAAGATGCTTTATTTTGACTTGGAAGGTAAAACTGGGAATCTGCTCCGACTTTTCCGGTTTCTGAATCACAAATGAAAAACAAACGATCCAACGGGACCCTGACCTGAGACCAAGGGCGTAAGTTTGCATAGGGACGGTAGGGACATAACACTACCAACTTTTCAGGGTGCTCAAATTGTCCCCACCAACTTTTAAGTAAACTTATTTGCATTATACAATGAGTGCAGTTATATAGGTAATTTAGATTGTCTTCCCATATTTTGTAAGGATAGAATCGACCCTACCATTATTAAGTGAATTATTTTCATTATGTTCTGACTTACATTTACCCCTTTTCACTTGTTGAATGTGCCGGTCCATTTTGAGGGAACCCCCCTAATTTTGCCACTGAATGTCCGAAGCGCATCAGAGTTAGCATAACATTAAACTATGTGAACTTGCTAACCTGTAAAACTCGAGTGGGCAGCTGCTTAGAGAGAAGTGCCCTGTATGTGTTTACTGTTAACTTTAAATGCATGAAACTATATACCAGAAAAAGTCAGTAAGAAAAAAAACGTGAGTAAGAAGTTGCTAAGAGAGAGGTCCCAGTGTTTAACAGAAAAGTGTTGACAATCAAATACAACAACAATGACAACAAAAAAAACTACATGCTGCTGCTTGGATTAGAAGGAAAGAAGGCTAGAGCATGTTGTGACTTTACACTTTTGAAACCAAATACCTATTAGTGCGTGTATTTATTCTTTAAAGTGTATTTATTTTCTAAATTATTTATCTAAAAATATTTTTATTTGCAGCCTATGCAGACATTTTTTCAGATAATCATACATTAATCATAATAGAGGTAAGAAGTTCATTTAATCTTGATTTAGATTTTTTTCCATAATCGCCCAAACACTGATGCAGTTCAGAGATGAAAATAACGGAGAAGAAGGTGAAAGAGACAACCAATTAAAGCAATGTGACCCCATTCACCGAATCAGGTCTTATTAACGTCCCGTCTCCAGCAACAAATGTACATGCAGGTTATGCTGTGATATCGTCCCTACCAATGTTGAGACCAAACCTACGCCCTTGCCTGAGATGGTAATCTCACTGAGAGGCTCATTCCTGACTTTCTCAGGAGCCCCCTGCTGGCCCTTTGAAAAACTGCAGGTTTAAGGCACACCCACACTGGCTTTACATTCAGAACCAACAGATTACATCCCCCCTAAAAACAGCCGGGGTGAGACGTAAACAGACCCATGTGACTTTTTGTCTTCATCTGTAGATTTGTTTCTGAGTTTGTGTGTCTGGGTCACACCGAGAGTCAAAAGTATTAGATTCAGTCTGTTTTTAAACCAGTGAAAAACTCCACACTGCAGCCGCAAGTGAAATGAGAAAGCTTAAAAAATTCACCGCACTCCGTGGTCCGGCTGTGTGATTGGCTGAAAGCGTTCATGCCTCAAAGACGCCTCTGGAAAAAAGAAACAAATGAGAGTTTTCGACGTCTCCCTGAGCTAACTTTCTCCTCGGGGCTGACGGATATTCATGCCCGACTTCCATTTCAGCATCGCTGCAGCTGGCGGGGATGCAAATGAACAAATAAACGGTAGGCAGTTCAGGCGCTTTTTATTGCCGGGATATTTTTCCACTGTGCTCGGAGATAAACAAATAAAGTGGATTTTCATCTGCAAACATGCAAATTCAGCCAGAATGATCAGTAGCTGTTGGCACGAAAAAAGGCCGTGTGGAAATGAACGGACCAGATTATCGTCCGTTTACTGTCCTTTTGGAAATTCTTGTTGAAAGAGAAATTAAAGCGAACGGCAGTGAAACAGCAGAGAGTGTTAATGTAGCGAGACGTCAGCTGTTAATGCAAACAATCATATGGTAAAAATGTGTGGGTCTGCACGGATACATAACCCAGAGTTTAATTAAAACTGCATAAAATATGAGTCTTAATACGTCTTAATTCAAAGAGTGGGTTTGCTTTTGATTCAATTACATTAAGCTGTCTAGTGTGTATGAAATGTGGGCAAATGAGCTTGATCTTCATAAGTATGAATACATTAGCATAAATTGGTAATTAGGATGCATAACTGACACTTTTAAAAGCCGAGATTCTGCATGTGTTAGAAAACCAGGTAATAGTTCAGTTTACTGCACCTCCATTACTCTCCTCACCGTCAATCTGTCGACCGCTTTCTTTCTTTGTTTCCGGATTAGTCGAGTTGTTCAATATTTCACAGCTAACTTGTAAACAATCTAGGGCTGGGTGATATGGCCTTAAATCAATATCATGATATATTGATCAGTTCACCTCGATAACGATAAATGGACGATAACTACTCCACAAGCTGCTCATCCCCTCCCACATTAACTTTGTCTACTTCAGCCGCTCCAACTTTCTCTCCGTCCTCCATCTCCTCACCTGGAGTCACATCTCTGATGTAGGACAGCGTCTTAAAGGGACATGAGACCATAGCCTACCTACACACATCCAGAACAACTTTGATTTATTAATTTTTTATTTAGTTTAGTTTAGTTTATCGCCCAGCCCTACTCTCTAACAAACTAGAGCAGGCCCGGTTGGCCTATTTAACTTCTCTCCATGTGTAGCGCTCCACTCAGGCTGCTTTAAGAGTTATGTTGATTCATGGATTTGTGTTAAATTCCCTGAAATTCTCTCCGAAAAACAGAAACAATGAAGGACTTCCCAGATATACTGAGTTATATCTGAGGACTGCAGAATAAAAAGAAAAGACTCCTCACTTGTGTCAAAGAGTTTGTTTGTTTCTGCATGTTGAAACTTACAGCAAATGAGGAATGAGAACCAGCTCGCCAAGATAAGGTCGTGTGTAGCGATGTGCCAAAGAAATCGATTCACATAAGAGTAAGCGGTTCTCGTTTGCTCCGATTCAGAATCTTTATAAAATGTCACAAAAACAGTTTTGAAAAATTATAAATATCCGCTGGCTGTCTGACACGGACCACAGAAAGACCACCAACCCTCAGATTAATCTTCTAAATGCGTTCCTCAGACAAACTCACCTTATTTACTCCCAGAAGTAGCGCAGATACCATATAGTTTCATTCTTCAGCTGAGGGCCAAACAGAGGGTTGGTTTGGGCCAGGATGGCTATCAACCAACTGGCTCAGAAAAAAGAGAAAAGGGAGAAAATGATGATCAATCATTTTGAAGATCATTCATCTGTCTGCTGTATAGTCCATTTTTAAAAAAAACTCCTACCACATCACATTACTTTAGTACCTATTTTATCTGATTTTATCTGCTGACTGTTTTTTATGTTGACTGTTTTTTATTGTTTTGCCCTGTTGCTTGGTTTTTACTGTTATTGTTGTCTTGTTGTGCACTTTGAGATTTGTTTTTAAATGTGAAGTGCGTTACAAATAAAATCTATTATTATTATTATTATTATTATTATTATTATTATTTATCATCCCATCTGTTTATTTCGCATTTCATATTTATTACTCATTTCAATAGCCCACGTTCTTCATATCTCACCTTTACCTCTTAGGATGTTTACTATATTTAGTCTGTATTTATTGTATATATTGAGTATTTTTAGTCTGCATTGTACTTACTTCTTACATTTAATTTTATTTTGTATTTTTTGCTGCTTTGGGATCATTAAATCTATCTATCTATCTATCTATCTACTGAAAATGGCCTCCAGATTAAGAGTTCAGATTTTTCTCGTTTAGACTCTCTGAGGTCAGGGTTTTATCACTGGTCTCTTGTTTTCCGAAGCTTTTAAATTAGTTAAAAATGGCGCCGCCTGCTGCCAAACCCGTAGTACTGGGCGTGTTTACTCTGAGGAGATGATGTAAGACTCGGTAACAGTAAGTGGCTTTATTTCCTCGTTAATTCTCATGTTTAGTTCAGCTAATTGTTAGAAATTTGATGGTGATATCACATGCATGAAAAGGCCTGTTTGTGTGGAGTAATCTGATGTCTGATGCTGACGGACGGTTAACTTGATTATAGATATCTGTTCAGCTTAAAGTGTTAATTGTTAAAAGCTACCAGGCTGAATGCTAATGTTACATACAGAGTGATGGTCTCGGGTTTGATAACCTCAGCATCAATTAAGGTTACCGTAACGCTGCATTAAAATAATCAGTGTTTAATGTCAGTGGGAGTTTTGATGGTAGGCTAATTAATTTTTATCTTCATAATAACACTTAAAAATTTAACTTTAATTTGACATAAAAATGAGTCGATTCAAAACAAACAAAATCTACTGAAATGATCTGATCTTAAAATCTGATCATCACAAACAAACCATAATGTAATAATATACTGTCATGATAAATGCTGTCAATCATGAATACTCATTAAAACAATAAAAGAGCCGCAGTAATTTTATTGTTTATCATTATAAGACTTTATCAGGTTGGTCATTATGGAGCTTTTTAAAGCAACAGTTACAGGATAAAATGGAAGTTAGTGCCTTTCACTTCAGTGTGATTTTCCCATGAGCTGTGCAAACAAAGAATAAAATAACTTCCAAAGAAGAGTCAAAGTCAACTCAGATGTCAGGATAAATGTTGAAAAATAACACGATATAATAATTAGAAATGGCCACATATGTAATGATCGGTCTGAAACGTTTCTGCTGTTTGAATTTTCACACATAAAATAAAATATCAGGATGTTTTCAGGAGTTTAGTGAAAGATAAATAAATAATAAATAAACTGTGTAATAAATCAAGTTTTTCATGAAAATCAGGCCTTTCTTTTTTATTTCATTTGTGATCCTTCCTTCACTGGTTGAAGTATCTGCTGTTGCCTTTTTATGTCGGTGTTATATTGAGGTTGGAGCGCCCTCTAGTGGAATTAAATGATCAAGACACTCTTGTGTTGCATTATACTCTCTTTTTGCTGTACTTCATACAGAGCCCTTCTGGTGACATTGGAGGAAAAAAATAATAATGTGTGGCCACCAGTTCGTATCTTGTGGACATGATTCAACTTAAGTAGTGGGGTCTGTCAGGGGGATTTAGAGGAAGTTTGTTGAAGAATGAAGAATATTGATCTCTACGCACAGCTGGTAGCCGGGCGAGTGCTCAGGGACCGTCTGCAAAGTGCAATACAAGAGCAAGACACTGCAAACAAAAATCAACAGCTCCACTGTCATACAGTACAGTACACGAGATAATAACTGTGGCCACGCATTAATTTCTTTTTCCTCCAGTGTCACCAGAGGGGCTCCGTAACATCATATTATTTGTAGGAGTATTTTTCTTCCTGGAAATCATAAATAAATCAAAATATTTAAATCAATCCAACATATTTTATGATCGACTTGAATCGCTTTACTGCACAACGAATATGATTTTCTACAAGTTTTAAGTTAAAAGCAAGTCGTTCACATGAAATAAGCGAGAAGAGGATTTGATTTGCTCTTGATGTGAACGTAACATTACGCTGTGATGATTTTGTGTTTCCTTTATTTTTCTTTATTTACTGTTAGAACTTTGATGTTTGACAGCAGCTGGTCAGTCAATCTGTTTACAGGAGAAACACGATCATACAAAGATGACGAACGACAGGAGCTTCATGAACGTGAGGTAGAGGAGGATTTATCGTACTTACAACAGATAGCAGCAGACGGCTGTGAGGATGAGACTGGTGACGATCACCCTGTTAAAGAAAACAGAGAAAGATTTTCACTTCTGCAGCTGCAAACACTGTTTCTGCAAATTACAGTTTATTTCAACATTCAAGTTAATTACATCTCAATGTAACAGATGAAGTGGAAATGAAGAGCTTTTGAAATATGAGAGCTCTTTACTTTCTGTACAGCAGCTGCCTCCTTTCAATTCACTATTAATTTGTGAAATTTTTTTTTTATGTTCAGCTGATCGAACGGTTTAATTTACTGGATAATGACCCCAAACTCACATCTTTTATTGATTTTTCTGTCCTTGCTGTCAGAATTCTAGAGTCTCCTTTTTAGGCAGCAGACAAAGAAGTCAGTAAGTTTCGATAAGATGGATGAATATCAAAACAAAAGGAGTGTTTATTTGCGACATTTCAGTACTAGGTCTTAGTGAAACGTCGAGTGTGTGTGTTTGTTTTTAAAATACTTGAAAAAGACCAAAATGCACTATACACACCCCCAGGCAGCAGGTGTCAGCAGAGAGCTTAGTGCCTTCATTTGAGGCACGAGGACAAAGGCATGCAGAGTTACAACATTGCTGAATATAAAGCTGAATGAGAGGAAATCTTTGCAGGAGAAGCTGAGAGCAGAAGAGCTTTGACCTAATCAGCTGGACATTAAAATAAACAGCACTCAGGAAAAAAAGATGGAGGAAAAAGGTGCAGAAAAGAAAAAAAATGTTCTTTCCCCCGTAAAATAATATATTCTAGCTTCATCACAAACAAACTGAAACATTTCAAGACTGTTTAGTTTGAATCTTGATGATTACATCTCACAAAACTCAAAAATCCACCATCTCAAAACATCCAACAATCGTGGAAAAGTCCAGTTTCTTGTCAGTTCTCTCAGTCCTGTAAAAAAGCTCCAATCAGCTGATTAAGTGTCAGCACCGATGAAGGTTTACTGGGCCTTTATTCTCTCATTCTGGTCCAGCACACACAACCACAATCATGGGGAAGCTTCACAAGGGGGGTGGACTAAGGATGGAGTTTGAGCATCAAGAGTCACTTTATACAGATGAGTCCCGGAAATGGACTACAAGTGCCCTGTTCCTGTTCCAAGACACTCCTGAACCAGAGACAATGTCATAAGAGTCTCAACTGGACCGAGAAGAAAAGGACTAGACTCCTGCTCAGAGGTCCAGAGTCCTGTTTTCAGATTAGGGTCATTAGAGACCTTCATGTTTCCATCCAGATCCAGATTTCCTTTTCCTGCCCACAGTGACAAAACTACCAGAATCTGACCATGGGTTAAGTCAGTCTGTTTACATGACACTCGAGAAAACCGAATTATCGCCATATTCCGATTACGACCGGACAACTGAAGTGCATGTAAACACATTAGTCCCAATTGGAGTTTGAGAACTCTGGAAGGCAACTGAGGCAACTGGAATTCAATTTTCTCGACCATGTAACCAGCGTAGTCGGAGTATGATCAGACAATGCATGTGTGCGTGAGCTATAGCCCCGTAACAAAACCCCAGAGTAGAGGAGTAGCGTTGGTCCCATCTTTAGAAAAAGTAGCGCGTCCATCATGTCGGACAAAAACAACGCTGTACGATGCTCCATCTTCTTGTTTCTCCAAAATGCCCAGCAGCAGTTGTAGACACTTCTGACGTCTGACACCGACCTGCTGTTGTTGGTGACGGTTGTATGGGGTCAGAAACAGAGACGCTGAAAAGACCCATATCGCCCCCTAGTGTTGGGGAAGAGGACACTTTCACGTCAATAACTAAATTTTCTATACGTGGACAAGGAGAGAAGTCCGAGTCGGTGAAAAAACTGATTAAACCGTGACTGTAAACACACTGACTGTGTTCGATAGTCCAGCTAACTGGTCTAACATGAACCTCAAAGAGGATCTCTGGACTATAATCATGAGTTTGATGAGAGACACCAGAGCAACAACACAGATGAGCTGAAGGATCAAAGTAACCTGAACTTCACTGACACAGACTGATCACCTCCACGACACTTCACACTGAGGTAGTAATACATGCAAAAGCAGTACCAACTAAACGCTGAGAGCATCAGTGAGCAGAATCTTCCAGAAGGTCCACATTTCAACACATCAGAAATCCGATTGTTCATACTATAGGGGAGAGCGGGGTAAGATGATCCATGTTTCATATTTCAGATCTCTACGTCTCTAACTAGTCTATCTGCAGATATTTCAGGATGTTGTTCATCCCTGCAAACCAACAGAATGACTGTAAACAGAACTGTCATCTTCAGAATATTGCAGGACAAAAAAAAGTGGTCTCCTATGGTCAACTTACCCCGTGTATGGGGTAAGTTGACCGTAGAGTTGTACGCACTCCACCGGTTGCGCAGTAGCGTTCTGCGTGTTCCGCAGGAGAGTCGCTGTAATAACGCTCGACTCAAACAGTGTATCCCCCCGGGTGAGCTACGCAATCCCTGTCCCCCCATAGGCTGTTTCAGGTGTCAATCATAGAAAACATGAACCCTCTAATAACTTTTAAAAATGGAGCTGTACAGAAAAAAGAGACTTGAGCACAAACCAGTCTGACAGTAACTACATGTCAACATCACAACCAGGGGGGAGAAACATTTATATTCTGTGTCATGACCTATACTGCAGCCCGTCACCAGAGGGCGCTGTTCTCAGAGTGGAGGCAGACAGCGTCCATTCCATATACAGCCTATGGGCGTACGGAGATTGCGTACCTCACCCGGGGGATACGCTGTTCGAGCCGAGCGTCATCACAGCGACTCTCCCGCCGAATGCGCGCAACGCTACTGCGTAACGTTGGTTTCAGGAAATGGAGAAAAAACGCAGAATTACCGAGAACTTTTCAGCTTCAAATCCGTAAACTGGCGGGAGGCGGAACCAGGTTGTCTGTAGTTTGTCTACAGTCTACGGTCCAACCTCTTCACCCATGAGCTTCTAACCTTCACGGACTCCATGAATTGATGAACATCTCCTCAATATTTGGTCACATGATCAATTTCTTTGACCATTTCCAAACAACAGGGGGTGGCTCATCTTACCCCACTCTCCTCTATTCTAAGTAGTTATTATTTTAAATTAAACTCTAAAATAAAAGTTTAAAAATAAGAGGCTCTCAAACTAAAAATATAAAACGTGATATTTTTTAAAGCGACTGTGATGTTGATTTAACCCTTTAACCTCAGGATGGATGGATGATGGATGGATGTTGGATGGTTGTTGGATGGATGCTCGGTGACGCGCAGGGCCTCCATCACATAAGCAGGTGCGCGCTCACGCCTTTACAGCTCTAAATGAGATCTGAATTGACCCCTAACTATAAAAATATATTCGATAAAAAAACATTTTTGTCTGAAATAGAAAAGAAACGTCAGATAATCGCAGTGAATCGTAAATAACGGCAGCAGAGACCACCTACCCTCGGTTAGGACCTTTAGGAACCAAAAACGGAGCCACAACCCCCACCAGCCCCCACAGCGTGGTGAAGCAGATCATCGGCAGGGCGAGAGAGTGAGAAACCATGACTTCAGGTGGTCAAAAACACAAACAGAGGAGAAATAAGCTCGATTTGTCCTCTTCTACTCTGAGAGCATCAATGGCTGCTGAGCTTGCTGTCGCTTCCGCAAGGTCCTCGCCCTGATTAACCCAACACAGCATGTGATTGGTCCAGACGCTGGAGACAACGGATTCTGATTGGTTTAAGCAGCTGTCTGTCAGTATTACCGTTAGGACGTGATTGGATGGATGTTTGTGCCAGGGCACTGCGGGCAAGAATAGACTGTTATATTTTACTTATTTTGAAATAAAATAAAATAAAAAAATTAAATTAAATTAAATTAGATTAAGTAAAATAAAATAAAGTAAAATGAAATGAAATAAAATAAAATAAAATAAAACAAAATAAAATAAAGTGAAATAAAATACAATAAAATAAAGTAAAGTAAAATAGAATAAAATAAAGTAAAATAAAATTAATTAAAGTGAAATGAAATAAAGTAAAATTAAATCAAATTAAAGTTAAATAAAAAGATAAAATAAAATTTAATTTAATTTAAAAGTTCGGTCTTGCATTTACAATGCGGTGTACCTGAGTCCTTGGTCAGAGGGCTAGGAGAAGCGATTTTGTAGAATTGTTGTTATCCTTCACACTCCAACAAGCTTACTTGGGAAACTTCAGATGAATTAATGTGAAGTAAATAAAATCCACTCTCGTCTTCCCTGTCGTTTCAGCCTGATTCACCAGGTTATTGTTGTTTGTATCCATTGTGACAGCAGGGGGCAGTAGGTGATCACCATACAGTTTATGGTGATCACGTGTAGGCCATAGACTGTAGAGACGTTCAGCAGTTTGTACCTGCCTATCAATTTTGCCAGACAACTTGTTCGTAAAGCTCATGATCTCTTATCTTGTTCATTATATCTTCATGTTTCCATTGTTAAGCCTCATGAATGTGAAATATTTCAGCTTTTTATCCTAATGAGAGGCTCAATGTATGTCAACAGTACTTTCCACCTGCCATGTCCCAACGATCGTAGCTGTAAAATGAAGATTCAGATTCAGATTCCTTTATTAACCACTGTGTAATACACATAGGAATTTGCTTCGGCAATTACAGAAGTGTTTTGGATCTTTTTCCCCAAATAACATAAATACCAACAACACAAACAACACTGTGCAAGAAAGTGCATAAAGTTCAAAAGTGCAATGACAATGCCAGTGTTTGATTCAGGTGGTGTCAGTGCCCAAAGGGGGGGGGGGGGGGGGTTGTGGCGTGCTGTGGTGGCCTTCAGCAGACGCATCCTTCTCCCAGAGGGGCGCAGAGAGAGGAGACTGTGGCCAGGGTAGGAGGGGTCAGCCATGCCTTTCCTTTCCCTCCTCAGTGCCCTGGAATCGTGGAGGGACTTCAGGGAGGGCAGGGGACGGCCGATCACCCTCTCAGCAGAACAATGAGGTCATTTGAAGCTGGAACGGGGAACAAGGTGATGATTGACTCAATGATGGCCGTGTAGAACTGAGTCATCATGATCCTCGACAGTCTGTACTTCCTCAGCTGCCGGACGATAAACAGCCTCTGCTAAGCCTTTTTTATGTTTATTTAAGTTGTTTGTGTTTGTGCGTGCATGCCTGTGCGTGCGTGCGTGTGTCTGTCTCTCTGCCTGTCTGTCTGGAGTAGGACAGGAGCCCTGGTAGCCTGGAAAGAGTAGGAGTAGAAGAACATGAGAAAAACTGTAAGAAAAATAGTAAATCATGAAATGTACCACTGACTAATTTGATTATGAGACCACAACATTGCATACTACTGCAATCCTATTCTCTGCTTCTTTGTAGAAATAAGAACTTTTTTCTTTCTTCCTGCTTTCCTATTTTTCCTCTTCTTTCATGTAGAGGTCAGCGGTCAGAGGTCCAACTCGGTGTCATGCAGCCATGCCAACATCTGTGGTCCTAGGTCAAAGAGGCTGGCTTCTGAAGGTGGTCTGTACAAGGGGCAGGTGCTGATTATATGGTCGGCAGTCTGCTCAGGGTCACCGCACTGTCCACCAGGCCCCACTTCCTCATTGTTGTTTTAAAGCAGCCAACCCCAGTTCTTGGGCGGTTCACTTTTGTCCATTGCCGGTGTGGTAGGTCGTCTCCTCCTATGGCGTCACCTCCTGAGTCCTGAATGGAATGATGGATGCGAGAAGGCCCAGCTGACTGCCACTCCTGCTTCCAAGCTGCTGGCAGCCAAGCATCTCTGGAGATGTCCTCAGAGGTGGAATTGAGCATCTCTTGCGCTGCCTTGTTGTAGGGGTGGCGACATTTGAGTCTGCTTGGAGGCGCTGCTGTTGTTGTGGTGTTGTGCAGGATATGCCAATCGTGCCTTTGTGCCTTCCTGGCCAGGGCAAGGGTGGCAGCCTCCCGTCGGAGGCCAGCTGGGGCTATTCCTGCAAGGACTGGCAAGAAGGACACTGGTGTTTGATTCAGGCATCCAGTTATAATTCGGAGGGCGCTGTTGATAGCCACGTCAACCTTGCTTGCATGCAGACAGGGGCAGGGGCGCAGTATTCCGCTGCAGAGAATACCAGGGCTTGAGTTGATATTCGCAGAGTCTTCGCAGATGCTCCCCAGGTTGTTCCACCAAGGCGGCGAATCAGAGCAACCCTAGATGTCACCTTGGCCTTGACTTTCTCTAGATGTTGTCTGAAGGTCAGTGTCCAATCCAGGTGCACACCTAGGTACTTCGGAGCTTGCTGGACCTCCACGCGTTTGTTGTCAACACGCACATCAAGTTCCCTCCTTGCTTCTCTGGTGCTTAGATGGTATGCTGCTGTGACTGTCTGTCCAATGCTGAGCTGTAGACGCCACCTTCGAAGGTATGCTTTTCCCTCTCAATCAGTCTTCCCTTACCTAGTCCACATATTTCTCTGAAGAATGTATTTACTGTAGGATGGCTCTGTCTTTGGCGAGCATGTCCATGAACTGCTGGCATGGGAGGTTGATGGTAGGGACAATGAACCTATTTCTGGTATCTGTCCATATATCATTCATCAAGAGGACACCCTCTCCACTGGTGCATCACTACCAGGTAAGCACATGACCACAGACACCAGTTTAGCCAGGTAAATGAGTGGCATGTCATTTCTTTGACGTGGGTAAACACTGTGGGTAATGTCAGCTGGCTGTCCCTCCTCACTGCACTGGAAAGAGTGCTGAAAATCCATGGGCCACTTTCTCTCTGAAGAGAAATTCCCCCATTATACTGCAAAGGATATTTGAGGATCCACTATCTGAACTGTGGTTGGCTTTAGCTCATGCAAAACACACACACACACACACACACACACACACACACACACACACACACACACACACACGCACAAATACACACACACACGCACAAATACAAACACAGACAACTGGCACTTAAATAAACATTTAGAAATGTATTAAACTGTAACTGTCTCAGCACCTTCTTTTTATCTTGAGGGCCTTGATTTAATTTTATCTTCAAGTTGAAAATGTCCCAGATTTCATTTCAGGAATCTGGTCACCTTAGACTTTAGCCGTAGCTCAACATAACTCTGCATGTAAAAGGTTCTGACTTTTATCTGGATGAGCACTCCATGATAGCTCAGGTGGTTTAGACTGACAGGTTAAATGTTGGATAATCATACGAGGTGTCAATAGTGCATGGTAATCTGTACTTCCTGTTAAGATTCATTAAGTTTTTCTTTCATGTGCAGTAAGTGAATCAACCCACATTCTCAGAAAAATTGACATCTTGTCATTTAGCTCTGCCTGTTGTGTGTTTTGGTTTAGTTCCAAGTTGTCATGGAGCTACTCACGTTTACACAGTGCATGACTCAGTGCACAGAAACGCTAAAATCTGACCACAAAGGAAGTGGTTTTCTGACAGGAAGTACAGATTACCATGCACTATCGACACATCGTATGATTATCCAACATTTAACCTGTCATGTCAGTCTTAACCACCTAAGCTATCATGGAGTGCTCATCCAGATAATAGTTGGTATCTTTTACATGCAGAGTTATGTTGAGCTACAGCTAAAGTCTGTTTTAAGTTAAGGTGACCAGACACCCCCGGCTTAAGTTGTCCCTGGAAATGTCGTGTCGACTAGAACAACGGTTGTTACAGTAGCTGAGTAGGTAGGAAGCGCAAGTAAGGTGACCAGATGTCTGTAATGATGTCCAGGGGGTGCTAAGCAAATGTGATTTCAGGCCCTTTATTTCTGCAGCTCATAAAGAGGTAAAGGAGGCAACAAAAACCAGGTATAAAGAAGCGTTTTAATGAAATAATAATAGGATAAAGGCAAACGATTCAACGATTTCTCTAGATTGAAGTAAATTTACAAGACAAACGACTGTCGTCACAGGCCTCTAAATAGGATTTCATATGTTTATTATATAAACAATATAAAAATATAAACAAGGACAACCTGCTCCTCACCAAGTGCAGCGATCAATTCCATGAAGTAATAATCATAATATTAGTTATTTTGCACTGCAGACGCGTCTCAGTCTGATTGTATTTCCATGAAGTAATGATCGTAAATGTTCTTCCTTGAGCTGTGAAACTCCACGGTACTCTGTGATCGACCCTTTCCCAGCCATTGACAAAATATCTCTATGAATTCACAGAAACAGTTATTAAGACCTTGCAGTCATTATTATCATATCAAATAGGTACAAAAATGTAACTATCGTGTCAATTTTCTGCTTGGAAATGATAAAAACACATTTTTCTCAGCTTGTTGAAATCTTGATTTTGAGGGAAAAAAGCAGTTTTTGAAATCCTATAAAAAGCAAATGGAACAAGTTAGAATAAAATTGGTTTCTCCTTATGAAAACTGAAGTCTTGTACGGTCTGGCGGTGGCAGGCTGCTAGCGGGGGAAGGGTTAAGTATAAACACACAATAATAAATAATAGTCCAATCAGTTTGAATAGAATAGAATAGAAGACGTTTATTGTCTGACACAAAAAAGTGACAGAAATTCATCTTTTGACAGGCCTCAGTTGCATCATAAGACATACATTCTCCATCATACTTGTACACACATACAGAACAAGAACTTTAAAAGACCTGAGTAAAAGTACACATTGACCTGTGATAAAATCACACGCATACGACGCCTGGAAAAAAGCACTACCAGGTTATGGGAAAACCTTGGAATGAATGATTTTTTATAGACTGCTTTCCTGACCAGTGGGACTTTGTATCTCCTGCCTGATGGGAGAAGACTGAAGGACTGATGGAGGGGATGGGACCGGTCCTCTGTGATCAGGGGGGCTTTTCTGATCACAGAGCGTTCATACAGATGGGATAGTGGAGTTTGGGCTGAACCGGTTATCTTGCTGGCTTGAGCTGTGATTCGTGAAAGTTTTGTTTTTTGTTTACTGGAGACGAGGTTGTACCAGGATGTGATGTTTAAGGTGAGAATGGATTCCATCAATGACTGGTAAACCATAATTAGGATCTTTCTTTTGACATTGAAGGTTTTCAGTTTTCTGAAGAGGTGGAGACGCTGGAGTGCCGTGTTGTAAATTTTGAATAAATAAGTTTGCTTTGGACTAAAACTTCCAAGAGTTGAATTTGCAGCTTTTTCTTGAAAAATATTTTTTCAAATATTGAATATTTACAAAAATTGAATATTTACATCTACATCTCTAACCCCAACCCCTGGATGATCAGCAGGCTTTTACGGTGACACCTGTGCTGATTGACCCCCGGGACCCGGCATGACCCCCGCTTTCCTCACTGTCATCCAGATTCTCTTCCTCCAGTTGGTTCCCAGGGTGACGACGCTTTTCTTTCTGGCAACCAACAACACAAAAAGTAAGAGGTAAATAAACGGTTTGAGATTTTTACATTTATAGTCCATCATAAAATATGAGAAGTGGGAAAATGAAATAAAATAGTTTAGTTCAACTTTAACTTGAGGTCATACACAGTCTGTAGACTGAACACTGCCAGCTAGAATGGCCCAGAAGTCTTATTACCAACCTGACACTTCTGATGACAACATGCCCGAAAGACCAGCACTGAAATGACAACAACAAAGCCGATAGAAGGGATGATGGCTCCCAGGTGAGATCTCTGCATTTGGGGGGGTTTTGGTGAAGGTCCAGCGATTGGTCGACGCTCTGTGAAATAAACACAAAAACTGTGATCAGCCTGATTATTGACATTTTTACAAATCGGCATCAAATCAGCATCTTACATACGATCCATATCACTATGTGGTTGTATGAGGCTTGTCCTGTCGTGTTTCTACAGTGGCAAAGAAAAGGTTTTTGTGCTTGTGGGCTCTGCAGAGTTTGTCTTGATGGACATTTTTCGACAAATGGAGGTCCATACTTATTCTGCATCACAGACACAACTTGTCCTCAGCGCTGTACGTCAACATCTTCATTTCTGGCAGATTTGAACACTCACCAGTGACAGTGACGTTGTACGTGTAATCCTCCCCGGTGTTGTCTCCATTAATGATGTGAGCTCCATAAACTCCCTGGTCTTGAATCCCAACTGACTTGATGGTCAAAGCGCCGGTTGTCTGATCCAGACTGAGGTTTTTGTGGGAGTACTTTTGGGTCTTTCCACCATAACAGGTAATGAGGGTCTCTTTCTCACTGCTGTTGTTCAACAACCACCACATCACAGAGAAATCACCGGATAGCTTAGTGGATCCAGTCAGAAAAGTGAGATCTTCTCCAGCAATGGCTGGGAGGGTCTTGATTTCTGTCCCACCGACAGGTGGAGAGACCCTGACTGAGAAAAACAAAGAGGAAGAACTGAGGATGAGTCAGTCGTGATACAAACAAAATAAAAAAGACCAAGACTATTCCAAAAAAGGCAGTTTATTCAAGATAAACCTCATGTTTTTGTTGTGCAATTTTCTACCACTGGAATAGTTTCTAAAGTTTTCATTACTGCAGTTTGTTCTTCATCAGTACGGTCACTTCTGGGTCATCAGCTCTGTGTAATCCTTCGTTTTTAACACTGAAATACTCTGATTATTTTTTTTCCTTTTAATGAGCTCATAAGACAGGTACACTTCTCTGATAATAACAACCAATTAATCATATCTCTTGTATAGATGGATTTACTTCCTGAGTTTTTAATAATTCAGAGTTTTATTTTGAAGGAGACAGATACAACACACTCATTAAGACTGGAGTTTCAAAATAAATGCTGGAAAGTAGGACTAAAATAGGAGTAGGATACAGTTCAGACCAATCATTTACTCAAACATTTGAACCCCTTTAAAAAAAGATTACCGTCTTTAAACAGAACCATTACAGGCAGTAATAACCGACAGACTACTTGAACTGGGTCTTCAGGTCTCTGCGCACTGCTCAGCACGGGAATCAAAGGTGTTCAAATGTAAGATGAATCACAGCTCTCAGCCTGAGACAACTCACTTTCACACTAATTAGAGATCTACAACTCTTACAACTCTAAACCACACGCCTTTTGTACACTCACTCGTCTCTAATCACTGACTGTTTACCTCTATGGCGCTTCTGTTTACTTTTTGGGAAACTGCTTTCTCATACAGACCGAGTAACTTTTAGTAGAGAATGACAAACACGCCGATGAAAAGTGGGAAGTACTAAAGCTCAGAACTTTTCATAATTTTCTACAACCAAAAAACAAACTACTAAATCCTGCATATAAGTCAGAGATAGAAGCTGACATAATCAGTAATACAGATGGGATCAGGGAGCAGACCCACAGTGCCAAAATAAAACCTTTAAAGTTAAAATTCAAAACTGAACCTGAAGAAAGGCACAGAGTTATAAACAGCATTTCATTAAAATGATTAAAGTTATAGTTCGTTCAGTAACTGAGATTACATTGGGTGTGTCTACAGTAACTCTCTTGTTATGGTATACAGAAGTGGAGCTGATTTCACAGCTGCATTTTATTGCCTTTTTTATCAGTGACTTTAAAGCCTTTAGTTTATGACCTCTAGTTTGTGACCTGTAATTTTGACAATTAAAAACGTACACACACATATATTTTTATAGCACGTTTGAACACTCACCAGACACAGTGATTTTATACTTGTATCTGTGCACGTTGCTGTCTCCATCTGTGATTTCTCCCTCACAAACACCACTGTCCTCAACTCTGAGCGGCCCGAAAGTCAGAGAGCCATACGTCGTGTCTAGGTCGAGGTTTTCTTTGAAGTACTTGGGGGGCTCTCCGGCATCGCAGGTGACAAGCTTCACTTCCTCGTTGCCATTCTTCAGGGACCACAGCACCGAGTAATCCCCCTGTAGCTCAGCAGATCCAGCCGGCAGAGTGACCGTGTCTCCAGTACTCACTGTCAGATTCTTGATTTCATCCGATCCCAAAGGTAGAGAGACACCGACACCGACTGAGAAAACCACTGAGGGAAAAAAAAGAGGAAAGAAATTAAGGTGTTTGATGTACTCTTTTTTCAAATACTACCACTAGGATCAGGTTATGTATCCCAGATTTAGAAAACTGAACTAACATGTAAACCTAACCACAACTTTCACACTTTATCTTATTTAACCTGATTAAAACACAGATCAAGATCTCTTTCACAGGGGTGACCTGGCCAAGAGGTCAGCAGCTCAAGTCATGAATCAAACAAACAAACTAACAAAAAACTGAATTGAAAGGTGATAATATACAATAAATAAAAAACACAAGAAAATCTGGAAACATAGCAACTAGGTAAAAAAGTATGCAGAGCAGACAATGGGACTGATCTGCTGTTGTGCTCTTTATAGTGCCTGAAATCTCACAAAATAAATACAAATAAATCCCTAAAGAGCTCACGTTACCTCAAGCCTCCACGGACAGAGAGGAAAACCGATGGGAGGGAAAGTGAGTGTGACTAATTCCTGCCTGGAGCAGGAAAAGCTCCAACAAACAAACAAACTTCAGACCTTCCTAACATCCTTTTACTTATACAGTGTCAGACAGTGTGATGGTATTTTTACAACACTCAGGCTTCACAACAGTCCTCCTCTCTGATGATCATTTCTTTCACCCTTTAAAAGGCTACAACAAAACCCACACACCGCTGGCACACCTCCGGCAGCGTGTTGTCAGACCACAACCAAGCCCGTAAAAGACGCTGTGAGCGCGGATACAAACCCACAACAACCCCCGGAGCGGTGAACCGATGTTTCTGAGTATCTAAAGGAGAAGGTCTACTTACATGCCAGCGCGGTTTTACACATTAAAATGATCACAAAGCGGGTCACCGAGGTCCACAGCCTGGAAGTCATCCTCACGGAGCTCTACAGGAGTCTGCGGCTGAGAGAGGCGTGAGTAGCCTACCGGCGGCGAGCTCGGAGTCATACTACAAGAGGGAGGAGCCTCCGGAGGCACGTTATTTTTTCATCCAATCACAATGAATGAACTGGAGTGACCTCCATACGTCAGTGTTTTACCATAGTTTAGTTTAGTGACTGAGTTTAGTGACACATTTAGTTCACATTTGTGTATTTGTGTATCTCTGTTTTTGTGAATGTTTCCTGAGAGGCATGCCGACGTGGTACACATTAAATGTAAAGATATTTTCATTCCATACTGAAAACCTAAATGTTTATTTTACACATTTGAGTCAGAGCCGACCCAAGCTTCAATGGGGCCCTCAGCAAAATCTGATTTTGGGGCCCTCTATTTCTGCCAATAATATTGATTGTTGATCAGTCACCCCTTCACAAATCTCTTTGATTAACATTCCCTGACATGCAAACAAACCTTTATCTCGGCGTTTTTTTCTCTTCTCCTTCTTTCTTCTCTCTGGACATCTCCTTTTTTTGCGACATTGTTTTGCCCCACAACTTCCTGATCTTTGGATGCTCAGTGAACATTTCACAGCAGGAGGAACAGAACAGTACCAGAGTTTTGACATATCGACAGTAAGAATCATAGACCTACATCAGCAGCAGCACTGAAATGTTTTTACTTTATTTTATTTTTACAATAATATATATTTGATCATACAGACAGTATCACTCATACATGCCAAAAATAAACAATATTAAAATTCTTTTGTTTTTGTTTTTGTGTTGCTCTTGGGTGGCCCCTCCTGGCCGCAGGGCCCCAAAATCAAAATTTGCTTAGGGCCCAATTGAGGCTTGGGCCGGCTCTGATGACGTTTCACTGCCATGAGGGATTACCAATCGGAGCCCAGCACTTCTAGCCAATCAGAGGCGAAGGAGGGCGGGACCTTCCCCTACTGTCCTACAACACAAAAATTCGCGGCCGGTGTTATGCTGTAGAATGCATCCCCTGCGTCCCATTTACTTATTAGCTTCTTAAAGTGGAAGAAAATGATCTCGTATTTTAAAAAACTTTCATTCTGTTGTTATGTCTCAAAAATGCATACATAGAGGTGTACTTGGGTATATTAACTGTACAGTAAGCTGTCATGGTAGAGAGCAAATATTCCGAATCAGAAGGCTATTGTTTTCGGATAATCTGAATAGCCTGAATAATATCTTTAAAGGCACACGTTTTTGAATCCATCCAACGGTGAGGAAAACTGATTATTTCGCCTTGTTGTGTAGTTTAAACCGCGCTTCCGCCAGGGGGTGCATTCTACGGCACAACACCCGGCTCTGATTTGGGGTGTAAAGGAACTTTAGTTCATGAGGAGAACGGAGAGGGGAATTAATAAGCCGGGTTGTGTTGTGCCCGGATGACTTTCTGGAGGGACCGCCCCCTCCTCAGAGAAATTTCGGGAAGGAAAATGAAAGATTCGGGTCTCCATCTTTCACAACTTTTCTACCGTGTTTTTCAGGTTTGTACCCTTTGAAATCCACATCATATATGCTCTTACATCCAAACAATGTTATAGTAAACACAGCGCGAGTTTGAAGTGTGTTGTTGACGGACTTTAGCGTGTTATACGAACTTAGAAAGAAAGTTAAAAATAGCGCCGCCGCTCAGCGCGGGAAACGATCATCCGACAAACTGTGTAGTTTATAACACTAACATCCCGCGAGATCTGAGATCACTGTTAGCATAAAGGTGTGCATCTTCAAACACTTTATTTAAAGCAAAAACCCTGAACACTTGACATATATTTGTATTTTTACCTGTTTTGATGTGAAAAAAGGTGTTTATACGATTATTGAGGCACGTTGTTGAAGTGAAAAACATTGTTCCTGAGCCTTGTGTGTTAAAACTCAAGTGTTGCTTAGAATGAGAAATATTTCCGATGTAGGATGTCTGATATTTTTGATTAAAGCAGCTTTATGTTGCAATAAAAGGTTTAAAGGGCAGGTTTACTGTCTAGCATCCTGTTGATTTACATTCATTCATAGACCTGTGGAAGTTAGATAGATAGATAGATAGATAGATAGATAGATAGACTTATCTATCTATCTATCTATCTATCTACTATAAGAAGTTGTCTACAACTCAGTGTTGACTTTTGAAAAGTTGCATTCTGCCATTAAAAATGGGTATTTAATGAATGTTAAAGAAAGGAAAGAGCCTATAAAGTGGACTTTATTAAAGAAACATATGGACACTCTCACTACGGACATTGTAACACGGACATTCTTGCATTTACGATCATTTTATGTGAGTTAATGTGTGTTTTTGGCTTCTGTGATAAAGAGAAAATTCAGGAAGGAAAATAAATGGCTCGGGTCTCCATCTTCTGAACTTTTCTGCTGGCGCTGAGCTGAAAAATCATTTGTTACTGTAGAACTTACCTGTGAAACACCAACAACTATTACTTGGTGGTTTTTGTCTGCTGTGAATTCAGAGGTATCTGACTGATCTGACCTGATGCTGGCAGCGCCGGTTATTTGGCATTAATCACATGAAAGCACCTCCATTTAAACCTTTTAAGAATTAATTTTAAAGAGAAACTGTCTTTTATTGACAGAAACTTCCGGCTTAGATATACAGAGATCGATTATAGCACAGAGAGCACTTGGCAACAGTACAAGTCTAAGATTTGTCAGGCTTATAACAGTCTAATAATTGGACATATTGATCTCTTTGGCATAAAGATATTACCACTAAGAGCTTCATGGTTAAGAAGATGGATTTTCATCAGATTTTCATTGTTTACAGGTTGTCTGAAGAGTCAGAGACTAAAGAGACTAATACTAGAGGTTTTTCACATACTCTATATTTAGGAACCTTTCAGCAGTATAATGTGTAATGTGCTAATTGTTCAGAGTTTTAGATTGACTTTTATTTCATTCTAGAGATTTGACATTGGTATTACACCTGCTGTCTGCTTTCTGTCTCACATATTGATATTGAAATTCCACTGTGGCAAGTTATTAGATTCTAGTAATTCAGCTGAAGAAACCCACTGCCTTAAACAATTTAAGTTATAAAAAGTCAACATAACACAAGTAGAAAACAAGCAAATAATTTATGAAGTTGAACTCATCAGAATAACAAATGCAAACATTTCAAACCTAATATTTTTTATAAAACAAACAAACACTTTTCTTTCCCACCATAACCCTAACTCTTCACATTCTTCTTATTCAGATCCTTAGTACCAAATTCTCCCCCCCTCTCCCTGACGTTGGTATCACACCTACTGTCTGCCTGCTGCCTCACTTATTGATTTATAAAGTGTTCGTGAGCTTGAAGTGGCGAGGAGATCAAGAGAAATACTTGATGAGTCAGTGACAGTAACAACCAGCGGAGCATTTGCTGATTAGATCTCAGACCGGAGTCCCCTGAACTTTCTGAGCTCTTGGCCAACTGAGAGTATAAGTGTGTGTCAATGTGGGATAATAACAGTGTGGCCTGTGTTTATTTTCCTGTAGCTAACTCAGCCAGGGGATCACAGATCATGTTGAACTGTAGATATCCAGTTTACAGTCACGTTTCAGTGTGTTTTACCAACCAAACGTAAAAAATCTGCCACTTTCAGAGCTTAGAGGAACACAGACAGCAGAAGTCATTAAAAATTTAGCTCAAAAGTCTGACTTTAACCTCCAAATGCAGAGTTAAAACCTGCGTCATTAAAGACACGTGTGATTTGGTCACCTCTTTCTATCAAGCTGACCACAGGTTAAAGTCATTTCTGCCTTCCGGCTTCTTTCCTTTTTTATTCACAGTGTAACACAAAAAGTGAGTTTGACTGAAATGATTTGAGGAAACCAATTGCTTTGAGTCATTTAAGTTTATTAACTTACCTTTTTCCAGTATAAAAAAAAAACCTTCATTAATTTAGACTTATATCAGTCCCTCCAGGATTCCCCAGCCTTTTTTTGTGGTTGTTTGGGCCTAAAATGCCTGATTTTGCAGCAGCTTCTCTAAAAAGTTGCGGTGAAAGTTGTGATCATTTGAGGCTTTTTTATTAAAATCACAGGAATAAGGGCAACTGCAAATAAGCTAGAACAGTCTTTTGTGAGCTTTTAGCGTTAAACCATAAGATTAATGTGTGATATTTTCCAAACAGAGTGCTCTGCATCTCTGAGCAACAAAGACAGGAACACAGAGAGGGGGACGGGTGTGTGCACAGAGACTCACAGCCACATAGAGAGAGAGTCAGGGAAAACCAGACAGAGAGAGACCAGCACACAGAGCAGCCCCCCTCCTTCTCCTTCCTCCTTTCTCTCCCTCTTCTCCTGCTCCTCCTGCTTGAAACAGAGTACTCGGGGTTGTGAGAGTGTCCTATTGGCAAATTACCCACAATTCTGCAAAGTTGCATCAGCTGAATGACCTAAAACTATTTGTATTGAAGACTCAGAAGTGGTTATGAAGATTAGTTTTATTCCTTATTTTGAGAACCCCTCTAAGCAGTAACATAGGCGTCCCACTGCTCCCTGCCCAGTTAAGCCCCCTTTCTTCTTTCCTTCTGGTTTGTTATTTTGATATCTTGTTTATCATTGTTACTGCAGCGATGCACAGTTGTTATCGTTGTGGTGTTGCGTGCAATGTCATTCATACAGTGGAGATTTATGTTCTTTCAGCGCTGCTGTAATTAGGCTGACGTGTTCGTATCAGTGCGCGTGTGTATTAGCGTGTGTGTGTGAGTCTGCCTGTCGCGTGAGAGGAAAAAGTATGAGAAGAGGAGACGATCCGAGCAGCTTCTTGTGTCCGGCAGATGTATGTTTATTCATTCCTTCGGTGGAGTTTGTGTGATGAATAACCCGCACAACAAAGTTGTCTTTATACCTGTGAAGATTACGCCTAAAAGAGGAAACAAACGGACTTTGACCTGAAGTTAGTTCGCCAATTAATGTGAGCTCTCGTTTTCCCTACAGTGGCTTGCTAGGTCTTGCTAGTTGTATCATTGTCCTTCGTATCCCGCAAACGTTAACTGGCCCCAGTTTAAGGACTTAGTTCACCCCCTCCTCCTCTGGACTACATCTTCACCCCCTCCCCTCTTCACCAGAGAACAGTTCCCATTCATCTCCTGTGGACACCTGATCACATAATCCCTCAACATCGGGACCTCTCCACAGACCTCCATCCTGACTGAATCAGAATCCTCACGTCATCCTCTGAGCTCCAACCCCGGGCAACATTGGTACCATTAGTTTAGGATTAGGTAGGGACTTAGTATAGTTAGATAGGACATATTTAGTATAAGATTTAGCTAGTTCATGTATCAACAGGCCATTGCAGTCATACATCTCCATGTCCCCTCCTCTTTCTTTTTAATTCTTTTATCCGTCCATTCAGCCTCACAGTCACAGTTGTGAAATACGACAGAGTCAGACATTCTGCACGTACGTTCACACTCATCTTATGTGATACAATACACAATAGCACCTGTGACTGACATGACGGGTGGGTGCTGGCAGGAAAAGGTCCAGACAGTGAGTCAGTATAAAATAATTCGGTATGGAAGGGGCTTACCTGTCACCTTCACACAGATGCTAACACAAACACAGTAATATACCCCTCAGGCAACACAGTATGCAAACAGACTATCAGCCTAATTTCCCTCCACAAAGATGATCCACAACAAGAAATGAAATGAAATTAAATGAAAGTTATTCTCTCCTCATAAACAAATGCAGCCCAGCAGACAAGATTTAAGACCCTCTGAACTGAAAATGCCAATGCAATAAGATCAAACAACAACACCACTCTCTCCTTAGGTAGGATAGGAGTACTTGCTGGACTCTTAAGAGTGAAGGGTCAAGGTGCTCTTCCAGCCAAAGGAGCTGAAACCTAAAGATGAAACATGACAGAGTGTTTAAAAAAGTTGAAACAGGGTCCTCTGAGACCTCCTCCAGAACAAAAAAACCCAAATTTGTCCCTTACACAACCCCCTGGTTTGAAACACTTCCTCTTAGATACCTGACCATCATATAAAACATCGAAAACCTTGAAAGCGTGACCCTTTTGAACTGTGAGCTGATTAAATCTGATCCCTAAGGTAGAGCATGTGTATGTAATATAAAACTATGATTCAGACCACAGGATAGTTTCTCAGTCCACCTTAAATGTGCTCAGACCCAGAGAGGTTGAACCCTGTTATTGGATCCGGTTTGTGCATGGTACAACCTTCACCTCCATTTATGGATGCAGTAACTTACTGCGTCCCCATACGTGGATTTCAACTACAGAGTCATGTTGTTTTTAATGCAGTGCTGATGATATTTGGATGATATTACGTGAAGTAGATGCAGCTTCTGGTGTTTTGTTGTCTCTGTCCTAACATGTTAAAAATAAGCAGTCTAAATTTCAACATTTGATATGTCGTGTCAGCACTGTTATTCAATCCAGTACTGTGTTTTGTATATCATCAATTTCTGTTAAATTAACATTTTAAAAAGGTTACAATTCATAAAAAATTTTGTTGCTCATTCAGGCTGTAAAATTTCCCTGAAAGCCTTTAAGAAACTCCTTTTTATGTCTTTTTGGCACCAAATAATGAATCGGTGCCACAGTGTTGTTATAAAATGTAGAATAAGGTGACTAGATTTTCCTGATGTCTGGGGACAGTCCCCGTATTGGATGACCTGTCCCTGGAAATGTCCCCGATTTAAGAGTTTCATGACTGAGAACAAAAATGTTGTGCGCAGTCCTGAACAACAGTTTTTACTCTGTGATCACGCTGATCACGTAGATTGGGAAATCTTTGTAACGAGCAACACGGTTAAATACTTGATCAAGATTAAGAATCGCCCTGAAACAAACCCTCAACGTATCTGTCTTCGGCCGTCTCTGCCTCCGTCTTTCTTTTCTTGCTCTTTTTTGCAGGAGGAGCGGTCACCTCCATTGATTTGGTTATAGACACTTTCTCTGCCGTTCTCCAGTGCAGCCGTATCCCTCTCAGCTCAGATATGGGCATTAAATCCTTGATTGGTTAGTGTAGATAGCGGCTATGGACACACATCATGTATTGATTGCCATTGGAACATAAAGATCATTTTAACCAGAGTATCATCATCATCATCATCATCATCATCATCATCATCATCATCATCATCATCTTCATCTCTCCTTCAGGTTTGTTTTGAAGCCTTAAAGAAACAACACAAGAGCTTTTAAAAGACATCACTTATTTATTGCTTTACATAAAGCACACAATTTGCACATAGGTGTAAAAAAAGTCAATAAATATAAATAAGTAAAATAATTTATTACTTAAATATATATACATTTACCAGTATAAAAAAATACCAGCAAGTCAAATCCTACTTACTGCAACAATCAGATGTTCTTATAAAAATATTTATCTTTTCTCATTAAATGTGACCTGAATAAATCATTTCACATAATCTTACTGGGTTTTTGGTTTTGTTGGATTGTCACCAGTAACAGTGAGACAGAAGCAGCAGGAGACTCAGTGGAATGACTTTGAAGGCCATACTGACATAAATTCAACATGATGACACTTTAAAAAGGGGAATTTTATCAAGTATGGCCTGTGCAATTTATTCTGTATGTTTTCTTTAAGGCAAACAGTGATGAGTTATGTCGATGAACTTTGTAGACCAGGGGTCCGTTTCACGTAGGTGGTTCAACAAACTCTGAGTTAAATCCTTAACTCTGAGTTGATCTACTCTGAGTTAGGAAACTCTGAGTTTCCGGTTTCACAACACCTGATTTGAGACGGTTTTAACAACTCCGAGTAGTTTGACCTGGAGTTAAGCACGTGCACGCCAGACATAAACAGCCAGCATCTGTGGAGCGCAGATTCAATGATCAACCAATGGAAACAGGGAGAAGGAGGGGGCAGCAGCAAGCCAACAGCGAATGACAGCACGTTTTTAAAAGAAAGTGCAATACAGCAGCAGCTGCAAAGGAGAGGGAGAGGGCTTGGGAGGAAATCGCTGCTCGCGTCAATGCGTAACTTTAAATCTAGTCTCGTGCAATCACAATGACAGACTGTTGCAGGGAAACTGCTTGAATCATTTTGATCATGTTTTACATTGTCAAGTAAGTATTAAGTGGCAGTTTGATCCCTTAGAAAATGCTCTTTTCACACTCAAAAATGAATTTTTCTCTCTTATGATGTTCCGTTAAATGATTAGGAATATTAAACTAACTCTCAGTATGTATATGTACATATATTAAACTAACACACACTACACTCAATATTAGACTTTCACTCAGCAAACAGAAAGAGGGCAGATGCCAGAAAAACGGGTGGTGGCCCAGCAGCCCCACCTTTAACGGAGGCAGAGGAGCTGGGGAGGCAGGGAGGATGATGGAGAGATATTTCCTGCAGGAAGAAACAAAAGCTTGATAAATGTCTTCTGCTGAAAATGGAGGATGTGGTTAAAATGTAAATAAAACACACTGACTGTGGTGAGAGGTTGTTCAGATAGGCTGGAATACGCATACCTTTAGATTAACCACCAATAAGATGAAGTTATTAGGTTGGACAAAGTGACCAAACCTTTTACAAGATTAATATCTGGATTAGCTGAATACTAGACTTTCCCACAATGCCATGCTGCTGATCTTGATATGTGACAAAAGTTTATTACACACAGATAACAGCGGTGGTGTTGGCGAGTGATCCTGACTGCGAGTTAAGAGGCAAAATACTCAGACCACCGAGGAAGAAAGTCACGTTTACTGCCGATCAATCCGAGCGGGAAAAGAAGTGAGTATGACTTTATTACAGAGTCCAACAGCAAACAAACAACGGACAAACTTGGAGGATGGAAACAACGCTCTGACGCTCAACACAAACATCAGAAATGAAAAGTATTATTGCATGTTTTAGACCGTAGATGATTTTACTGATTTTACTTCTTAACCTCGGTATTTTCATGGTTCATCTGGGTCACTTTTAAAGCTGCAACAATTAGTCGATGTAATCGATCACGTCAGCAACAAAAATTTGTCCACGCAAAAATGTAAGTGTCGACACATCATGTTATTGTCGTAAATCACACGCCGACTGCTTCTGCTCATCTGTAACTGCAGTGCACTACAGGAAGTGCTGGGGGCAGTATTGCTCGCTGTTTACATCCCATAAGGAGACAGAGAAGAACGCACGAATTATGGAGAAACAAACAGACGAGGAGGCTCAAAAACTCCAACTCAAAGTTTTTAAAGTTAGGGAACATTTCAGCGAAAATAAACAAGCGAAAAACGTTAAATGGAATCTCAGTGAAGCTCAACTCTCGTTCGTAGCAATACGGCGATACACGAACGCCTTAAACGCCGACACCCCGAAATCACTGTAGCATCACGTACCACAGAGAGAGTGGTTCACAAGTAACGTTGATACCTCGTAGATATTTTTAAACCACATGCTGATTTGTTAATTAACCATCAGTCTATGATGCAAGTACTTAAGACGGTTGTGTCGTACGTCTATCAGTCGGAAAAACATGGAAGAGGCTTGCTTGGCGAACGCTAGTACACCCACTTCCGTCAATGTGTACTTTACTGCAGTAATCAGTGAATTAAAGGCGCCGCTGCTCCGAGATACTAGCGTTTATAACTATGTGAAGATTTAAGCAACTTTAGGTTCAACAGAAGTCCAAACTATGTTCTAATGAAGATCGTGATTAATCGATTAGTCGAAAAAATATTGGTAGATTAATCGACAACAAAAGTAATCGTTAGTTGCCGCCCTAGTCACCTTTTTAATCAGATATCATTCGAGATCATCTGGAAGGACCTCATCCGAACATACAGGCCTGGAAGTCTTACCACTAACCTGAAGGGTCTCCATGTTTGCTGGCTCACAGGAACAGCAGGATAAGAACTGCAGTCATGACGACCACCCAGTGAGACGTCTGGGTCTTGGCACTGTCGGGTGGAGCTCCCTTGTTTGATTGAGACTCTGTGAAACAAAACAAAGAGAAAAAAAGATTCTTTAGCAGCTGTGATTCAAAGGAAAAAAGCAAGAATATCCTGAAACAAGGGAACACACTGATATAAGCTCCTTTTACACATGCAATGCAGTCCTGAAAATTTACAGACATTGTCCAAAAGGGTGGAAAGTCAGCGAGCACCTGTGATTATCATGTCAAACATTAAATGCACTTACGTTCAGAGTGACATTTTGATGGTTTGTACTCTTAGAGGCTCAGTTGTCTGTTGTTTTTCACTCATGCTTGAATTAATTTAACTTCTTCCACAACTGCAGTACACTCTTCCCAAACCAGGGATGTCAAGTTTTAAAGAGCAGATTTGGAGGAGTTTATATGTAAATGAGGCTCTGGACTTTCCACAGTAGTAAATAACATCTCAGGAACATGTTGGTTTTATAAAGTGATGGTCCTTTAACTCTGTGCTGTTTTTGGGGTACTCAACAAACACTTACCAGAGACAGAGATCGCATAAGTGCACTCCTGCACCTTGTGGTTTTCATCAGTGAGTTCAACATGATAAGAGCCGCTGTGTTCGACACGGAGAGGTCCGATGGTCAAAGCTCCGGTTCTTGGGTCGAGGTTGAAGTTGAGGTTGAATTTTTCTCTGTGGTACTCTGGGGACTCTCCGGTATCAAATGTGACAAGAGTTGCATCCTCTGTGCCATTATTGAACCACCATAGTACACTAAAGTGACCATTTGGCTTCACGAGTCCACTCAGGGTACGGGTTTCCCCGACGGTGAGGTTCAGGGTGTGGATTCCACCCTGACCAATAAGAGGGGAGACCCTAACTGGGGCTGACAGAGCAACTGAAAAAGAAAAGGAGAGAAATAGGTGAGTGTAAGGGAGCAGGTAGACTTTTTTTAAAAGTTTTGTCAAACAGGTGGATGCCACTTTCACTGTAGTTACACTTCAACTACAGGTTATACAACCAAAACAGTAGGATAAGGTGGTACTTGTGGTTTTTAAGTGTTAAATATGTAAATACTAAACCCGCAACATCAGACTCGTACAGACTGAGGATTTGAAGTTGTGGATTTGTTGTTCTTGTGCATAAAGAACATTTTCTCCTCAGGCTAAAATCTGGGTTTTTAGAAATACAAACTAAATGCTCAGTATGTTGAATCATCGACTGTTAACTTTGGTTAAGTTTATGGTTGTAACAGTGAAACTTTGTAAACCACAAAGTGTCTGTAAAAGAGAGTTCTGCATGTGGAACATCCACCCCTGGAAAACTAACCACAAGCGCACACTTGAAGAGCAGAACCATTTCTCACACAGACCCCCATGACCTCAGACCCCGCCTCCTGTTATCTTATATCTGAAAAAAGTAGTTAAAGTGCCCTTTTGGATGCTTTTGTAGTTTAAATTAGACATTGAATTATCCTTTTTGCATAAAACCCATGAAAAGCTGTTCTCTTAGTCACCCTCCTTCCAGCCCTGATAGACACTGAAGTCAAGCCAACCGGCACGCAATTTGGAGTGCGCCCGTATTCGAATGCTTACAGGAAAGGCATTAAAGGTGAAGTAGGCAGGAATCCGTTAAAGACGCATCTTTTTTGTAGTGTATAAACAAAAAAGCTTTGAATATCAGTCAATAGTTATTAGTTATTGATGACATTTGGTAATATATCGATATCTCTGTGTTCTCTTATGTCTGTGTCGTCGATATTTGAATATTTTTGAGCGGTCCGCTCTTTCTGACTGTAAACAAAGCCGTTCTCCACCTCCTCTAACCTGATTGGTTGTGAGGCAGACGCTGCTCCCCCGTGTCGTTCAGGAGCCCAAACAAAGTTAGCGTGCTACAATATCGGACAGTAGAAACCAACCAGAAAGTTCGGAAAATTGTCTGAATCCTCCTTTGGCCACGACTGCCGACACAAGCAAGAAAACAAAGTAAATACCGAAGACTCTGGAGGAATAACGGGCGCTTAAAACGGAGGTAGACCGGACAAGAGCTAAAAAGCCGGGTCAACATAAACCATGGGGGACGCTTGGGGATCTTGGTGACCCTGTAACCTTTCTGCTGGACAGGTAAACCGCTTTAACAAAGTAAGACAAGTGTCTGTAACAGAAGTGTTTCTTGTCAAACGGACCTGCTGTAGCGTGTTGTAGCGCCATCGCTAAACTGTCCTCCCTCGGGTCCTGGACTATGTCACTTTATCCTCGTTGTAGAAGTCCTGCAAACATTGTGTTTGCTGGTAGTCTGTTGGCATCTACAGTAGCACCAATGCTTTTGACTTTCACCTTGACTGGGCCCCATTTGTAATGATCTGAAGTATTTATCTGCATTATATCTGAATTTAATCAGAACGATACGAGCGAGCAGGAGCGTCTGTTTGTGGGCGGGGCTTGAGAGGAGAGGAGGAGCTGAGGGGAAAACTGGTTTGGAGGGGTAGAGTTTACATTCAAGGTTTCTCCTAAAAACTGGAACTAACTCAGATCCTGACTACAACACCTTTAATACGGTGCTGTAAGTTGACGGGGGAGCAATAAGAAAATAAAAAAACTTTCCTGATATAAGTGGTCCGAGTCACCTGTACTATCGGACAGAGTACTTCTTGGACAACATGTTCTATTACTATCAAATATTTTTACTATGTACTTTTGCAGGATCACTACAAAAGTACACAGTAAAAGTACCTCATATTATTTGTACATATTGTCCAAGAAGTCCTCTGTCCAATTATACAGGTGTCTTGGACGACTCACTGAAAAATGTTTTTCATTATAGACCAAAGTTGGACAAACAAAGCATATTTATAGTTGATACGGGAGACTTTGACATAGGATTACTTCAAAAGTACACAGTAAAAGTACAGGACATGTTGTCTGAGAAGTACTCTGTCCACTAGTACAGATATATTGGACCAATTATATCAGGAAAGTTGTTTTTATTTTCTTATTGGTCGCCCGTCAGTTTACAGCGCCATATTAACGCTTTTACCATAAGCGTTCGAATACATGTGCACTCCAAATTGAGTGCCGGCTGGCTTGACTGCCGTGGATAAACGTATCAAAGTCCTCTCTGCTGCCAGGGAAGACCGGGACCTCATGCCAGAGACCGTCAGGGTGACCTTAAACCAGACCTGCCACTTTCCATGAATAGGCGATTAAAAAGATGTCATGCTTCCCAAGTACTCCACAGTCTGATGACATTTTAACGACACTTCGAGTTCAATTATTCTAACCGGTTATGATCACTAATCGATCGTGACTTTCTCTTGTCTGTTTAGCGGCGCAACTCAATACAACCCAAACAATGCCCGTGGGTATACCTGAGCTTACAGCATCCACATCCACAGCTCCGAGCTCCAGTCTCGTGAGCTGAAGCCTACAGTTTCCACATCGCGTGAGTGGCGAGCTCCCCGCCAGACTGGACGACCCCTACAGGACCCCGCTGCGCTCAGTTTACCGGTTATTAACTGTGTCAGTCAGCCTAGTCCTGCCTTACAGAAACCGGTCTTTATCAAAATCTGGTCCGCGGGTGGAAGCCTCAGAAATGTATAACTTATGATCGCGTGCAGGTTGACCCACCTGTGATCGCTGTTATCCAGGCAGCAAAAGCCCCGATGGAGCGCTTCACTGTGGTCAGAGGATAGAGAGACATCTTCCACACCGGCAGGATGAAGAATGACACGCGCGTCAAGGCTCGGGGTTTGTAATACCTCGGTTTTGGGGGCGGGATCTGCGTGGGAGCGTCCGACTGGTAAGGATGTCAGCCCACACGGTGAAGATGTCCGACTGTCTGTAGGCGTTCTTTTCTTTAAAAATGAGTTACACCTTAAGACACGAACATTCCACGGAGAGTGATATCAATTATGTCACCCCACCCCCCACCCCTTCAGCTGGGCACAGCTGCAGACACACTGCTGCACTCCGGTATTTTTCCACTGTAACTTCCTGAATGTTTCTCAACTTTACTGCAGCTGATAAAAACTGCTCCACTGTAAGAACTCTGTGAATAAGAACAATAAGCCAAACCACATTTTATATATACGACACATCTCAAGTTAAAGGTGTGTCATCTACTTTAAATTATACCTGAAGAACGTGAAAGAGTGGACTTGAGCATTTATTACCAACTCTGATATGGGTTTTTGTTCTGATTCACTGGAATAGTCCAAACAAAGAGGTTTATTTTAGATGCACTGACAGTTTTTGTCAGGTTTTAATCACATGCAAAGGTATTTGAGTGTCAGGAGTCAATGATGTGTTCACTTATTTTAGTGTGACCAACAAAGACCAACACAGAACAAACTCTGTGGATTAAACAGCAACAAGGTCATGGGACAGAAGTGATCAAACTCAAACAGCAGACAGTTTTAATAAGGTTTTATTTCTGTTTGTAAACACACCAAAAAAGAAAAAAAAAACAGCCCATAAGAATAAAAAAATACCATATAAATACAGCATAAACTCAAATCAGTGCAATAAACAGAGATGATATAACACTGAAGACTCAAAGAGGCATTTTTTTTCTACTTACTAACACACACGCTCTAATAAATACAGTGCTTTTCTAGACTATTTGTATTTGCAGTAGACCTGAGCTGAATAACATCATGTAAAAGCACTCAGCTGGTGAGCTGTTAAATAAAGACTGTGAGATTAAAACAAAGAAAAAAGTAAGACAAACAGTAACGTCAGCGTCTCCGTCGAGCAGCGCTTTGGAGCGTAGCGGCAGCGTAGTGCAGCTCCGGTCAGCTGGGCTCAGTATAGAGGAAACAACACGCTCACAACAGGCTGTTTTTCGTTTCTGTGGTCGATTTCCTGCTAATTTGGATATAATTCAGTGAACGCTGAGCTTCTACTGTATGTGACAAAGAAATATAATTTTACAGTTTCAGTTTTTGCAGGTTTACTCGTGTTTAATAAAGTAAACTCTGTTACCTTCAGAAAGAGTTAGCAGGTCAAAGTCCTGGAAGTATTTCTCATCTACTCAGATTGATACACGAACAGGAGTCCCGATATGGTGTTTTATTTTGAAATTTACTGGATGACAAGCATATGTTTTCATGCTCGATATCCTGTCTCGAACGATCTTCTCTGTGAAGATTGACGCGTGTTGGAAGCGTAGAGCAGAGAAAGTAGACTCGGCGCATATCTTTAGATGAGCCGCACTCGATGCACTTCTGATACGGAGCTGCGGTGCGTCCTGTATGCGACGCTGCATCGATTAGAATGGGAACTTTTTCGCTGCGTGATCTGCGACGCTGACGTTATGCACACAATATGAATCCTGTATGTTTTAGACTTTATACGTGAATCCAGGTAACAGTTCCGTGTTGATGTTGGTGTAGCTTTAGAGCTGCCGCTTATATTCATGGTGTTCACAGTTACACTTTGTTAATATAGGTGTTGTATTCGGTAAACCAGGTGGATTCGATTTGAGCACTGTTGCACAATACTACACACACACTGCACACCTTTAGGAGGGATGAGAGCCAGCAGTCAAACAGCAGCGAACACCGGAATTCACCTGAGGCTTGTCTGTCAAAGCTCAGACATTAAAGCTGATTTCAAAACGCACATTTTTACAGCAGAATTAAACATGTTTTAAACATTACAGGACAAGGGTATAAGTGCTGTCAACAGAGAGTAAATATACAAAGTGCAATCTAATTAAAGTCTGAAGGCAACACGGTGCTTGTTGTTAATCTCTCATTTCATTTCCTTTTCTGCACGCTGTGAAGTCTCGGCTGCGTCGCCCTGCTCTTGTTCCCATCGTGATGGAAAACAACTTTTAACCGGCACATTTTACTCTAAAAAAAAACACTGATGCACTTAGAGTCAAATCAAACTTTGGGCTGCCTTCTATGCGCCGAGCAAACACGACTGACAGGTCACCACATCACAGAAAACTACACTGAAAACTACTCTGTGTTTCATACTGAGAGTATGAACACAGACCCGTGGATGAGACCAAAACCAAAACCTCCTATATGAGTACCTGGTTGAAAGTGCTGAAGACTCGTGTCTAAGGCTTGTGGTGTTCACTCCTGGACTGATATGAAACAAAGAGGGTAAACAAACTGGGATGAAAAGTGCAATAAAGCTGCATTTCTGCCTCCTTACTATTTCAATTAAGGTGATTTCTCACCTAGATTCTAGTTCTAGATCCCCTTCCTCCTCTCTTCAGTGTATCCCAGTTTAAAGTGCTGATGACTTGATTGTGCACTAGTCTGTTGTTGTCGGCTTTATTGCATTCACACCGGCAAATTCATATAAATCTGTCTCCTACCTCGAAGTCAGGGCTTCAGACCACACTGATGTAACTGTGCAGTATCCTCATGAGTAATTAAAGACGTGATCACTAACTACCTTTCATTACATTACATTTCACCCTCAGATGAAGGCACTGTGGAGAACTGCATTACATTCTTATATGGAGTTCAAAACGGTTTTGATAAGAGCATTCAGAGCACAAGACTGAGGATGTGAAATGGTCCAGAACATGTCTGAAGTTTGAAGTCTTTAGTTTGTTTTTGGTTCCTGCTAATTGGTGGATTGTTCAAAACGGAGGCCAAGAATGAGCGTGGAAACGCCCGAGGCTCAAACAATTACAGTGGGTACGGAAAATATTACGACCCGTTTTTTTCACTCTTTGTTTCATTGCAGCCATTTGCTTAAATCAAAAAAGTTTATTTTATTTCTCCTTGGGCAGTTCCTTCAACCTCACGATTCTCCTTTGCTCTGACATGCACCGTGAGCTGTAAGGTCTTATATAGACAGGTGTGTGCCTTTTCTAGTCAAGTCCAATCAGTTTAATTAAACACAGCTGGATTCAAATCAAGGAGTAGAACCATCTCAGAAGAAATGGACAGCATGTGGGTTAAATATGAGTGTCACAGCAAAGGGTCTGAATAATTATGACCATGTGATATTTCAGTTTTTCTTTTTAAATAAATTTGCAAAAATGTCTACGTATCTGTTTTTTTCTGTCAAGATTGGCTGCTGAGTGTACATTAATGAGGAATAAAATGAACTTTTTTGATTTTAGCAAATGGCTGCAAAGAAACAAAGAGTGAAAAGTTTAAAGGTGTCGTATTACTTTGCGTACCCACTGTATGACTAAATTCCACAGGATACGTAATCGTCAGCTCTGTCACTCCCTGCTTTAGTGCTCTTAAATGCTCTGTCATACTGACTGTGTATTATTTGCCCACAGGTAAAAGGTGAGGCGGGTGAGGAAGGGGGGATTTTGAAACTCAGATTCTACAGATATGACATGTTGAACTGTAAAATCTTTTTACTCAGATTGTCTTCTTGCAGAAAGAGGTTGCTTGTGCAGCAGACAAAGGCTGAAATGAAGCTTAAAATACTTGAAAGTCAGAGGATGATTTGAAGACGATGGTCCCCTTTTTCACCGGTTTAGGTGCTGCAAAAGCTGTATTGACATTTCTACTACTTAAATTACTCTGTAACGTGCTGAAGGCCACGTCACCGGGACATTTCTACACTTCATCCTTCTTCATCTCACACAGCGATCAATAGAGAGGTCAACTCTACATGGCAAACCTGAGCTCACCTGTGATCCTCCATATTTTCACCTCAATGATGTTAACTCTTCATCGTTCTGGATGTGCCTCCATCTTTTGAAGTTAGGCCAAACTTTAGGCCTGCCATTAACCCTTCGTACAACTTATGTTTCAAGTAAATCAGGTACATAAAAAAATTTCAAATTAAATAAATTCATGTACCTAATAAAGTTCACAAATTTAGGACAAAGCCTAAAAAAAAAAAAGGGGGGATCTTCTCTCGTTTTTGTCTGCAAGGTGTCGTGATGCAGAAGACAACGTCCTTCATCAGGCGAATTCGATTACAGGAGGCTGACTGTAATCTGTGAAGAACAAAAAAAGAGAGTGATCACTTCACCAGAACAAACTCACATCCTCAGTCAAACATCACAGAGAGGCAAACATAGATGATGCTGTAAATCCAGCATTCAGGACAGAGATATTAATCAGATGAGAATCCAAATCTTGACAACAGGCTTTTATGTGAGACCCTAAAATATCTCAAGTCCTGATGCATTTGCAAAACGTGGCGAGTTTTGGGGGCTTGTTTAGACCTCTAAAAACACAATTAATTTGGCAGCAAGAGTCATGTCCTCTGGGTTGAGAGGGCCCCCACACCTTTGGCACTCGGACCTGAAAAGAGGTTTTCAAAGTTCCTCTGATTCTGGTTTTATCTGGTTAACAGCTTCAGTTTGTAAGATTTTGAGTGGGATGGGAATACTGGAGGTATATTTGTATTAGTGTACCAAGTATACTTTGGGAGGTAAACTACTTCATAAAATGTACTTGAGATATACTTTTTTTTTAGTTAGGGTAACAGACATGATTTATTCAGTTCATAACGTGGTCTGAGGCACATTTTGAATCCATGTGTATTTTGTTCATCATTTTCGCCTGATGTGCGCTTTGATAAGACGTCTAAAAATGTATTTCATGTTATTTGGTTTAAAGGAAGTCAATTAATTTGTTATTTTAAGCTCATCCTAGCTAAAGCACTCTGATATGCGGTTGTCATTTTGCTAAAAACGTGAAGTTTAATTCACTATTCTTGAAGTTTTATAAAAAACGTAATTTCAAAGAGGCTATTAAACACGTAATTTAAAGGGCTACAACCATCATGTCAGGACAGAAAGGGTTAATACCGCTGTTGTTGTTTTCTTTAGCTCATACGGTGTGTTCACACTGTCCATAGATGTTGAAAGGAACTGCTTTAAATCAAACTTTGTGAACCATCAGTCAAAGAGTCAGACCATAATTAACCCGGGATGCTACAACACTAATGGAATGAAACCATCTGTGCTCGAGAGCTGCGTGGATACACACCTTTCTTTGTCTTTTTGACTTTCTGCCAGGAAGCAACCAGCAATCCAAAGATCACAGCTACAGGCAGGCCAACGGATGCCAACAAAGCGTAGTGGTGCCTGTGGTTTTTGGTGACTTCTGATGGTGTTTCTTCTGTAAAAAGACAAGAGCAGATCGTAAATATGAGCAGCAGTATAACATACCAAACTCTCTACTGACTCTGAATCAACAGAAACACACTGATGACCGTGATTTTATTTGGTATCTTCAGAAAACCCACCTTGAACAGTGACATTGTAGTCATATCGGTGCACACGGTTATTGTCCTCAGTGATGAATCCCTCATAGTGACCGCTGTCAGCAGGACTCAGCAGCCTGAGAGTGAGAGCACCAGATGTTGTGTTGAGGTACAGCTTGTCTTCAGGTCCATTCCAGGAGGTGCATTTGGCTACACAGTTGATGAGGGTACGATCCTCCGTCTGCCCATTTAGTCTGCGCGACCACTCAATCTGGAAATCCCCATGCAGGTTGAAGGGTCCAGTCTCCAGTTTGAGCTTTCCTCCTCCCCTCCCTGTTAGATAAGTGGTTTCACCCCATCCTCCCGGCAGCGAGAGCCAAACTAAGAAAAATGAAGAAAAAGAAAGAAAGATGATGAGACATCTGTGTTGGTAATTCTTCTTTTTGATCCTGTCTTTCATGAACTGTTTCCTCCAGTCTCTAACTTTATCATTATTCCACCATGAGCCAAAATAACATGCTTTCTTGCAGTGTGCGCTTAGAGCTGGGTTTGTAGTAGGCCTGAACGATATATCGTTTGACTATCGTCATCGCGATGTACGTGTGTGCGATAGTCACATCGCAGAGCCTGCGATATTGGAGGTGAATGAACTCAGTTAATTTCAAGGGTAACCGACTGAGATACACTCCATGTGACTCTGCATGTGCTGTGCAGCGATCCACCAATCGCCTTCGTCCTTAACTCAGTTGCCAATCAGACTCACTTCTCAGTTGCCAATCAGACTATCCTGCCAGCTGTCAATCAAAATCAGGGAGGAGAAAACCCACCCCTGCACATGTTCTGCACATGGAGGGAGACGTGTGTCCGCTGAGAATTACTTTCGGAACTTTACTCATGACTATTAAGCCCAACAAATAAGAACTCTATGGGTTTTAAATTGTACATTTCCGTGGACCACTCTACTATAAGCAGTGCGCGTTTTGCGAGGTGCATGCAATTCTCGGAGGACATGCGTTTCTCGGCACAACACCGCTGCTAACAACAACAACAACAACGATCGCAAAATGAACAACGAACAAGCGAAAACCACCGAAAATGAAGATTTGTTGCCAAAAAGAAAAGGAAAGTCAGTTATCTGGAATTATTTCGGTTACAAGATGGATAATGTCGACCAAAACACGTCTTCTGTGTTCACCTGTTTCCACAATAACGTCCCAGCACAATAAAAGCTAAAAATATCTCTGAGACAGACAGGAGCCGTTCTACTAACATTCACAAAAAGAGGTAAGATCAGAGCAGATTAACTGTCCTCAAGACTTCAGCAGTGCAGCATAACATTAAGTGCTATTAGTCATCTGGTGAAAATACTGTATTTTTAATATCGCAATATATATCGCAGGGTTGAAAAAATCGCAATATTATTTTTTTCCAATATCGTGCAGCCTTAGTTTGTAGCATTATTGTCAATATCAGCCTTGGTGATGTGATGTGTGTGTGTGTGCGGGTGTGCCTGTACAAAGTGTGTGCACAAAGTATTATACTGAAGTAGTATACTGCGGGAGCACTGACGAACTGACGAACTTCCTTTATCAACTTATGAATCGGCTGTTTTCACTGAACAAGTCAATAAAACACCAGATAAGGGGCAGGTACATTATCTAAGATGTCAAGGCTATTGAAGCAAAAAGTGAAGTAAATCAGAATTACTTAACTGATGCAGTTACTCGGTAATTCAGTCACTTTTAGAAGGAGGCAGAGATAAATGATGTCTCTACAGTCTGAGATCAGCTGCACATTCAAATCAAACGAGGATCCATGTGGAAAGTGTTCATTCAACTTCAACTGTTTTTGTACAGAATATGGTGCTTAAGTAGGACTGTAGGAATGGTGGTTCTCATAGTGTCGTTGCATTTTACCATGGTACGATTGTTGTGTCTGGGCTGTCCTCGATGTGTAGATGCAGAAGGAGGCTTCGTGACACTGGCTTGCTTGTATAAGAGGAGTTTATTATAAAGACAAAACTAGTATCAATACAGCACTGCAGTTGCTGGGAGAGGATGGCCAATGATGTCCAGCTCTCCCCAACCAGAGTTTGTGACCCTGTTATATAGGGTTAGGGATGTAAGCCCTCCTACATTCCCAAAATATCTTTCCTTACCCTCTGGTGGTTGGTAAACCTATAGTGGTGTTTTATGACCTGTGACCAGTGAAGTGCCCCTCCCAGGCTATCTCACCCCAGGTATAAACAAATAAACACAAGCCCACAGTCCACAACTGGTTTCTCAGGCTATTCCTGAGAAAAACCTTGAGCAGTGCATAGTGATGTAGTGACTCCAGATACCACACGATGGACATTTTCATACTGGAAACCAGCTAAACCGGGCCAACCATACTACATGGCCGACTTGTGGTCATACTGCATACTACTATCGAACGCAGTACTGTCATTGTGCATCTTCCAAACAGCATTGTCAGGACAAGCCCAGCTAGTAGCCTACCCCATGGCACTTGCTAATGTTTGATTGTCTATGCAGTAAAACTGGGCTGATTGTTGGAGCTGCAAAACAGCATGACAGAGGAGAAGTGAGTAAAGGTGTTACAGTCTACGAGTAAAAATGATGGAGGTTTTTAACTGTTATTTCAGCTGATATAAAACTATTGAAATATACATGGATGAGTTAAGATCTGATGATAAAGAGAGCTTTTTAAGCAAGATATAATAACGTAATAAACAGATCGTCTAACCCGAGCAACAGCATTTTTATTTATAAACCTTATGCTTTTACTGAGCGCAACAGAACGGCCTGTCATGAGAGTCTTTGAATCGGACCTGAAAGTTCTGCACATTGTCTTCAATCAACCAACACTCAATTCTAACGCACTACAAGTTAAAACATGGACACTATAGTAGGTCTTACCCCTTTTCATGCATCAACAATGACTGTCTGTGTTTACGGGGCACAGGAGTCAACCAACTAACTTACACTAACCACAGAAAGAAAAGACAAATCAGTCACAGCTGTCTCAGGGGGATTGGGTAAACAGCCACACACACACACACACACACACACACACACACACACACAATGATTTGTTGGTTGCCTCCTGTGCCCCATGAACACAGACAGTAATTTTTGATGACTGTTGATTGTCGGTGTGGAGTTCATCTACCGACACTTCTGCACATTTGGCACATGTGTGAAAATGTTTCCTTATGTTTCTGTGTGTCAAGTCTGAAGTGATATTCACAAACTAAAGATGATCTGGTTTCATCTTGTCATAACCACGTGTGTGCGTATTCACTCTGCCTTATACGCTCATCTGTCTCCCCCTCAGAGTATTTTACAAAATCGATGATCTTTCTACTGAGATTCAGATTTGGAAGATTATATAACATGATATAAAGATCAGTAAAGAAATAAATAAACGCTCTGGCTGCACCTGTATGACACAGTGTCAGTGCGCTCATCCTGCTGCTCCATGAGACTGTGAGCAGAGGAAAATCCCCACAAACTCGCCAAAAGAACTGCTTTACCTCGTCTCTCTCTCTCTCTCTCTCTCTCTCTCTCTCTCTCTCTTTTTCTCTCTCTCTCACACACACACAGACACACACACACACACACAGACACACACACACACACACACACACACACACACACACACACACACACACACACACACACAGAATCCCATCTTAAAGACACTAAAAGTGTTACTAACAGTCAGATAATTAGTTTGAGCCAGTGAAATCCACCCTGAACTTTGGAGAAATAACTTTTGGAGACATTACAAGCGGCAAGATTTGGGATACTCAATAAAAGCAACAGACGATAAACAAAGTAAAGTCATACTCACGGGTGAGGAAAAGTACAGTCCCGAAGTTCATCGTAAAAACAAGAGCAAACAAAAAACAGAGTAGCAGCACTAAGTCAAAGAGTGTTTTATCTAATTCCTGAACAACAAGTGTCTGCTGCTTATGAAGGAGGAGAGAGAGAGAGGAGGAGAGAGAGGAAGGAGCAGAGAAGAAAAGGGCAGAGAAGAAAAGGGCAGAGAGAGGGGGGGGAGGGGCAGAGAGGGAGAGCAGAGAGGGAGAGACAGAAAGGGAGGGAAACAGAGGACAGGAGGAGAAGAGAGCGGAATTAGACTGACACTCCACCACACTCACACCCTACACACATTTCTTGTTTCACTCTCTCCCTATATATGTACATATATATATATATATATATATATATATATATATTTATATGTACATATATATATATGTACATATATATATGTACATATATATATATATATATATATATATATATATATATGTACATATATATATGTACATATATATATATATATATGTACATATATATATATATATATATATATATATATATATATGTACATATATATATGTATATATATATATATATATATATATATATATATATATATATATATATATATATATATATATATATATATATATATACTACACATACATATATATACACATACATATATAATAAGTCTTTTAGCCACACCCACAAAACGTCACAAACCACAGGTGGAGTTAGCTGGTCTGAAACAGATCGTCAATCTTCTAGCTGTCCACGTTAGTGCGGTATTTTGTTTGAAATTAAAACACAAACCACAGGCAGAGAGGGTTGGACTTAAACTTATGCCGGAATATCCCTTTAATGCACTATTAAAAAAAACAAGGGACATTTTTTTACACTTTGCAAAAACCAGCAAAAGGGCATTTTGTCTACATTTATTCCCTCAAAAGCAACAAACGGGAGCCTGAAGTTCATTTATAATATGTGATCAAACTGGAGTTTTAGTTTTGTTTAATTCGGAGTGTTTCTTTTACAATTGTTGCTGCTAAAAAAGCTACTACAGGACACTTCATTTACAATTTATACACTAAATTATTTCGTTGGATGCTCGACTCTGTTTTTGTGGTTTTCCCTTTTTTGTGCTGGTATGTAAGTCACCTGCAAGCTCTGCTTCCTGTCTCTCCTGCCAGGACTAAACCACGGGTCTACTTCCTGTTTCCAATTGATACAGCTTGTTACTGTTCGTATTTTACTTAAGGTGTCCTTACAAACAGCCTGTAAACAACATTTTAAAGGTTAGGTTCTGTTAGAAGGAGAGAAGTATGTTTAGACTTCTTAAGAGTTTTTGAGAGACATCAAGCATCAGCTGTTTATGCAACAAAGAGGAAGAGAGAACAAAGTCGCTCTGCAGTTCACAAAAGAAAACACAAAAATGCAAAAAGTGAAGGAAGAAAGGAAAACAATCTGAGGCTGAACCGTGAATGTTTCCACATCACATCCGCCGACAATGAGCCGCTGATAACCTCAACCACTCTTGCCAAGTGTTTGAACATCATAGATTAGTGTTGTCACTGTGAATACACAGGTGTTAATATGTTAACCTTAAAATAAACGTAATAGGAGAGCTCTGAATAACAGTTAAGTGTTACAGCATTACTACGCTGTTGAAGTATTGGAGGTATGTGAGCTCATTCAAAGGGCTGAATCAAATCTCTCAACTTTTCCACCATTAGGTTTAATTTTTTTTAGGATTATTAAAGCATCTGATGAGAGCAGATCCTTCTGAAGAAAAGAGAGCAGAAGACTTAAACGCCTTTTCTCAGCTCTGACCTTTGGAACCAGCTGCAAAATCATACGGCCTTTTTAGAGCTGAGGTAGATCTTAATGGAAATAAAGGCTTTGAATTTCTAGCTTTCTATCTTATTTTGTGCTGATGTTGAACTCTCCTGGAGCTGGATGAGCCAACACAAACATGATGGGTGTGCCTTCATACAGCTGCAGGGGCTGATCTCATGAGGTGTAGTAGTCTGAGACAACAACCCCTAAAATCTTAATCACCAAAGTGTGACTTTTGGATCTAGAGCTTTCCTGTGAAATGCTTCTGTAAACACAGAATGTTTTTGTGCTCCGCACTGTGATTAAAGGGACTACACCTCCTTCACAATAGGATGTGTATTCATATCTGACAGCCTACATGCTCTGTCTTGTTTACTTTTAAACTTTCCATTCAGTTTCAGAGCCTGGGATTACAGTGCGCACTTTAATGTATCTGGTAACACTGGGTGAAGCCTCGGGCGTGGGAACAAATTCCTGATATGTTTGAGTAAAAGTCTGAACCTCCAAACTACGAGGCCGTGACCTAGGTGTGAGGAAGATCGCTAAACTGCAGAAACAAATACGGCGAGAGCTACACTCAGGAAGTCAATGAAAAGTGTCTGCCGACATGACGAAGAAGGTCACATGACCCAAGATTATTTAAAAGTTAGTGTTTGTAGATGCACATTATCCCCCCTCTCTTTCAATCGTTTCAATCTGCAGATAAAAAAGAGAAACTTGTATATCTACCCCTCGTCTCCGTGTATCAAACCCATTTTTGTAACATGAACCAGATTATTTCATTGTGTGTGGCAAAAAGGAAAACAAGCAATTTAAACAAGAAGCAACAAGCTGTAAAACCTGATATCACAAACTCCATACCCAAACACACACACACACACACACACACACACACACACACACACACACACACACACACACACACACACACACACACACACACACACAACCCCTTGTGACAGGAAGACAAACACACCCCTGCCTCTACAGAGCGTTTGCAGCTCCCTCTATGACTGGATGCACCGGCCTCAAAGACAGATTTTTTTCACATCTGTCGTTTGATCTGAAACATTTCTTTTGTCGTATTTAACTCTACACCCTTACTATCAGAGGGACGTTTTACATTTAAGATTGTTGAAACAACATTCGTCGTATTATGGTTCACTCTGGCTGTTGCCCCTCTCTGAAAATAAAAGCCTCAGCCGCTTTAGACTGAAAAGTGTAAAGATATCTGGTACGCAGATCTACAACACAGAACAATGGTTGTGTTTTTTTCTGAGCTGCATCCAACACATATATACATTATATAAACACATTTTAGAAGTTAAAAAAAAAACAATCAGCACAAGCAGATCTGTCTTTTCTGACTCACAATGTTTTGAAACGTCACCAAGTCTGAGTCAGAGTGGAGTTCTCGACATTATGCAATAAAATGAACTATTGAAAGCAGAGCAGCTGTTACTCTACTGCTTTTCATTCATAAACATCCGAGTCTGACGAATCATGGTAGGAGAGTCACGTGAACTCATGAAGTCAGACTTTATGTTCTCCTTCAGTTCTTCCAACGTGGTCCCGATCATTTTTATGTTACCTCAATGAGTTAAACAGAGAGCTGTCCGAGAGTGGTCCACCTGCTACGGTTCGAGGGTCTGCAAGCTCAAGTTTGGTAACACAGTCAACATTGGAAGGATTTGTTTGTTCCTCCTGCATGTTTCTGGTCTATAGAGTTAAAAGTAACTTAATGGACAGAATGATTTCCCTCACTCTTTCATATGTGTGATGAAAATTAACAGATAAATCTTTAATGAGAACAATTTTAAGTGAGATACATGATGCATGTGAACAAAATGATGTGGAGAAATTCTACATGAAAAAAAGCCCAGAAGAAGAAAAAGAAAGAATGACAGACAAGAAGGCGAATTTCTTCTGAATAAGCCAATCGGATCTTTATATGAATCAGATAATTTATATGACTGTCAGATTCAGAGTAAAAAGTTTTGATTCTAGTGACAACTGTGAGCTTACAGGCGATGCTGACCGTTACAGTGGTCTGAGTGTGGGCCACGTGGTTTGTAGTTGAAAGTGATGACACACCGAATAAATCTAAATAAACGGTTTCCAGACTCAGAAAGAAGAACTGACACTGACTATGTATTTTCACACCACAAACCGAACGACCCGAAACAGATTGTCAATCTTCTAGCTGTCCACGTTAGTGCGGTATTTTGTTTGAAATTAAACCACAAACCACAGGCAGAGAGGGTTGGACTTAAACTAATGCCGGAATATCCCTTTAATGCACTATTAAAAAAAACAAGGGACATTTTTTTACACTTTGCAAAAACCAGCAAAAGGGCATTTTGTCTACATTTATACTGTCAAAAACAACAAACGGGAGCCTGAAGTTCATTTATAATATATGATCAAACTGGAGTTTTAGTTTTGTTTAATTCGGAGTGTTTCTTATCAAACAAAAGCTTCTTAATCACTAATGCATGGCTAAAGCTGACTATATCTACCATCTGCTTCACCTGTTGATATGATTTGTTGCACAGATGTACTCTTATACAGCCCTGGCTTTGTCAATCACGCTTATAAAGAAACAGAAACAAGTGTGATGACTGTAAGAAGGGCTATCTATAAGCACTCAGTGGTTTTCCTGCCAAGCTGTGGCGTTTCATAATTCCCAGTTTCTGACCCTCTTCGTGTCTTTTTCTCACGTCTTGTCACGCGCATTCATTCTCACATCTCCTCTGCTTTTGTGACTCGTGTGTCCTTGTTGAGCACAAAGCAGAAACACAAGGAGATAAAGATCAGGGGCCTCATTTATAAACGCTGCGTATGCACTAAAGAAAAACACATGTCACTCGTAAGGAATGTATCTTATTTGGTTCCAGTGTTGGATGTTGGGTATAAGGGCTCTCCCCTGCTGGGAAGTGAATGAGGAAAAAGTCACAAGACTCCTGGAGCTGGATGCGCCGACACAAACATGATGGGTGTGTCTTCCATACGGCTGCAGCTGCAGGGGCTGATCTCATGAGGTATGATAGTGTGCGTGTGAGTTTGCACTCATTGCTACATTAAGAAAGAAACCTCAGGTAGAGGATAGAAACCTCGCTCTGAAAGTGTGGACGCTTATTCCTGATCTTCTGCACACCTGATAATCTGCCCACATTTTCCTGTTGTGGTGCTCGAGTTTTACTGTCTGCCAATTCAG